TAAATCAGTGATTCCATCAATATTAAGAATCTAGTTTTAATAAATCACACATTGGTCTTTTAGGGATGAGGTGACAACAACATTAATGCTGTGCCAAATATACCGAATATTTGAATATTCGATCATCCCCCGAATACCGTTATCTGAATAGTATTTTTTTAAATTCAGATATCCAAAAAATGTGAGCAGTTTGGAGGCGATGTTGCAAAATTTACTGATAGTTTGGTTTTATTTTAATCAAATGACACACTTTTGTTGAATGCATTTTTTGCACATGGTTTGAGAGATTCCATGAGGAATATTAGCTCAGATCTCCTCTTGAAATCAGTCAAATATCAGCCATTCCACAACCTGTTCTCTTTATTATATTAACAAGCTCATTAATCAATCTTTGACAAGAGTAGGTGTATGGAAATTGAGATTAGCGGCACGTTTAGGCTGCCGCATGTTCAACTTGATCATTTCCAAATCAAATATTCCTGTATTTGATCAAGACCTAATTGGAATAATCGAATACTAAATTGTTTGGAAACTACATACACAGCCTTAAACAAAATTATTGGTGTGCTTACATGTACATGTATGTTCAGAGCAAAGGTTTCTCTCATCCATGTATTATGATGCTTTGCAGGCATTTGTACCTCATTGGAATGTTGCATTGAGGTATGTGATGATGGTCATTTGGGGAGTCTTGAGTCTGTCATGATTAAGACGTTTGTTTGTCTCAGACATCATCAATCACATACAGGTACATACATCTGGGCATTGGTTTGTAGACAGGAATGTCTATTATATTAACAAACTAAATCTCATTACATTTGTAATTCCCACAGAAATCACATGCACTGGTGTTTATACACGTGTACAAATGTACACACGTAATGCAAATTTTTGCACTGCATGCTGTCAAGTTGTAAATGGTCAACAAATACCTGTAATGTTCCCCTCCAGTCTACGTAGTTACGGTTACCATAACAATATCATAAGTGTCTAACAATTTTTCCACATAAACGCTCCTGCAATGTATTCCAAACCGTGCTTTGAACTATGCTTTTAATTCTTTGAAACACAAACACTGGTGAAGCAATCGAGCTTCTTCTCGCTCTTACATACGTATGTGTAGTCTTTACTCAACAATTCAGTGTTTGAATTGAAATTCACCAGTCAGAGATTTGAAATCCATCCTTCAAAGAACTGAAATTGGTCAGTCAAAAGAGAATCGAGTGTGCAAGTTGACCTAGAAAATCTGGGAGTTTTTAGGGAATACAGTACATCTGGGCACAACAACATGAAATGTCCTTTTTTCTTGCATTTGTTTTGTGTCCTAGCCGACTATGATGACTACATTACTACCGGTACAATCAAATGAAAAATTTGACCTCAACTTCCGTTTAACTGATCAAGCAGATAACAATGGGTACATTCTAGCACGGGAGTCTGTGACTAGAGTAGTCCATGTTTGGCCCCAAGTTTCATGTGAACGTGACTTGCACGCTCCATTAAAAACTGTCAAGCTTCATCAGTGGTGCTAGTGATTCACATTTCTCTTTTCCGTAAGGAGGACTGTGTCAAGGGTGTTGTGTGGCCCTTCAAGGGCATTTCTCCACATGAAGCTATAAGCATCCTAGCTTCATCAGCTCACAAGACATCTTACTTTTAAGGCCATTGATGATTAATGAGTCCAGAATGACTGATATGACAGTCTAAGTTAGCCTGCATCAATCATTGTCAATTAAGCAATCATACATGTACCTCCATCTAGGTCAGTGCATTCTGGATTGCACATGTTGCAGTTGCGCTGCATCCCACTTCACTAAATTGTGTTCATTGCACAGTTTGCAGCAAAGGTACCAGGTGCTCAAAGCAACAAAACTATATCTACATGTATAGTTCAAGTCAGCTAATTATATAACATGTTTTTTGGTTGAATCACTATTCTAAGCAAAATTAAATTCTTTCTCCAAAGATATACATGTAGCATGTTAACATCTGCACTATAGTGCTTGCTGTCTCCGTGGAACGGACGAAGGCCCTCTTTTGAACTACATTTTGTAGAAAATAGCAGTACTATAAAACAAGACCCAGGTTTTAAAGATGCATTCCCTGTGCTTGTTCGAATTTCATCCCGAAAATTAGATTCCTTTTATAAATTACTTTTTTTCTAGTAATACAATGTACAAAAGTTAGCCACTTTGGAATAAGGCATCGACTGAAAAAGATTGAATTATGTTTAAATTATTGAATTACTATGCAATTTTGAGTGATTGGCTACCAGACAATAATTCAGTTCTCGTGGGGGTAGGCTGGTTCCTGCCCCACAATCAGTAGTAATAATGCACAGACTGAGAGCCAGTCTGCTCTGGGAGCATCTGTTTGGGCCGTAAAAAAAAAAAAAATTGAGAATAAAAACTTTTGGTTGGAATAAAACATACAAGTTGACAATTTATTAATAGAAAAAACTTTGAATTTGCTGAAGAGCACGGTAATGCAACTTCATTAGGCTCATTCAGCAAGTGTTTAAACACTAATTCCCTTCATGAAGAGCCTCTCTCGAGCGTTTCAAACTACCGGTACCATTTAGTAAAATCATTTAGCAATTTAACCGGCTATTGGATTCTGTTTTGTTTACACAGATGGGTCATTCTATAAATTTGGGGTCCAAAGTGTGACATTTTTCCCGTCCCTGTTACCTTGGTACTTTGTAATTTGCCATTCAAGCATCATTAAAAGTGACTTCAAATGATTGTTTATTTGTTGGGTAGGTAGTTTGCTATTCATAATCACTCTTGGAGGATGACTGCATTAAGGAGTGCATCAGAATTATACAATCATAGATGTCAGATGTAACAGGGACGGGAAAAAAAGTGGACCCCAAATTTATAGAATGACCCAGATGGTAGCGACTGTTAAGCATTTTTTAGGTTTTTACTATTCAACTGTTCTACATGTACCGGTATGTGTACATGTACATGTAACACTTTTCATTATTAATGTCTAAATGCTCCTTCATTTGTGTGCTGTCAGTTTATGGTGACAATCTCTTTTATCGGTGGTTTCAAAAACCACATTTGCTGCAAAATTAGTGGGTTTTTTCCTGTTCTGCTGCAAAATTATCAGTTGTTTGTCTTCCTTGCTTCATCCATGGCCTGTGAGCTTACAAAAGAAACATGCCGGTCTCAAGTTTTCATTAATTTAAAAAGGTGATGGCACTTTGCCCGTACTGCCCAGAATTTTGAGAATTCCACGGTTATTTATTGTATTCCACTGCGGTTAGTTTGTATTCTGTTATGCTTTGTCAATTCCCTGACAGTTTCGCCTCATTAAAATTCAAAGCTCTCTTCATTTTGAAATCACCAACCATTCTACCATGATGCATTCTTGAAACAGGTTAATTAAAGTTGAATTACCGGTACAGCCGGACAGACACGATTGTATACATGTAGGCCATGTACAGTAAAGGGTTTGAATAGCGACAGACGCAAATGGAATCATGTCATGGAAGGTAGTCTTCTGCGAAACAACCAGCAAATTGTAATACATTGTATCCATGAGTGTATAGAATCGCCATTACAGGGAACCGTGACTTGAACATCTGTCCAAGTGCACATTGTTGGAATTCTGCATGGGCCGTCAATATTCACGTAAATGTCTGTGTACTTGTTTCAAGTATGTGACACAAATGCCAGGATTGTCAGAGCGCTTTCGAACCAGTTTTTAAAAAAATGAGCAGGGAACGTGCATCATCTTCATCTTCTAGGTGAGTGACTATTTACCGGAATGTTCGCTTTAAATGCACACATTTTTTATTGTGAACTACATGTACGGTACATGTACATGTACATGTACCGTACATTTACTTGTAGCCAAGGTTGTACATTATGAATGAATGATGTATGATCTCACAGAGGCTAACATACCGGTACATGTAGAAAACTTTCAAAGCGTAAGGGTGTGCCTACCATACAGATGCTTGTACATGTAACTGGCTAATATATGTAGTGTGTATGTACAGTACAGAGAAAACAGGCAGTTGGCGACATTGTGTAGACTTTGGCAGAGAGATGTGACGTGATACTAATGTGCCTTTATTGAATGAGTCCATGTACACGTAGCTTGTTGAAGGGCGCCTGTCAGAGGGAATGATTGCCTCCGATTAGCTGATTTCCTCGTTTTTCACTTCACACTTACATGTAGGCCTATGCCATTAAAATTGAAAAACTCTGTAAAAAGTAAAAAGTCTTCTAAAGATTGGAGTTTCCTCTTTTTTTGTTACTTTTATAGGGGATTCTGTCAGGGATGCTCTGAGTGACACCCACCCCTCCCCCCCCCCCCACAGCTGCCACCCCCACCCCCTTCCCACAGCCCCCCCTCCCCCAGCCCCCCACAGCTCCACCCCCTTTACAGAGAAATGTATACTTTTTACCGGGAAAGGTTTGCCAGACCAAAATTCAAATCGGTCAAATTCAGTATTCGATCAAAGCCAAATTCCAATCATCGGATTTAATAAATCAACAATGCACAACAGACTGTAACTTCTTTAGTGTGATGAACTTGAGTAGGAATTGGTTTTGTTCAGAATTGGGTTTCATGACATTTGTCAGGACATTCTACTGGTACTAAACACTTTACCTTCTTTGGTTAAGTTGGCATGAAATATGTTTTGCAATTACAGTGCAAAGAAGACTAGTACTATTCACAGGGGTGTGAAATCTCAGCTTTAAAGCTGATTTCAGCTTTTTTTGTTTTGGATTTCAGCTTTTTCTCCCTCACTTGCTGTGTACAAAAGTATGGGAGATTTCCAAAGTTCAGCTTTTTTACACCTTTTCCAGCTGTTTTCAGCTATTTTCATCGGTGGTCACTCACACCCCTGTATTCAACACAAATGAGCCTATTTTTGCATTGTCCATTTGATACCTGTACATGTGTGTCGCAAACTGCATCATGTTTTGAATTAAACCTATTTTGAAGCCATATTTTCTTTTTGTGTTTTTTCTTCTTCAGGGTTCGAGTTGAATTCTTTGTGAATGAGCAGTCTTTCAAAGAGCGCCTACAGCAGTACTTCATCAAAAACAAGAGATCAAGTAAGTCATCACTTAACGATACTTGTTTGCTTCAACTACAAGTGTTCTTGTGTACTCCTTATCAATTCTTCCAATCAATATGTCGCATTCCTCAAACCTTTAAGAACTTATTTGCCTACGAGTAACAGGGGACGGGAAAATGACAACTTTAGGAACGTCTCTTCCACTGTTCATGTGAATACAGGTGGTTAGGCCTGTGTCAAGTACAATTATCAAAATATTGGATCATCCACCGAATATCTAAATAGCATTTTCCAGAAATAGAATATTTGAATAATGTGAACCATCTCGAGAAGATGACGAACAACATCCTTGATGTAATTTTATTCGTATAAGTTTAGATATTATTGTTTGTCAAATGCCACATATTTTGTGGACAGCCACCTCACACGCATGATTGGAAAACTTCTGTGTGTAGGATAATAACGATGTAGCGCCTTGAGCACACTTGAACGGACCCGCCCTGAGACAGCTGAATTATTTTCTAGCAGCCAATAATTTGATTTTTGTGAAGAAATAATTCAATAAATAAACATCGGTGGACTTTTTCTTAAGCTCATTCAAAAGTGAATAAGTGTTCTATTTTTCGAGGTGAAACTCAAAAATAGTACGGGGAAGCCTTCTTTAAAGGAAACATCTTTAAAGGTAATATACGTACGACATTTGCAAACATCAAAAACGAAACTACCACATTATTATAAATACCTTACTTGACCATGTTGACTGTAAGTGAATAATTCATGTAGTCTCAAGCATCCTGTGAAATTAAGGCATCTGGTGTGCTGGCATTTTCAAGAAAAGTTGAATTTTTGTACCAATATCCAACGGTGGTCAGCTGACCACCGTAGGAAAGAAACTGACTTTTTTCAAATACTGCCCCCAATTTGCCAAATTTAATTAGTCCACATTTTGTTTGCAATTGGCTACACATCCATGAACGGGCGCAAGCCTGCAGCTAGTCTGGTTCCCTGACCTGACTGTTCCTGATGTCTATTGCTCTTTTTCATCTGAAGTTGGATCAGGGAACCAGACTACAAGAATAGCATTTATTTCTTGGTTTTTCCAGCATCTATGAACATAAACTTTAAACGGGTCAGTGTATCGATATTTGCTATAAAATACTAACCCCCAAATCCATTTATTTCTGAAAATTACAGCAAAAGCAAATGATTGCCTTTAAGCCTCAGCTACATCAGAATGGGTGCATACCTACTGGTATGTTCTCCAATATGCAGATGACACTGTCCTGTACAGAGTCATTAAAAATCAAGAGGATGAAGTGGCACTCCAGGATGACCTGCAGCACATAAACACTTGGTGTAATCTAAACTGTATGACTTTAAACCCAAATAAGTGTAAATTGATGACTGTGACCAGGTCTAGAAACCCTGCTAAACCACTGTATAAAATTGCTGAAAACACTTTGGAAAATGTGGATAGTTACAAATACTTGGGTGTTATTATCTCCAGGGACTTAAGCTGGAAAACACATGTTAATAAAGTCACTTCCAAAGCCACTAGACTCAACGGATTTATTGGTAGAGTAGTTAAAACTAGAAACCCTAACATTCTGACTTCACTTTATCGCTCAATTAGCAGACCCATACTTGAATACGCAGCTCCAGTCTGGTGCCCTGTTCTTTCGACTCAGCAAAAAACGCTAGAGAAGGTACAGAGGCGATTCACCCGTTTTTGTTTGGGTCTGCCGAGAAGGGTTTTAATTGATTCTGTAAATGAAATTGAATATTCAGACAGGTGTGTCAAGCTGGGTCTGCCTCTTTTAATCAACAGGGTTCATTTCCTTTCAATTACGTTTGTTATTAAATGTTTATATAATAAATTTGACGTTGACACTGACACTCTAATTCCCATTAATTGTAGACATATCGAATCTGTTAAATTTGTCCATCATCGAGCTCGTTCCAATGCTGCCCATCATTCTCTTTTTCACAGATTCCCTAGATTATGGGATGAACTACCGGCCTGCATTAAAGATACAATTATCCATAGTTTATCCTCCTTTACAAATTCTCTCAGAAATCATTTATTAGTCCCTGGCCAGGAGGTCCCCTTGACCAAAACAGTTTAAATTTCTAGTTGCCTTGCCCATTCAAATACCTTGCTGCCTGTTTTTTCATCTCAATTTTATAGTGCCTTTTGCATTATAATTCACTCGAATCTCTCTTTTACCGAATCTGTATTTTTTAATGCCCATTTGTGCTTTTAAAGTTTTAACTGCTTGTATAGTTCTATATTCTTATACTGTAAGCCATGTTTTAATAATGTCCATTTGTAATGTCCTTTTGTATTGTCTCTTCTTAAATTGTGGCATCAGGAGATTAACTCGATAGTAATTTAGTTTACTTTTTTAAAATCCATCAGGGGTGCTACTTTTTTTTTTCTCTTTTTCTTGTTCTCTCTCCTAACTGTATGTGCATGTTTTTGTTTTCTTTACTGTTCTTATTGTCTGTACTTGAATTTTTACCTGTGAAATTAATAAATGAAATGAATGAAAATGAGTACCTACATGTATGTTCCCCGAAAATCCTTACACTATTAAACCCTAACCCTAATCCTAAGGATTTCGGGGAACATCGGGTAGACCCCATCAGAACCTACGTGTATAATCTTTCGATATCTGAATTTTTATTTCTTCCTATACTGACTTCATACAATGATTCACCTGGGGCTTCGCGTTCGCGCTCGGCCATCGTGAATTCCTGATCGTTATTTACCCCTCGGTTGGTGTGAAATCGCTCCACAGTTGCAAAATGTGTGCAGATTGGCATCCTTGGAGGATGTCATGGCAGGTGCACATTGCTGTTCTGCACGTAAGCAGCATTAACTAGAGGTCTATGTCTGTTTGCAACAGAACATAGGGCTTTTCCGCATTATGTTTTTTTTTGAGGTCATGTTTTTTCTGTTTTGTGCAAAACTGTGTGCATTTACGTTTCGTCTAACAAACCTCATTCAAATGGAAATTTGATTTTGGCATATTGCATTTGTCATATATAAAATATATATATAATCACAAGATGACGTCATTATGACGTCAGCTCAATATTTATTTGTAACACATCCCGGCCTGCCCCCATACCAAGTTTCAACCCAATCTAAATCACTGTTGATGAGATATACGGGCTTAAAATATACAAACGATGACGTCACATGTCTAATGAATATGTCATTGTAACAATATTCGGCAGTGCTCATTATTTTATTGCGGTTTTAGTCTGTACAAAGTTTGAAAACAATCGGATTAATGAAAGTGTTAAATTTTGTAAGCAGAATAAATTGGCAATATTAAAAAATCGTAAACTAATCTACTGATGACGTCATCTTGACGTCATTTAAGATATTGTGTACTAGTGTTATTATCTACCCACCCACCAAGTTTCGTGACGATCGGACATTTTCTTATATGTGTTTAAAAAAAGCGCATGTTTGATGACGTCATCATGACGTCACACATTTTTCAAAATTTTGCACATATACCTATTGCCTAACAAACCTAATACAAAAATAATTTTAAATGTAACATATTGGGTTCGTGATATATGGCTTAAAGGTTCAAAACTTCAAAAATCTATATAAAATCACGATGACGTCATGATGACGTCACCTCAATATTTATTTGTAACACATCCCAGCCTACCCCCATACCAAGTTTCAACCCAATCGGATGTACTGTTCATGAGATATAGGGGCTTAAAATATACAAGTTAACAATGACGTCACATGTCTAATGATGACGTCATCGTAACAATACTTGGCAGTGCTCATTATTTTATTGTGGTTTTAGTCTGTACCAAGTTTGGAAAAAATCAGATTAATAAAAGTGTTGAATTTTGTAAGCAGAATAAAATTGGCAATATTAAAAAAATCTTTAAAAATCGACCGATGACGTCATCGTGACGTCATTCAAGATTTTGTGTACTAGTGTTATTATCTACCCACCCACCAAGTTTGAAGACGATCGGACATTCCCTTATATGTTTTTCGAAAAATCGCATTTTTGCTGACGTCATTATGACGTCACACATTTTTCCAAATTTTGTGCATTTATCTAATGCCCAGCGAACCTAATACAAAAAGAATTTTGAATTTATCATATTGCGTTAGTGAGATATGGCTTAAAGGTCCAAAACTTCAAAAATCTATATAAAATCACACGATGACGTCATGATGACATCACCTCAATTTTCGTCTATAACACATCCCGATCCACCTACATACCAAGTTTCAACTCAATCGGACTGACAGTTCTGTAGATATAGGACTTTGTAATATGCATATTAATGATGACGTCACGTGACCCATGATGACGTCATCATGACGTCGCTCGTCCGCACACATCTATGCTGTATGGACTATGTCTATGCAAACTTTGAACGATATGCAACAAAGTTTAAGGGCAAAAGTGGCGTGTAGAATAAACGTGTACAAAGTCTATGGGGTTTGGGGAAAAAAAGAAGAAGAAGAAGAAGAAGAAAGAAAAAAAATCAGAACAAAAAGAAAGGCTTTTCCGCATTTTTGCGGAAAAGCCAATAATGGAAACATCGGCAGGGTGTGGTGGATGCGATGAACATTGAACAACTGGGATTGCACTCTTCACTGTCTTCGGTTTTAATACAATTCAGGATTTTTTGTTGAGCATTTTCTTGGACAAATGGTCATATACACCTGCCCCGTTCTGTAATGCAAGCAGGTGGAATAAATTTTGGGAGAACATTTGGTGAGACACTATGTGGTGTGGGTGCGATACATGTTTTGTAATTTGTCAAATATTTTGGAGGCTTGTTCTTAAATTTTTCAAACTTGATGACCAGCACTTAAAGATGTATTCTCCATGCTACCGGTATTTCTTAGTTTCATCATGTTCATCCCGAAAAATAGATTTCTCTTCTAATTTTTTTCCTATTAATACCGGTACATAAATAATTTGAATGAGACATCGACAGCAAATTATCGGCTGACGTTTACTTATTAAACTATTACCATCCAAATATCAAATAAGTTGCAACCCGACAATCATTCCGTTTTCACGGGGTATAGGCAAAGGCTGGTTCCTGCCCCGCAATCAGTATCCATAATGTACAGACCAGGAACTATTCTGCTCGGAAGGTGGATCTGGTTGTGCCTAAAATATAGAGAAAAAAAATTCCAGAGGGTTGCAGATGCCCAATTTTTTTTTAAAAGGCGGCCAGGATTTGGGGTTTGAAATATGTACGTATACATATTGTACAAGAGGCTACTTTCACAAGGTGCGCATACACATGAAATATTGGCTGGAGTCACGAAGTTAACAAGATCATGTACACAATGTGTACTCTGCACAATATGACAAGCAACATGCAGGGATGTACACGTATACTACATGTGTGTACCGTGGGTTTTTTTGTATTCTAGCAAGATACATTTACATGTAGAACGAATGTGCTCAGTCCTTCCTTTGCCATTACATGTGATATTTTTAGGTACAGGCATTTTCTAGCAGCCTATATAGTCATTCAAAACCAAATTTTGTGGATACATACGTAAAAAACGAATTCCCTGATGTGAAGACTTTAGTGGTAGGGAGGAGGATTACTCATCTTAAATTGCCAAAAAGATGTTAATGCTGATATAGATGCTCCTTCTAGAGAGCTTCCTAAATTTTCTGATCCTGTCCTTTCCGCGAGAGAGGTTCGCTGTTGATTCAATCATACGCCCCAGGCCTTTTTCCTCTTGGACATTAGTGCCAATTGGAGAGATTCTCCTGAGAACTGCTTTCTTGACGGCAGGTGATATTACATCTGTGGTTGATTCGATACATCAATAAGGGACAGGGTGCACAGATTGGCCTGAAGCCAAGCCAACTGGAGATACCTAGGATAACGCACAGAGAGCCCAAATATTCATGCAACACTTTGGGAGGATCGGGTAGAATCTAGGGACGGAGCAGTGTGTTTGGAATCGATCCCTGTCCTTTCATCAAAATGTCACAGGAAAATGCAATGTAACTTTAGATGAAATTTTGCATTAGGGAGATAAAACTGTAATATTTAAAGGTACATACAGTACATGTAGGAACATTTGCATCACATGCCCTTTTTCTTTGTTTCCAACAATAACATCACTCAAAAACCAAAGACAAATGTTCAAAACCTAACCTGTTGAAGTTTCAGCTCAGTGGAAATTACTATTTTCAAGCAAACAGTGGAAAACCATGTCTTATACCTTTTGATCACGAAACACAACTTTGTTGATAGAACTCTACATGTAAATATTTCCAACACGGAAGTGGCGGAAATCCTGATTTCTTCTGAATGACAGCAAGCCAGATGAAACAATTGCACGGGGTGTTTATCCAAGTAAGCTTTTGATTAATATTTCACTAGTTTACTTTGAGGATTATGGATAAATGCAAAGATCCTACATGTATGTGCCTTTAATGTTAATTTGTAAGCACTACTACATATGTGCCCAGTGCTGTCGGGGAGCTTAAGAGACATACGTACATGTACATGCAAGTAACAAGGTTGCTGGGGTTGGATTTTACCCACATCCTCCATGTCCTCCGGCTTTATAGGTACGTGTACATGTACCGGTACTACTGTAAATGTGTGAAGCACTCAACCACTGAGAATCCTGGGGCCAGCTGACAGGTTTGTGTCTGGTATAACTGCAGATACCGGGGTACTGCGAAGATGTGATCACTGATCAATGACTCATACATGTATGGAATTTTGTGTTCTGTTGCTTAGAGTATAGGGTACAATCTGATATTAAAATGCTGAGTAAACAGGTTTCAGGCCTGTCGCGGGGGGGGGGGGGGGGGGGGGGGGGGCTGTGCCGGATGTGTACACCCTCACCCACCCCTGCCCCTCTAAAAGGGTCCATATTTAAAACTATCCTTTTTTGTAATTTGACCAACCTATTTTTTCACAATTGTTTGAACAGTAAACTCTCCCTCCTACCCCCCCCCCCCCCCCCCCCCAGCATCAGGTGGATTTCCTTACAACTGGCATCCTTAATTGGAAATGTAAAACTCTGCAGAGAGTCTTGTAAATAGTGGAATTTCCTCTTTCTTGGGGAGTTACTTTCCAGAAGTTCATGCCAATCAGAATTAAGTCGCTGGTTTTTTTTTTAATACTTCCAACAACTACGGTACCAGTACTGGTAGAACATACCATACTGTTCCTTTCTTGCCATTTTGTAGAAAAAAATCTAATATTTTTGGCTACATTGTAGCATTATGATCAATGTATTTCTAATTTGTTCTGAGTTCATCACGCTTATAAATAAATAATTGCCTTGCTTCAGAGTTTGCTAACTGCAGTTCCCCAAGCCTGAAAGATACGGTGCTTAGAAAAATAGTAAACGAATGCACCGTGTTCAGAGGCCAAAAGACATGCAATCAGCAATTCAGCACAATTGAACAGTCCACTTTTTCAATACCAACATTTGATGAGTTAAGCGAATTCCTGCAGGGCTGAATTGGCAATACATTGCATTGGGGGGAAAAAAAGGTGATGCGGAAACAGACTGATACTCTTCCCTTTTGTACCACTCTTTCTCCTTCCCCCTCATTAAATAAGATAAATTGGCATTGCAGCATTGGAGCTCACTTGACATAGGACAACACTCTCCTCTGTCTGAGCAGGAAGCAATCTGTCACTATACAATGTAAATGTAGCTGGCATTTAACTTCGGGGCTGAAACATTTGAAACAGCCCTGTTTGAAAGTCCTGCGCACTTACGTACCGCAGACATTTCCATGGATAGATTGAAAGTGGGCAGTGCTAGTGTGCATTGCATTGCATCCTGGGACAGTTTTCACAACAAATTATGGACTTTGTGCAGCGCAAACTGTCCCATAATGCAGTGCAACGTATGACTTCACTGCAAATTTGTGGTCTTGCAGCAGGGTTGGCTGATTTATATCATGTTAATTCAAATCACTGATTTAAAAAATGATTTAAATCAAATGATTTTTGTTTTAAATTACAGATTTACTCAGATTTACGTATCTCAGCTGTATCAATCAAGCCATGCACCTTTAAAGTGTCTAGACTACATGTATGGTTGATGAAATCAAGTGATTTGTTTTTATTCAATGATTAAACATTTTTTTCAAAAGCATAAAAATGTTTCAATTTATTGAGTTTTGTGGATAATGGGTATTATAGGAACCCGTAAACTCCTTAGTGATGGGTGTAAGGGTGCATGGAGAGATTTAGACACATTTTTATACATATCAATTGTACTTTTATTTGCTTCCAACAAAATTGTAGCTACATGTACCGGTATGTACACGTATGTAGAAAGGGTTATGGCTCCTTTGGACACAATTTTGTATCAGCAAAATCGTCGAGAAAATTGAAGAATCCATCTGCCATCTTGGAAAATCTGCCATCTTGGGGGAAAAAACTAAGAGAGAAAAAAGCGACCACCTCCTTTGTTTAAAAAAAGGCCAGACAGGACACTACTTTTTTGTTACTTGGTCTTGGGCCCAATCTTTACCACTCCATGCCTAATGATTCCATAAAATTATACAAAATAAACAAAATGAAATCAAGCTTTTTGAAACTTCTGAACCTTTTTAATATTTTTGTAACATCGTATTTTCCCCCCTTATTTTCTTAGGTGTTCGTATTCGTCTCTTCAACCTCATCATCAAGCTGGTGTCATGCATTCTGTACGTCATTCGTATCCTGCTGGACTCATCGCCAAAACAGGCAGGGCCTTATGGGTAAACAAAAGTTGACATATTCTAACTTATAGCATGTGTCCAATTTCATAGCGCTGCTGAACAGCCGACTTTGTGCTTACATAGCCTCCATCTATTTCATAGGGACCGTTAAGCAGTAAGCACAGCAAAAGCACGCTTAACCCCAGAAGAAAACTTTGCTTACATGTAAATCAGTGACGCAACAATGGAAATCTCCATGCGCGTGCAACCATTAGCACATCCATGCCATGAAATAGTGCTTAAGCAGCAGCATGATTATCTGCTATAGTAAGCACAACTTTTCTGCTTACTGTTAAGCAGTGCTATGAAATTGGGCCCAGCTTGCAGGACCCAATTTCATGGCTCTGTTTACCATTATTGAAAAATCCCTGCTTACTGTAGCAGAAAAATCTGTACTTACGGTAAGCGTATTTCACAGGTTAGCGAAGAATTTTGGCTTCTGCACATGCGTACATCCCGTAACTAAGGATTCTGTGCTTACAGGGTTAGCACAGAGGTTAGCACTGTTAGCACAAAATGGTCATTGTAAGTGCGGAATTCCGTGGTAAGCAGATTCATGAAATTCGGGCCCTGAGGTGGATCGTTTTTATAAACTTTGGGTCCACTTAAAATTTTGCATTATTTCCTGTTCCTGACATTTCATCTGGCATCTATTATTGTATAATTCTGGTGCATCCCATAATGTAGTCCTCCTCCAAGAGTGGGATATTATAGCAAACTACCAGCCCATCCAAATTTAAATGCAAAAAATTGTTTGGAGACATTCTTTACTTGAATGGCAAAATTTGTCTTCATTCAATATACTCAATATTTGCCACAAGAAAATGTGAACTTGTGTCCAGATCATTCTGACTCGCCCTATACATTTAATCTGCATACAGCTTATGCTCCAATGCCCCTCAAAAAGGAAAAATATGTGTTGGTACATTGTACCAAGGTAGCAACGACAGGAAAAATGTCACACTTTGGACCCCAAATTCAGCCCCCCCCCCCTTCAGATCTCTGCCATGGAATTTCATGACTATACCGGTAGGTCAAAGGGTTTTGGTCAAAGGGTTTTGGAATTATGGTTACTTTATTATTCATCGTGAAATTTTTTTTTGCAAGGGCATCGCAGATAAAGTTGAGGGGCCGCCCCCACCCCCTGGCCCTACAGGGTTAAGAGATAAGGGAGTTTCAGGGTTAAAGGCATATAAATTTGCATTTATCCAAAAAGTATATAACCTACGCAATTATTATCAAGAAGCTTATTAAAGATCGTATTAGTACTAAACACCCCGTGAAGTTATTCCATCTGGACTGCTGTCATTTAGAAGAAATCAAGAAATCAAGTAGGTGATTTCTAACAATCAGTCAGTTGACCGTTTGATGGAAATAAAGAGTTCCATTAACAAAATCAGGTTTCTTGATCTAAGGGCCGTGCATGCTTTCTGACTGTTTTGGTTTGCCAACCCTCTCAACATTACTTAGCTTGTAATGAAGTGTCTGACATGTCCTCTCCCATTGAGCTAATCATCTTGGACAGCTCCCCTAAGAATCCACTTACTTGTACATGTGCGTGCCAACATGTATCTTAAAGGAGCGCTTTTGAGCAAAAGTGCCCAATTGGGCTAAAAGACGCGTTTACCACGAAATGATAATAGTTGGAAATAGCTTTAAAATGTACAATGTAGAATACAAATGTCACACAACAATACCTTGGAAATTGGGTGGGTTTTTTTCTCCATGGATTACCACGCGGAGACTTTGTTCCTCAAAAATCGAGACCTTGTTGGTGTGCTAGTAGTTATTCCACTCACGCATGGTTTTTTTTTTCAAAACGTTCTCCAACCGCCTGTGCAATTAGGATCTCTCCTATGTTTATAAATCTAGAAGCTAGTGAGGAACCTGATATCTGACAGTGAATTGAATACATTTTATGTGGTGCTGGTCTTTTGTTGACAACCTGGCTCACAATCATGACAATTCAGTGCTTGAAATATGTAGATTAGATCAGGATCCATTGCCATTGATATCATTGGTCCAGATCCATTGTCGGATGTAAACAAAGGGGGTTTCCAAATGTTCTCAATAAATGTAAGACAACATATATGGAAGTCTTGTGACAAAGACTTTTAAAATAAGCAAAGTAAACAATTCCCCCAATATAAAACATGACATTTTTGTGTTAAATCTATAGCCGAATGTGCATCTTTAAGCTGAGCTGCAGGCACCGGGGACCCTCTTGTCATTTCACATGGATAATTCTCTCAGACACAGTAAAAAATTCATGAAGGGAGAGCATTCCTATTTGCATTCACCTGTTCAACCCTTCTACGTGACTTGAATACAAAAAATGCCAGCCATTGGCAGTGAAGATGGTTATCGCCGAGTGTAAGTCATTGTGCATGTTAGTGTACATAACTTGCTGAGGACTGAATTAATTTAATTAAAGCTAATAAATACCCCCCCCCCCAAAAAAAAAAAAAAAAAAAATGAGTCAGAATGGTCTGGACCCAAATTAAAGAAAATATTTCAAATATTTATTAATCATCAAAACAAATGAGATATATTATAGGCTGGTATTTTTGGACATGTTTGGTGAAAGTTTCATGTGCATTTTGAAGAAAAGTGCTAGCAAAGAACACATGCAAGAAAAAAACACTCTGACCATGGTTCCATGGTTCAACAAATTTATTGAAATCGCGTACTGATGTGAAGCAGTGTAATAACAAATAAAAACCTAGTCATGGTGACTGACTCACTTGAAGATATTGACACATTTAAAAAGGGCAAAACCGATTCCGTGTGCAGACTGGAAAATGTGCCACTTCAATGAAAATGGCATAAATCCTCACCACAGCCACTAATTTGAAAAATTCAAAATTCCTGTGGAAGACAAGCTAATAACCATTTATACATGACACACTAAGTTTGTCCTCAATATACTCAATATTTGCCCCAAAAAAATGTGAACTTGGGTCCAGATCATTCTGATTCACCGTGTACATTTAACCTGCATACAACTTATGCTCCAATGCCCCTCTAAAAGGTAAAATATGTGTTGGTACATGTGAACAGTGTGCTTCTTAAATTATTTATGTTCTCTTTCCTAAATAGAGGGGAAATATCTTAGAATACATGTAATGAGGAAGAGAACGACGAACAAAGAAATGAAAAGACACTAGGTCTTCCTGATTAGCTTGGAGCACTGTCTGGTGACGTGCGTTACAAGTCCTGTAAGTTTGCCAAATCCATCATCATCAGTGAACCAGTAGGAATACTGGTACTTATAATAGGGAGTGGGAGATGCTACATTCTGTGCACACATACTGAATCACCAACGGAAGGAAATATCACCAAATCTATGTGAAATTCAAGGTATTGACAAGATACAGTGAATGTATCCCATATCCCAAATTCATTAAAATACGGAGTAGAAGATGTTATTACATACTGTTCAGTACATTGGATTTATAAGATTCTTTTTTTTTTAGGGAGGGGGGGGGGGTTGGGCATAGTGTCAAAGACATTGACAAGAAACTGTATTCCATGTTCCAAATCACTAGTCATCTGATATTAAAAGTGTTGAAATATTTCAAACTTAAAAGAAAATATGTAGAGATTTTTACAGAAAATTTTAAAGGTTTGTTCAAATGTGTGCGTGCGGAAAGTAACTGTAATTTGATCTCATACATTGTAGTCCGTTGGCCCATAATATAATTATATGTACCATACGTGTGCCATGGCCAGTGTGTGCCATGGCCAGGTCTGATTTCCTGAAGTGCATCAGGCAGCTGGAGTTGTCATCAAGCTTTCTGAAATTTCATCCCTATTCAAAAGGGGAAAAAATTAATGAAAAATGCACAATAGCATCTGGGCTTGCAGGAAAATGATCAAAATTGAAAGGCAAGTTAGTTTTCGAGCGAGTTGAAAGCAATGCTCTCTGTGAGTGACAGTGTTTATGCAGGATCAATATTTGCTCTATCTCTTCATAGACAGGGGTGTGAAATCTCAGCTTTAAAGCTGATTTCAGCTTTTTTTGTTTTGGATTTCAGCTTTTTTCTCTCACTTGCGGTGTACAATAGTATATGAGATTTCCAAAGTTCAGCTTTTTTACACCTTTTTCAGCTATTTTCAGCTATTTTTATCAGTAGTCACTCACACCCCTGCATAGAATCGTACAACAAACAAGCACTGCAGATGTGCAATTTTTGTATGCATGACAGAATTGCAAACCAAATATTGATAATTGTTTTGATTTGTCTTCAAAAAAGGAAACTGAATTTTGTTTAAAAAAATTCTTGTATTCAATTTTTTTTTACAATGGCCAGTATCTTGGATGCCATGCAATCAGATCAGTAATATGATTTCTGTGGACTTTACATTTTGTGATCACTTTTGCACAGTGCATACATCTATGTAATTTATATGCACAAATCATAATTCATTTCATAAGGTACATGTAGAATACAACATGTACATGTACTGGTAGCATCCTCATACATGTCCAGTGTACATTGCTGTCTGACAGAGTTGGCATGCATGGCTGATTGGCCTTGGACTTTCTTAAGTTCTCAAAAATTACCTGCAATGTAATTGATGTACAGTAGCTGCAGAGAAGAACACTGGATTAGGCAAAAAAAAATAGTTCTGCTTGCTTCCAATTACACATGTACATGGCTTTTGAAAATCGGGTAACGGTAGGTACTGGTACCCCCGGAAGGTAGGGATTTTTTTTGGGGGGGGGGGGGGGCAATTTTTGTGTGTACGATCATATGGAGGTACCGTATCTGCATGTAAGGGTAAAAGGTAGTACATGTAATTGATGGTTTTCAGGGTTTTTCCCCTCATTTTACCCCCAACAAATTAGGGTACATGTTGTAGGGGCTGTCAAAGTAGGGTTATGTAGGGTAACAGGAGGCAGAACTATCATCTTTTTTCGCCTAATATCTCATTGCTTGCTTCACCAGATGTATTACACTGTACATGTATATTTAATTTTTGACTAGATGTATTGCACTGCATACGTGTAGTTGCTGGACATTTTATGGCAAGTGCCATGAGTATGGGCATTGCCATGAGCATGGGCATTGCCATGAGCATGGGCATTGCCATGGGCATTGCCATGAGCATGGGCATTGCCATGAGCATGGGCATTGCCATGAGCATGGGCATTGCCATGAGCATGGGCATTGCCATGAGCATGGGCATTGCCATGAGCATGGGCATTGCCATGACCTTGGGCATTGCCATGAGCAGCATGGGCTTGCCATGAGCAGCATGGGCTTGCCATGAGCATGGGCGTCACCATGAGCATGGGCCTCACCATGAGCATGGTGCACAAAATTGACAATTGATGCATGTACCGGTACCCATGTACACATACAATGTACCCTGTGTACATGAAATAAACACAGCATGGTGCATTATTTCACGGGGCCTCTGGGGAATGGAGGCTATTTCGTAATGTAAATTAAATGCCAATTACATTTAATTACTTTTGGCATTGTGTATGCTCAACTGCCATCCGATATTCCCCCTGCGGCTATGGTCCAATGATTTCTCGTTGAACGTCACATCGTCTCATGCTCTGCATGTGTAGTCAGGCAGTTACCGTTGTTGCTCTGTAATTATAACTTTGGGATTCTCTACACACACGTTCAATAAACAGTTTTATCAATTCAATTGATTTTTTTTTTCTCCTCATTTGGTTTATTATAACCTTGTGAGTCAGTACATTTAGTTAGTTGGAATCAATTTAGGTTGCCCTTCACTGACACGGTGTCAGTGTTACATCCAAAATGACATTTTTTGCTCATATTTTTGGCAAAATACATTGAAATCATTTCAAACTTTCTGCAGTCGTGAAACACCCAACAACAAAAATTATGTATCTAGAGCAACTGCTAGCAAGGCATTCATGCTTTTCTTAATATGGTCATATGTCACACATTATTCCCCAACCCGGTGGAATGACCCATATATTGGCAAACTGTAGTTGTGGGATTGGGATACCAGACCACAAAATGAGAGGGAATTCCCCAGTAAACGCCCCACCCTTACCCCACTCATTCTCCCTGCATTGTACAGAATGTGTTCTTTTTGTAATATGCATCTGATTGTGTTTCTTATTTTTCAGCTATTCTGCAGAGGCCAACCAATTGGCCGATGCTACGGAGATGCCTTCAACACCATACCCGTCCATGTGGTAAGTTAAATACTAATATGTCGTATTCAAGTCCTTATCAAAGTCACACACTTCATCATGATCAGAGTACTTGGGATTTAGATTTTTGGACTGTAATATTTGGACAAAATGGTACAATTAATGAACGTGCGAAGTATTTATAAATATAAGTGTCTCAGTTCTCCTGCAAATATTTATACTGATGTCAGACTGTGTGTCCAACCATTCACATTCGTACTCGTTCAAAATAGTAAGCCGGTACAACAGTGATACTTATGCTTGATTCCTAGTTAAAAACTTTTATGTGTGTCACAAGCCAATATGGCCCATCAGCCGGTATTTATCTCCGTTTTCAGTGCATGAAATGACTGAGAATATTTCTATTCCCCCTGAATGGGATGCTAGTCCATCGCAGGTTACTCCCCAGCTAATGCTGGTACCCATAAATACTCCTGTGTGGAGAGAGACAAGTTGGGGTGAAGTGGCTTGCCCAAGGACACAATATATGGCCAGCAGCTGGATTTGAACCCCTGTCCCTCTGATCATGAGTCATGAACCCTGAACACTATGCCACACTCCTTTACATCACTAAATATTTAAATATCCTTTGGTGCTCGGGGAAAAGAGCTTGACTGTATTGTGCATTAAAAATTCATCATCAGTTGTAAATATTTACTAACCTAATCAGGGCATTTGCTCCCCGTGTTGTAAAAAATAAAGGGGGAAAATGAATTTTAGCTAATGTATCAACAATGTACCAAAAAAATTGGCACTATAATTGCCAATTTTTTTTCTCAGGGGATACTTGAAAATTTGACAAGTCAAGTTTTGGACAGTATACATTTGATGAATTGTCAAAATCACATCTTTAGTAGAAATCTTCCAGAAACAACTCCATAAACTGCGAAATGCAAAGTTATACTTAGATCTTCATCTGTTATGTCATTTTTGGGGGCCAAAATCCCATCGCAAATGATGCATATATGTACAGGCCTCAAAATGTTCAGGCTGGGTCAGTTCCAAATTCTGAAGCATGCCGTTTGGTGATAAATCTTGTCTCTCATTTCTCAAATTGATCGTGTCTGTTTGTTCATTTGCAGCTGCAAGCCAGAGGATGATTACATGAAGGAAGTGAATTGGTAAGTTTTATGACATGCGTGCTTAGTCTGCAGTATTTGCCAGGAACTTAGTCAGACTCCTTACGGCAAACAAATCAAATTTTTTTGTAAACCTGATGAAATACTCAGATTCCCTTCCACTATTCAAACATGATGTCCGCAACAGGCTTTCAGAGCTAAAGCTATCGGTACAGATACTGATAGTTTTATACCAGAGATTAGGGAGCTGAAAACACTGTCTATTTTTTTTGTGTCACATTATATTCCTTTGGACTCAGTATTAAAAGGTACACTGTACAATGTATACCGAGTCAGGGTCTCATATATTTAAGTCATTCAAAGATTGTTTTACTCAGATTGACTCAAAGATGTTGTTGTTATTATTTCCGATGTCATGTAATAATTGTTTCCTATCTGTGTTTTTCAGGGCGGCCATTTTGTATGTGAACCGTAACCCTGTGCTATGGGCCATTCAGCTAACCATCGCTATCATATCCCTGGTCCAAGCACTGCTCCTGCTTTTTCTGCAGTACAAGGTAAAAAAAAAAGCAAACTCGTTAATTTTAACCACAATCAACAAATGTTTTCAAAGATGTCCTCATTGCAATTTTGAATTTGTCACTTTGGCCACATGGTGATGAAAATACGTGAAGTGCTTTGATGTACAGGCTTTAATATTTCCAACAGTTGAGGACGCTGGAATGAACTCTGTCTGGTGTTGAACAGAGGTGAAAGTACTTTTATCGAAGGGCATTTAAAGGTAGTATACAACATTTGCTTTTGCTGTAATTGTCAGAAATGGATGGGTTTGGGGTTAGCTAATTTAAAGCAAATGTTTTCACACTGACCAGTTTAAAGTTTTGTGTTTAGGAAACAAACCAAGAAAATAATACATGCTTGAAGTCACGTTCCCCTGATTGACTTCAGACCAAACGGAACAGTTCATAGATGTTGGGGAATTATCAGGTCGGGGAACTAGACAGTAGACTAGCTGGCTTGCACACGTTCACAGATTTGTAACTGATAGCAAAAAAAATGTGGACTAACTAAATTTGGTAAATTGGGGGCAGTATTTGAAAAAAGTCAGTTTTTTCCAACAATGGTCAGCCGACCATCATTGGAAATTGATACAAAAATTCCACTTTTCTTAAAAATGACAGCACACTAGGTGCCACGATTTCACAGCATACTTAATTGAGACTATTATTCACTTACAGTCAAGTAAGGTATTTCATAAAAATCAATATTTTTTTTTTTTATGTTTGCAGATGTTGTATTATTACCTTTAAGTTTACTTCACTTCAAAAGTTTGTTTTGTTAAATTGTCAAAATAAAGGGACTTTGAACATTGAACCATTGGCATTTCATTTGTGTTTAAACATCATGGGCTCATTTCATGAGGATAGTAAACCCTCAAAAGCATACCAAGTGAAAAAAAAATTGGTCTTTATAGTGAAAACAGGTTACCAGCTAAAACGTCATGTGATATACAGCTTGTGACGGGTCCCCGGCTGATGCTTTTCCTGCATGCAGATTTGATCAGCAATACAGTGTTTTTTTTAGACTTCCGACCGACTACGTGACATTGGGCCCTAGTATTGTGTGCACTGTTCATGTGCAAAGACGGAAAGGTTTGAAATGGCAAATATGCAGTTGTTTTATGCACAACTGTTGTCAGTATCTACAAACGTCAATATTATCCCCCTGAGCAAACCTTCGTAAACAAGCGAAGTTCTTTCGTGCTAAATTGCTCTTAACCAGTTCCTGTTCATTCATACGTGTCTTATCTGTTTCCATGGAAACGAGAATGGCCTCCAACAAAGACATTGTCTTTTTACAATATGAGGAGACAGCAATTGTCTTCTGTTGTTGATAGTGATTTTGGTTGCCTAGCAACGGAGTCATCCAGGGCCCATCCTTGAAGTGTCCTCAACTGGGCAACCTTGAATTTGCTTGAATAATGCAAACTTACATGTATAGTGCTTTTTGTTTTGAAAATACAGGACCTTATTGATTACATTAAGGCACATCAATTATTTAAACATGAAATTTCCATCGCGGAATTTGTGATACACAAAACAAGGCATATTACAAATCAAAAGTTTCAAGCAATAATAAAAGATTTGCCAATTTTTGTAAAGATAGAACTTGAGTAATCTGTGACTCTCTTCTTCAATATGAAAGATATTTACATTAATACAGTTAGCAAGACCCTCACGCAGAAGGAAACACTCAACCTGATACTCTACAATCTCCTGGCATTGATGCATGGTTTCTCCTCTTGAAATGGGTTTCCGGTTGATTGGATTTCTAGAACATGTGTTTGATGAAGCGCCAGACTGGCAGACATTGTTTGCATTAATGATCTGGCCACAGAGACAACTTTCATTTGGTAAATGTACATTGTACATGTATATGATGCTCTTGGTAGTCTGATAGTTCATTTTACACATGTATGACACCTTTTTTTTTTTTGGCTACAGTTCTGTACATGATGCACTTATAACATTGCAAGGCCCTCAAAGACGTCATCCAGTTGCTTCTGTAAGCCATCAGAAAAATCCCAACAATTTCAGAAGCATAAAGCCATTAGAATCATGGAAAACATTTTCTATAAACAGAGAAGTGACAAAATACATCACATACATTGTACATACATGTACGGTACATCTAAACTGTCCATAGTAGTCCTTTTTAAGTCAACTCCTAATGGAATTTCAGACAGACAACTTTTATTGACATTTTGCACGAGATGTCTTGGGATTGAAGTGTTTACCTGATTGTCAATGACGCATAAACCTTGTCTCTTTTGGAAGTGGACTGTATGTGGACAGATGAAGTTACTGAAGTGTAAGGTGTGAGTCTAGGTCGGGGCTATATTATATTTCTCATGTTGACACCCAGATGTGCAGACTGAGATCTCCGTCTGCGTAGGATAGCTATTTTTCCCCCTCTCAACTGGGATTTTTACAGAACCGTCTTTCTTTGCTCAGGAGGACCGCAGGGAAATCAGTGCAAAGGCAAACAGGACAGGTTGCCCTCTGAATAAAGAATGAGGGGCGAAAAGATGAATAAATAAATACAATCATTGCAGAGATGCAGCAAATGAAAAAGAAATACTCTCGTGTTTCCTCAGATGGGCCCCTGAAACAAGAAGTTCATCTCTTGAGCGTTTGTTATATATGCACTGCCTAATTTGCTTTTAACTGATTGTTTGTAATTTGAATCCAGTTTGATTTTTTTTTCTATCTGTTTCTAGGGCAACCTTTTGCAGCAGATTTGCACAATCTACTTTTTCCTGGAGCTGCTGAATACGGTGCCGTTTGTACTCACGGTAAGAAGCCCTGACCCAATTTATGTTCTAGTTTCTGATAATGCTGTCCCCAAAAGACCAAAAAATAATCATGTAATAGTGTACGGTACATGTACTGGTCAATCGATTTATATATTAATCTACGTCCATGAGACTGTATTATTATTATTATTTTCATTCTGTTTTCACCACTTTCAGCTCAACTTATTCAATTAATAAGCAAAAAGTCGATAAACACTTGCATGGGGCCTATGACATGACATTTTTAGGGCCTGAGTCACGGACTTCATGATACATGATCAACTCATCCTTTTTGTAATTTGTTTTCTTAATCTTTGCAAATGTCTGCATATATACTTACTTTATAATATTTTGATGGCTAAATGCCTTTTTGAATAGCGATGCAGTGTACCGGTAGTTCCACAAGATTATCGAAATTAAAAAAATATGATGTCTTTATCGTTACGTGTTTTCATTGCTGTCCTGAAAAAGAATCCTTTTAATGGATTTTTCCTTGGTAGTTAATTATTAAATGAAATTGTTGAATCCAAATAATAAACATGCATTTTGTTAGTATGACTTTATCCTTGAGGATTTATGTTAATGTAATTACGTTGTACTTCCTCTGTCTGTCAGCCTGATATGAGATTAATTTAAACATCACAAAGGTTCATTTCCACAGCGAAATGGTAGTTGAGAGGCAGCCTGATATTGATTATTTTTTACCAGGTTTTGCCGGGCAGATCTAGAGAGAGGGGAAAAATCCATATTACTTAGAGACACCAAACTATAAGGGGCACTGCACAATACAACGCTTCATTAAGCATTGGGTCTGGAAAAAGGCTTTTCATCTTCATGGTCAAGTCCCTGCACATAATGTATTAAACCTGTCAGCATGAAATGAGCTTAAAATTGCCATTTTGCAGTTCAGTGGGGCAAAGCCAAATATGAGGTGTGGTTGATTCTGTATTGTCAGGTAAACGTCAATCTGTAAGTCCTGTTCTACCGGTACCTTTTTCCTTTTTATTTTTGTGTTTCAAACATTTGTAAAAGCAATTTTCATCCAGTTTAAGTAGTTGGCTGTTCATTCACTGTTATACAACAGCAGGATTTTCAATGCCATTTTCTCCAATTTTTGTTTATACTACTACTACTACTATTTTATTTCTCGGGAATAAATCAACAAATACATGTAAACAAATGACTAAAGTTACAACACAAAAACCAAAACTTTAGAAACATAAACAAACAAACAAACAAAAACAAAATACCATTCAGCTCCCGAAGGATTGCCCAAAAGAAACATTGTTTCTGTCTAGGGGTTCTCCAAACTGACTGGCATACGTGAAAACAACAAGCCATAAATATAAAAAGTAGTTTTAACTATACAACAAAAAAAGTAATGTTTGTTTTGTTTTTACTTTTATTTTGTTCAATTTAGTTCAATAAAACATATATTTTCACTCTGTGTAGGCATCATCCCAAAAAGCCGAAGCTTGTGGTGGATGTGCCCAACAATACAAGACAAAACTAGACAAACAAAGCTTATTATAGAATTTAGACAAAATATCAAAATTAAATAGACATGTATAACGGTTAAACAAAGCAGACACGACAAATAAAAGCATTTTAAAAAACGGGTAAACCAACTGAACGTAATAATGAATCAGGCACTCTGAGAACTAAGTAGGAATGTTTTTAGTTTATATTTGAATGTATTATTTCAAGTTGGCTGTCTTTATTTCCACTACAGAATTAAGTACCCCCAAATGTCATGCAGTTACAAAGCTCTTGTTCTGCAGAATCCAGAAATGAAAACATCTTAAATTCTTAAAAAGTCCGACCGAATGCTCATTTTGTGGTGAGGGGTTTCATATCCTGCAGCAGTTAATTACATGTCTTTGCTTCATTGTTTACAATGTACAAATGTATGTAAATGTAAAAAAAAAAAAAAAAAAAAAACCAGGAATTGAAATGTTTTTTTGTTTTGCCATGCTGCAGATTTTTTGGGAGCCCCTTCGGAATCTCTTCATTCCCGTCTTTCTCAACTGCTGGCTCGCCAAGAACCTGCTACAAAATTTGTTTGTGAGTAGACGCACGCACACAGCTGCTATTTTTCTTGATTCGTTTTTCTGACTGAGCGAGCAATTTTTGACAGCTCATCAAACCATGAAATGACCCGTCCACTATACCATGTGACAGAACACGGCTCAAAAGGAACTGAAAAGACTGATGAAGTGGAACACAAATGGAGCTTCCATAGTGATTGCTGCATTCAATCTTGTTTTTGTCAAGAGCAGATGTACAGAGATTTTAAGATGCAAAAACAAGAAGAGCTGATTTCTAGTATATTTAATATGTACAATATATTAAACTGTTATAATTTTTCCTTTAGGTATTCATTTGTGGGATTATCCCCCTCCTCTGAAAACTAAATATTCCATTATTTTCTTCTGCAAGATTTCTTCCGTTTTCTGACTTTTGGCATATCCTTGGCTTTATTTTTACCAAGAAAAATAATAATAATAACTAGTAAAAAAAAGCAGCAAAAAGATTTAAACTTGGAGGAAAATGTTTCTTATTTTCAAATAACTGTTCTTTTTTTTTTTTTTAGAATGATCTTCATCGGGTAATGCAAAAGCCCCACTCTGCCTTATCGCAACAGTTGATGATTCTTCTCTGCACTGTCCTGTGCCTCATATTCACAAGGTGAGCTTGGGCCCACAAAATGTTCATTTCTTTTATTTTTAAGTTAAATTGTCCATGTCAATATTGATGTTGCTAGTCAGTGTGCAATGCAACTCATGTTCTAAGCATGTTTGTCTGGTGTATCGGCAGCTCTCTGTATGGGCCTTATTCACGAGTGGGCCGGAGAGTGAGGTGAAATCTTCATGTTTAGAACCTGTGTAGAGAAACGAAAGCAATGATGTTACAAATTAATACCAGTCTGCTCTGATGAATAATTTAAAATTTGTGATTAAACATACTCTAATGTTTTTAGCCACATTTAAACATGTTAAAAAAAATAATTAAAGTGAGGCTATAGTGAATAAATAGTCTGGCACCATCCCATTCAACAGTTCACAATTTATGAAATACATTCAGGGAACACAACAAAAATGGCCAACTTGTACATAAGGCCCATTCTGTACATCAGCAATTGTGATCCGGAGGAGGAATTTTTTTCCAGGATCTGAAGATATCAAGAAAGATTCTTACGCGGTAGACTATCCACATTTGCAAATTGGTGGTAATAACAGCCAGGACCAATTATCTGCTAATTCTGCTTTGGGCTGAGCAAAAGTCAAATTGTGAAGCAGGCACCAGCAATTTACCTTGTTACATTTTGCATTTGTTAAACATGTTAAAGGGAATGTACAACATTTGCTCTTGTTGCAATTTTCAGAAATAAATGCATTTGGAGGATTAGTATGTTATAGCAAATATTGTTAAACTGTTGTTTCACGTTTTGGGCTTGTAGATGCTGGAAAAACCAAGAAAACCAACCTTGTTCTTGTAGTCTGGTTCCCCGACCCCACTTAAGATGAAACGGAGCAATTTGTAGACTTTGGGGAATTGTAAGGTCAGAGAATCAGTCTGGCAGGCTTGTACCCCTTCACAGGTGTGTAATCAATTGCAAAGAAAATGCAGAATAACTAAAATATGAAATATTAGGAGCAGTTTTGTAAAAAAAGAAGCCAGTTTTCTCCTTCTGGTAATACCAGGAGCCACGATATTACAGGATGCTTTAGACTCTCATTCCCTAACAATCTAGTAAGGTATTTCGTGATAATTTGATCATTTCGTTTTTTGATGTTTGCAAATGTTGTGTCTTCCCTTTAAGCGAATATACATGTATTCTGTGCTTAGAAAGTCTCTGAAGTCTGACATTGTCCCTAGGTCATTAAGCTCCCATTTTGCATTATTAAAGCAAGGTTCACCCTCCTTCTCATGTAAATTGCTCTTGGGAGGAACGCTTTGTCACACTTCTTGCTCAATTGGTTGATCGTTACTTGAGCTTTGTTCACTAATGACTGAATAATACATGTAGCACTAGCACATAGTGGCAATTGCCTTGCAGTACCGTGAATGTAATTAGTAATGAGTTCTGCTGTTCAGGTTGTCTGTCCTCTAATGCATGGTTCTAGGATCATTATGCAGCCAACAAGAAGAAACCACACATTTCATTACAGTGTACACACTGGGTATTCAAACCTGTATTGTGTTTTGTTTACTGGTATATTTTTTATTTATTTTTTAAAATATATCCAGGTTTGCAGAATGATAAGAAAAAGTACTGAGCTAGTTATTTCCCACTAGATCAGAGCAAGCCTGAAATCTGAAAATATATTCATTTTTGTTGTGATTATTAATTAAAAACTTCTTCAAGTTAGTCTAGCATCCTGCAAAAAATCATGAAAAGTGAATGACATTTTATTTATTTATTTGAAGAAAAAAAATTATAAGAATTTTACAGTTGAAACGGTACGAGAATTAATTGATATAAAAACAGACAAGGATTAACCCTCAATTTGCATAAACACGTCTGCATGGACTTTCCACGATTCTTGCCAAGTTGTGTAAATTACTATTAACCAGCCAGCAGCAATTGGGGACAGCATGCACCATTTAAAGATGATGCACTGTTCTGGATTTATGCATGATCCATGTAAACCCCGCCCCTTTGCGTCTCCCCGCTATGTGCTAGAAGCGTGCACATAACACATGAACTTGTGAATCTATTTCAGACTTTTGTCAGATATTTGGTCGCAGCAATCATACATGTAGCTGTGATTGGTCATAATCATGAGGCATGGCTTAAAGATGGTACTTTACATTTAAGTTGTAAACGTTTAGCCAAACTATTAGTAACTGTTTACGAATAAATGTGGTACACTTGAACCACAAGTGTAAAGTTCTCAAAAGTATCACATGTCTTTTCTTTTTCAGATGGGGTTGGGATCGGGACGGGGAAATGTAGATTTTATTATCCATGTTTTTGTTAAAACATTTAGGAAAATTTACATACATTTAAAAAAATCTTTTCATTTAAACGTCATGTCCTTATCATGGCGCAACAGCTCCTACAGTAGGCTGGGCTCCGCATTCCAGAATCGATTAAATTACTTGAAAAGCCTCAGTTGATCTTCTTGATTTCAGGGCAGTTGTGATTTTCAAATCAATGAAATAGTATTATCGTCTTGTTTTCACCCTACCCCCAAACTTCCCATGCCCTCATATACATGATTCCTGTCATTGTCTTTATCTTGACTTTCCATCCGCAGGAGCTTTCATCAGTGCTGCATGCTGTAGTGAATGGGTGTACATTAGTGCTGTGTCCATGTACATGTACAATGCTAGTGGTGGTTGGTACTCGATCAACGTAGTGTAGAAGATTATGGTGACTATTATTGTGTCTGTATGCTTTATGCTGCTTATCCTGCACTGTGTTGTTGTAAGTGATAGATCAAAAAAATCAGTCATTTTTCCTGCATTGTCTGCAAACCTGTTTAACCTTTTTAATTGTTTCTTGTTTTGTTTTGCTGCACCAAAAACTTTTCAGAACATTGCTTGCACGTTTGCATGAAATGAAAGCATATGCACGTATGTTTATGTGAATGCACATTCCGTTACAAATGTAAATATATTCCTTTCATTTAACTTCAATGTTCACCTGTGTCAAAATTTGAAGAAAAAAATTAATTAAACTGTTGAATTGAAAAGATGTTTATCTGAAACTGTTCCAAGTCACAAATGTAAAAAAATTATTATCAATTAATTTTTTTACATTTGAATATGAACATAAACATTCCATAAAGGTGAGTGTGAACCTTCAATTTGGTTAAATGTATCGTCACGTGGACCAATTTACGTTGTTAATGATCAGTTTTGAAGCAAAACTAAACCCAATGGTCTCTTTCAGTCATACATGTAGAAAGAACAAAACGTGCATAAATCTCGTAATTTGGTCCGGCTGTCCTTTTAGTGTTTTTCAACCACTGTAATTGGTCAAATTTTTGAGTCTGTGGTTTTGTCCAATCACGATGTTTGCAGCTGGATGGGAATCCACCATTTGGAGAGAGGGGACAATCATGGCATGCCGCTGTTCCACGCGCTGTACTTCACCATCGTCACGTTCTCAACGGTGGGGTACGGGGACATCCATGTAGACATCTGGCCCTCACAGCTCTTCATCTTGTTCATGATTGCGGCCGCCCTGGTTGTCTTGCCCATACAGGTAAGGGCTGGTTCTTAAATACTCAACCAAAATATGCATGTGGACCTGGACGGACATGCTTCAAATTTCCATAAGTTGGTGCATTTTTAACTCTGGTGAATTTTGCTGTGGTTGGCATTTGGCGTCAAATTTTATTTTGCATTTGCAACAGTTGTGTGAAGGATAAACTGTCCTTTGGAGAAAAGAAGTGGAATTTGAATTATTCAGAAAATCTAGGGAAATTTAGGGAAGTTTTGAAGCATTGTTGAAATTAGGGGGATTCTTAAAAAAGAATTTACAATGTTAAAATAAAAGATGGAAATTTTAATACACATCCATCCTGTAGTTGTTAACAAAGATCAATCGAGTCAAATTCTGGAACTTAATATGTGCAATTTTGTGATGTTACGTCCCAAATATTGAAGTTTAGCAAACAAACTTGGGAAGGACAGCCACTTAACCATGATATTTAATTGTTGATTCCGAGAAATGATCCAAAACTCCTAGTCTGTGTTCTGTGGTCTCCTTCATCATTACTATTTGATGGATGTAGAAGATTTGAATAATACATTTTCAGGTTAATTCACTGAACTCTTAAAAAAGCTTTTATTTTATTAATTTCTCCATTGAAATTTCAAACTCCATAGCTTGTCACTTGTAGGGTACAAGGATTCTGAGGTCACATTGTCTCTGTTAGTATTCCTGGTACCCCATAAAGACCATGTACATGTAGGTATAATCACACCTGCCGACACATTTGCCATCTCCACAGTTGGAGAGGCTAGCTTACCTGCTGATAGAGCGACAGAAACAGGGAGGCACCTACAGCCAGCACCGGGCCGAGTCAGGCAAACACGTCGTGGTCTGTGCCACAGTGTTACAGTACGATTTGATCACAGACTTCTTGAACGAGTTCTACGCGCACAATCTGCTGCATGTAAGTGAGGCAGAAGAAGTTGTTTAAAATGTCCAACTGAAGAATTCATGGAGTGCAACTTTTGTATACTGGATCCTTAATATGCGTGAGATTGCCACATCTTCTTGGTGTTATGCATCATTGGACAAAGCTGCCTCATTACCTGGAGCAGTGCTTCCCCTGCCCATTCAAACATGAGGTGGCCTACCTCTCTACTTTCAGTGGCCACGTCGCTCAATTTTTGCCAATACCACCACCTCGCTGTGAACATTTACAATATCAATTGAAAAATTTTCATTTTGTGTAATTTATGAGCGTTTTCCTTGACCTCCATGTATCAAGAACTCACAATTTTGATGTGTTTTTGGAATCATCATGTCTTATTGTGAGTGCTGCATTCTTTTCAGTTTGCAGACTGTAAATTTCGTTTCAAATCATCAATTTGAATTGTTGCCACCTCGCTCAGTGCATTAGCCAGGGAAAACTCTGACCTGGAGGGGCATTTATAACTATAAGAAGCAGATTCTTTTCTACCCAAATTCTGAAGAGGGGGCACAAGTCTCGAGTTGGGGGTTGGTGCATCCCACATGCCCCCCCCCCCCCCATAAAACCATATCCCCACCGTAGTTATGCCACTGCCGCATCTTGCTGATTTGTGATAAACACTTATGACAACCTCAATCTGGCAAACAGTGCTATTCAGTACATTCAGTTACAAGTACTAGTAGTTGCAAAAACGGTTTCAAAGCATCCATGATATTGACAGGGGTGTGAAATCTCAGCTTTAAAGCTGATTTCAGCTTTTTTTGTGTTGGATTTCAGCTTTTTTTTTCAGCTTTTCCCTCACTTGCTGTGTACACAAGTATATAGGAGATTTCCAAAGTTCAGCTTTTTCACACCTTTTCCAGCTGTTTTCAGTTATTTTTATCAGTGGTCACTCACACCCCTGATTGATCTGCATAACAATAACACAATGTCCTTCTCGTCCATGTTGCAGGGCCACTTTGTCGTCTTGGTGTCGCCGTGTGAGCTGGATAATGCCCTGCGTGCATTACTGCAGGTGCCGCTGTGGGCTAATAGGGTCATCTACATCCAGGGGTCTGTCTTGAAGGATCAGGACCTCATCCGATGCAGGTACAGTAACACACCAAAGATGCTTGACCATTCACAACCATCCCTAGAAGAAATCTTAATATGACTCTTAAGAAATCTTTTTTTTTCTCTGTAACATTTATTGGCAGGATCAACATTGCCCAGGCTTGCTTTATTCTCTCCCCTCGCAATGTCATGGATAGGTCTGAGGCCGTAAGTACATCATTCTAATCAAATTCATATTTGTCATCCAAACAAATTAGTCGGGATGGCATACTTATTTGTGGTATGTGTATTATATGGAAATCCATCAACTAATAGCCATTCTGTGAATTTAGGTCTAGCTTTATTGTCAAGCCTTTGTCCATGTTTATTGCAGTTAAGGGAGGGTAATTTGATGTTGGCAGGTGTACAATGTAAATCGATAAAATTCTGCTGAACTCTGCCTCTAAAACTCTCTGCTGTTTGGTAACAAAATCCGAAATACTTGTACACTGAACATTTGTGAATAGAAGTGCAATTTTGAAATAACCCTACTGGTAGTTACTTGTCTATAACTTTTACGTAAGCTTCTTCATGTCTGACAAGCTCTTCCTAACTAAACAGTTTAAAACTTGAATAGCAATCTTCTATATACCGGTATGCAAGCTCCTTAGAATGTACCGTAGCTGTGTTGAGATAAGTTGGATCACATGCAGCATGTGTGGGCTCTTACGCTAATGCTTTTTACTTCCACTGTAGTCTTTGTGGTGATTTATGTCTTTCCCTCAGCAGCAAAGGGAAAACATAGTCACACATTTTTTACAATTGTTTAATTTTTTTTTCTTCTATTTCCACATTCATCAGTGTTTAATGCCAGGACCAAAAATACAAATCAACTTAACCCATGAGCACATGTACTACATTGTATTACATTGTATTACATTGTGTTTATTACCTGAAGAATCATAAAACCCTAAAGTGGTCGGGTGGTTTGGGGCGCTACAGTTACTCAAGGGTTAACACTAGAATCAACTAGTGGGAGAAATATATAGGGAGTAATAGGCAGCCTAGGGCCGATTGAGGCGCTACAGTTACTAAAGGGTTTAACTAACACTAGAATCAACTGCACATTGCATGCGTGTTCATAAACGAGTACCGTAGTTAATAGATACAAGTAAGAAAGAAATAGAATATATGGAAATGATTCCACAGCGATAGATCACTTACACCTAACACGTTGCCGCATTTCATTAATTGTGTCATTTCACGGTGCAAATTACACATGTAGTAGTAGACACGTGATGAGTTAGTCTTTCACACCAGCCACTGAATGCAGTTTTTTTTTGTTTACATTGTACCATGTCCATATATCTACTAAGACTGTTCAACTCTGCTACAGTGATGTTCACAGCAATAGTGAAGATAAAAAAACATAATCCCTCAAACCAACTTTGCCCTTTAGTTTTTAGCGTAGGGAGCGATGCTTCCAGAGCATATTTTCATAAACTTGATTTACGTGACAATATACACAAAGTCAAAGTGCTGTCGGCTGGTCACTGATTTAAAGTTTGTATTCTTTCAACGTTAGAATTGTTTTCTCTTGAAACTGACAACGCAGTGTTTTCCTTCCCACTTCCTGCTTCTCTCAGGCCTTGACTTTGCGCAAGAACTCTAAACATGACCCCTCTGACAAAAAGCAAGGTGTCTCCTCGAACACTATCAGAGACAGAATAGTAAGCACTCATCAAGGAAAGAAAAGCTCTTTGCCTGTCGTTTCTTTAGTCTCTTTCAATTCCTTGTCCTGTACTTGGGGGTACTCAAGTCTTTCTCACGCAAAGCATTAAAGGGGACGTGTGTTGCTGTGTTGATAAGCTGGCGTCTGTTGGTTTCAACTCGAGATGGAATGTAAAATGGAAATTCGGTCCGAGTTAAACATTTGTAATGCTGCAGTTGGTTGAGTCTGTGGTTGCTTTGCATGGTTGAGATGTCCGATTGTGAACAAATCAGATGCTGCGTCAGCATTTGCAGCAGCGAGAGCCCCTTTAATGTGATTGCGTGCCAGGCCTGATGGAATGAGCCTTGGAAAATAAATGTCATCTCGAGTCCCTTTTGTACTTTACTCCCTGGCTAAAAGCCTTTGAAGTAGAACCAGACAAATGGACACATATTGGCTCGGAGAACTGAAATTCACCAAAATGTCACTATTTTAAAATCAGGGAAAAAAATCGAGAAAGCAATTTGACGCTGTAGTTTAAATATCACATAAAGAGTTTCGTAGTTAACAGACTGCAACATTTAAAAAAAGAAATTGAAATTAAAATTGTTGAGAGAAACATCATTAAAATATTCACCCTACTCTACGATACGGCTTTGTCCAACCAGGCCTGGAAGTTGAAATGCATGGTCCTGGATATTGTCAGGCCTGAGAGAACCGGGAATAAACTGAGGGCCGTCTTTTTATTTTAATCCTGTTTTATAACGACTAACAATTTCTGATTAACCATGACATGTTCAGTTTTGCACATAGCTTTTGCTCGTTAATGTTACACACAACCGTTCATTGTCCTGCAAAATACAAAATGTCTTCCCCAGTGCAACCCACACATACTGCACAATTATGTTGTTTCTTTTGGTGCATGAAAAGTGCTCACTTTTTATTCCTTTCTAACAATGGCAGATTTAAGAGTTTGAATTCCTAAGCATCAGAACAGGGGAAAGAAATGTTGCCGGCGTAACAAACTTGTGGAATTTTGTTGAGTACCCCCACTGTACTCTTGTGATGATTGATGATTTTTTTGATTTTTGTTTGTTTGTATTTTTTTAACGTATAAAAATTGATTAATTTTGCTAACTGCATATTGGTGGTGTGTTTCATATACAACAGGTGTTTAATATATTTGTGATGCATACCATAGTAAGCATGAGAATGTTCCTTCTCCCAACACACATACATTTGTGTTCTGCTTTTGCTTTATACTTGGATCGCACCTTTTAGAGCTTTATAGCTTAATACATGTTTGTTGAGGTCTCTGCAAAAAAAAAAATGTGAAAATAGCACTTTGTCATTTGAATTTCAGAACTTCAGAAAAAGGAAAAGTTTTACTGAATACCTTGGGTGTATCAATCTTAAAGGCATACAGGATCGTTTGCTTTTCATGTATTTTGATTATTCCAATAAGAACGCCACTCAAAATTAAAAAACCTAACCTGTTTAAGTCTCAGCTCAGTGGATGTTTTCAAGAAAACAGAGAAAACCATGCACAACCTTTTGATCACAAAACACGATTTCGTCCATGGCTCTGTGCACAAGTACCCCCTCATTGGTACAAAACGGAGAGTTGGGGGAGACATTGGGAGAAACATTTGAACGCATTGCCGACAACGCATTGTGAACCACTTTGCACACACATTGTTTCCCCTATTCTTGGGCCAAGCTGTCAGTGATTTTAGTTACTGTTGTAGGGCTCCAACACACAGCTGTTTTTGACTTTCACTAACATCTTGGGAATTTGGCAGGAATAGGGCGTGGCCGTTTTATGTAAATTAGACTCTTGGTGTAAATATTAATACTGACTGTAAACCATATATCACGATCGCTGAAAATAAAGAAAAAGATAAACCACTACAAAATTCCCAAGACATGAGTGCGAGCAGGTGCACTGGTCTAATTATTGTGTCGTTAGAGAGCGCACTATGTACGATCCACTGTCGATCACTAGCGTCTTGGATCAAGACTATTTGTCCCCCCACTGGAGCTCAAAAAGTGCTCAAAAAGCGCCCTCTCTTGAACATGCATGAGCCCATATAACTCTTTATTTCCAAAATTCAGTCAAAGGACCGAATTCAAAAATTCCCGTGAGTTGTATTTAATAAGACTCGTGTGCAGCTTGAAGTGTCCAAGTTATATTTTTAAATGCATGCTGTAGTAGAGGAGTTTTTTATAAAGCAAGAAGAATCGGTTGATATAATTTTTTTTTTCCCTATTTATTGTTGTGGTGTTAAATGTGGAAAATGTCTAACTTGTTTTGTTGTCAGAATGTCAGCTGTTTCATTTTTAATTTGTTTTCATTTTTATTCTATAATGTATGAATGGATTGATATTATTTTCTTGGTCTCATTTCTTTCTCCACAGGATCAGCAGACCATCCTGAGGACATGGTCTGTCAAGGACTTTGCCCCCAATGTTGCCCTCTACGTCCAGATTCTTAAGCCGGAAAATAAGTTCCATGTGCAGTTTGCAGGTAAACAGGCATTCTTAAAAAATAGAGCGTACAAATTGATCTAAAAAACCTGCAAGATTTTGAGAGAATACAGTACGTCCGGGCACTATATATAGAATCTACAACATGTGTCATATCGTATTTTTGGCATTTACAGTATTTTATGTCCTGACTAGGCCCATCCAATCAAGGGCAATGAATGGGTATTTTGAAAGAAAAAGCATTATAATTGATGACATATTGAACATATTGCAAACTAAAAATTTACAATGATTGACCTCAACTTCCCTTCAATCGATCGCGCAGATGAAAATTGGGTAAATTCAAACACGGAGTCTTTGCCTAGACTAGTCAGTGTTTGATACCAAGACGTTCACATGAAAGTGAATGTGAACTGGCGAAACTTACATGTTCTATAGGAAAATGGGAGGTTTTTTTTCTTGGCTTGAGACGACACTTTTCGGACGTTGGAAGTAAAATTGGTTTGTTTTTTCCCCAGATCATGTGGTATGCGAGGATGAGTTCAAGTATGCGTTGTTGGCCAACAACTGCCTGTGTCCAGGGACCTCGACGTTTGTAACCTTACTCATACACACGTCCAGGGGACAGTAAGTACATCGGCAATAATAAATAACACGAGTACAGCATGTTTAATTCCACAAATCTGTGAATGCCAAGCACATTCCTTGTGAGGCTGTGTCTAGAGTCCATTATCAGTTCCCAGGAGACATTAGCTTATAAATTTAAAAACGTTGTCTGTTGTTGTTTTTTTCAAGCAACGCCGTATTTCTCTCTGTTTTTTCAGGGAGGGCAGTGATTCCCACTCTCAGTGGCAGCGTACCTACGGCCGTTGTTCCGGCAACGAAGTCTATCACATCAAACTGGGCGACAGCAGGTTCTTTGTAGAGTATGAAGGAAAGAGCTTCACCTACGCGTCTTTTCACGCTCACAAAAAGTAAGTCCATACAAACAGGAAAAACAAAATAAAGACATTTCAGCTGATGTAGTGACAAATGTGATGTTGATCAAACTGCGGATAACATATCGCTGCTGCACACTGTTCTAGTGTACTCCAGATTTCCTGCGAAAATGTCTGAGTCCTCTAAAATTCTTCTTTTGAAATTTTGAGCGGCTCGACCTTGCACAAAAGTACTATCAATCGAGTAAACATCAGATCCTTCAAAATTTGGAGGGATGTTAGAAGATTTAGAAATGTACAAAGCCCAGCCAATTTCTGACACACTGGACTCTTTTTGTGGAGGATTCAAGCAGGTTAAATAAAAAAAATTTATAAAAAATATGCAGGGAGTTTGAGTTGATGTTTGATTATTGCCATTCTGTGTAATAGATATGGCGTCTCTCTGATTGGCATCCAAAAACTGGACGAGAACGCCAACATTCAGCTGAACCCTGGGCCCCGCCACATCATGCGGGCCACCGACACCTGCTTCTACTTAAACATCACCAAAGAAGAAAACTCTGCATTCATCCTCCGTCACCCACGGGAAGAACGCGAGAAAGAGAAACCAGACACCAGCAAAAGCTCCAACTACGTGCCGCCGGACAATGGTGGGCTGACGCGGGTGGAGAGCGCCATTGCTAGCGTGGGCACGTTGGCGTTGGAGCTGCATCACATGGGCGGGAAGGTCAGCTCACCGACGCACTCGGCAGCCGCAAGTCCCGTCGATTCGCGGGACAGCTACATGACCCCAGAGGGCAGAGAATCCGCAGGTATTACAGATTGTTTTTATTGAACAGGGCCAAGTGTCATAATGCTGAAAATATTGTTAAGCAGATTTATTTGCTAAGCAGAAAGTCAGCGGAGTACCAGTTACAAGCAATGTACAGCACATAGTAGTTGGCTCGTAACCTGTTTTTGCTAAGCAGATGTTTTCTGTGCTTAGGAAGTTTCTGTGCTGAGCAGCTCCATGCCATTGGCTCCTGTACATGTACATGGCTCATAACGGGCCTGGAAATCTGGAAAAGCCTTGACTAGTATGGAGGAAAGCCTGGGTTCTCTTATCTGCCTTCAAAGGACTGGAAAAAGCCTGGGAAATCAGACTTGTCTGATTGGGGAAAAAATCAATTGTTAATTATCCCAAAAAATATTCGTTATGGTGCATTGTTTTACATATATCTTTGAAGCTTTCAATATTTTTTTGTCTATTTTTCTCAGTGCTTTTTTGTTAAATATTTTCATACAATTGATATTTTTCTTGTGTTTGTTTCTCATGTTGAAGCTTTAGTTCTAGAACTTAGAACGTGTTGCTCCTTGTGAATTTAAGCAAAAGGCATTGAATCATGGAAAGGTTGCATAAATTGATTTCATTAATTTTTTTGCCTGTAGAAAGTTTCCTTAGACAAAAAAAAAAAAATATGTGGAAGCATGTGTTTCCTCTGTATGACCCCTTTGTGTCAGCTATTGTGTCTTGTGTACATGTGTTATAGTTTCGTCAGAAGCCAGCATGCAGAATCAGTGTTTCATCAAATTGCGAACCACTTTTGATTTAAGTTTTATCCCAGTTTCAAGAGGAGATGCAAGTTGATGTTATTTTTAAGAATTGCCTAATATCTGTTTCAGGGGAAACTATGACTTAACACAAAGTTTTAGGTTGTTTTTTTAAGAGTTTGCTGAAATGTTTGCTGAACTGAGAAGGGTACTTATGTAACAGGCATGCAACTTTTCCTCGGATCCGCTGATCTTGTTTTTTTTACTTCTCATGAATGCCATTACAAATTGAAAAACACTGTACAAAGTCTTGTGTGGTTTGGAGTTTCCTTGTTTTTTCTAAATTCCCAGTTGCATGCCTGATTTAAGAGAAAGACTCCTTGACAGCAAAGTTACCAGTCACGTCTTGTCATTGTCCAGTCGTCTTTTCCTTCACACGTCTCCGTTTGTCTCTCTCTTTCTGTCACTTCTTCATCATCACTACCACCACGCCTTCCCACACAGCATTCCCTTTTCTCCTGCATTCCTCTCCGATCCATTCTCCCTCAGGCGGCCGCGGCTCCTTAGAGATGGCCACCACCTCAGGCATGGACCGCAACCACCTCATGCCCCCAGCCGGCGAAGAGGGAGGAGGGGGAGGCGGAATCAGCATCACGATCGGTGGAGGCAGCAGCACCGATGACACCAATGGGTTTCTGGTGCCCACCGGTGCCCAGCGTGGCAGACGACCGTCCATCATGCCCGTCCTGGAGACTATGTCCTCAGATCCCGAAGACGAGCAGCCGCGAGATATGAAGCCACTTCACGCCCAGAAGCAGGTGGATGTAGTAGACACGGAAGACGTACAGCTCTGGGATGAGGAGGACCCGTAAGTTACTTTCCTTATTTGCCTCATTGATTGGGTGGTCCCATTAGATTTGTAGAGATGCTAGTCACCTGTTGGTTCTTCCTACATACCGTACCTTACTCATTTGCATAATTGATTGGATGGGGTCCAGTTAGATCAGACTACAGGTGGATCAAGGGTGCAAAATTAGGAGAACAAAAGTTACTTTTTTATGATTTATATTTCAGGTGTTCTGTATATCTTGGAAACTTTAAAACATTTCCATTGAATTAGTTAATAACCATTAACTGAAATAATAACCATTAACTGAAAGTTCAGAGAGACACCATAAGTTTGTTTTTTTGACATCTTGAAGAAGGCTGATTGTTTTTTAAAGTGATCAGAAGTAGAGGAGCATTTGAACAGCCATTTGCATTCTGAAACGAAATTGTTTTGGTGCTTCCGGTACCTGGAACCTATGTGTTTCAACTGCTGATTTGTAGACTAGTAAAAATTAATTAATCTGGTGTGCCAACCTTTGTAACATTTTTTTATTTGCATTGATCAGTAAAATAAACTGCAAAATGCATGACTGAAAAAAGGTGTGCCATATATTCCAGTGTTCTGTATGTATGTACATTTATGTATGAAACATTTCCATTGAGGTTGTGCAGTAATAACCATTAAAGTAAGTGAGCGGTTTTCTTGTTCATAGAGTATGTCTGTTCCTAGCAGTATTTGTGATTAAAAAAACAAAGAGCCAACTTTTGTGTTCCTAGATTTACATGTACCCCGAACCAAGCTATATTATTTGCGCTTCAGTGCTTTCCACTGAACCTCTAGTAAATATTTGCTTAGTATCGAAAGTTAACATTTGGGATTGGTTAAAAAGCCTCTCAATTAACGTACATGTGCACATGTGTGAATTATCAATTTCAAGGCTAGTTTTGCCCCAAAAAGATAGTTACAATGTAGCTATTTATATATAAGCAATTATTTTCTAAATTACGTATCGGTAGTTCTATGATATTAGATGCAGTTTCATTAACATTCAACTTTAATAGATTGTGTAGGAATTTTAACACCTCTTTCACTGAAATTATCATAACTGGGGAAAATAAAGGGTAAATGTGGATGTACAATTATCATGAGATGCATCACTTGCATATAGTCTGGGCTGTTCTTTGTGAATACTAATGATGTTGAAGTGCACGACGAACTGAATCTTAATATGTTGCAGCTCTCAAAATGTCATCATTGATCTGTGCACATGTTGACTAATGAATTATTCATGAACACTCTTTTGGGCTGTTCCATTTCCGGTTGCATTCTAAACCACACAAGTGACCAACTACTAGCCAGCATGAGTGGAGTTAGAATGTAAGGGACAAATTTTCTTCGTGTGGCACCGTCATTATGTCATCTGCATTTTTATGTTTGTTCTGGGAATAACCTTTTGATTGCATAATTTGCTTACCCTCGGGCTGTTCCATTTTCCCTCCCTCCACCCCCATGCTTACCCGTACCCGCATCAGCCTAAATTTGGATGCCAGCATGAAAGCTGCCAAAGCGTAAGGGAATGAAGTCACATGACAACTCGATATTACAGATTTACGTGTACTAACTCATAGCTGGACTGGTAGACTGTCGGCCTGCCTTAGCAAAAACGAAATGGCCTTTATCCTGAATACTCACAAATCTGCCAGAAGCCAAATTCTGGTTGCACTGCAGCCATGTTTGAGGTGTGTGCTTTTGTTCAGCAGGGATACGCTTGAGTAGACCTCTTGTGCATGCACTGTTAACAAATTAACATAACAAAGCACACCTCATAGATGGCAGCTGAATGCAATTTGTCTATTCAGAAAAGCCCAGCCACTGTTACATTACACTGAGCTCCTTAGCCAAGTTTTGTTTGAAATACACAATATTTCATTGGGTTTGTTGCATAGTGTTAGATTTTGAGAATGCAAGAATCATCCTGGCAAAAAAGCCCCGGGATTAATTTTGGCTTTTGTTTTTGAGAAAAGATTTTACAGTGGCAAAGGAAAAGGATTAGAGTAAAGATGACATTTCACCAGTCCAGTGTTTTACTACTAACAATATTTACTTGGCACTCGTATGCACAGTTGATCACATGCATCCTGTACTGATGTTCTTAGAATGATATTTTTTTTATTTTCTTTACTGGAATGTTTAAGGAACTGAGATTGTGCACGCAGCAAACCTCCCTCTGATTCTTGCTATTTTACATCCATTTCACAGCAAAGACTACAAGCAGTTAATCGCACACTCGTAAATATTGCTGTTGTACCGTATCACACACTTAAGCACTGTGAGGATTTTTTCCCCCTTGTTCTGGAAATTTGTTTTGTTTGATTGCTTTGCGTTGGTTGCTTTGATTCTTGAAATCAAATGCAATTTACATGTAATATTTTATGTGAATTCAAATTGACAGGTTTTCAGATATATTGTGTTCGCAGTGAATTTCCTGTTTTTTTAGAGAGAGATTTTGTGTTGACTTTTATGTATCACGTGGTGTTCGGTTTGCTTTGCTTTGTTTGAATTAGACCATTTCAGTAGACCCTACAGTATACATGTAGAAGAATAGACGAATGAGACAATGTCATGCTTTAGCAAACTTATAGCTGCCAAGAATTTCACTCGAGCTGCTAAAAATGTGTTTGATGGAATTGGAATCAGACGAAACCAATTTTTGTTCTGCATATTCTGCGCAACTGTGAATGGCTGTCAACATGCACAAATTGGGCATTATAGCTTGTACAACACAGAGGCATCACACTTACATGTATGTCCTTATGTTGACTCTATCCACACCAACATCCATAGACTCTAGACACTGTATTCACACATTGGATTGTTAATGGATTGCCTTTCATCAGGTGGACCAAAGGGGAGCCTCCTTCCCTGCCCTACATCGGCTACACCCCAGCCCTGTGCCACCTGCTGGCCAAACCAAAGAAAATATGCTGCCTGGAGCTGGACAAGGTACGTATCAACTCTCACTTATTCAAAAAAATTGTAACTGGATTTTATCCTCAACAGTTTTAAATTCTGAGTCCTGCAGAGGGAAATAACATTCTAGGTAAGGATCTGAATCTCTAACGATTGACTGTTGTCCAAACGTGGACTCATCATTTTGGCAAAAGTGTCTTGAATTCAGCGTTGAAAGAATTAAAGATCAAGTTTTGCTCAGTGGCACAACATTTTATTTTTATTTTTATTTCTTTTGATCAATTGTACTCTGAACATCAACTCTGCATAACTATTCCATTAGGAAAATAAATACCAGTATTGTTACTGACGGACACTCTAGCGTAATATCTGTCAAACCAATTACAGTGTAAGTTCCATTCCTCTATCATGCAGACGTGCATATTGAATTTCATTTGGAAACAAGTTGTGCACGCTCCACAGTGCTTGAACTCACACATTGAACCCATGCGAGACTCAAAGTCTGCCATTGAATGCACAATTCTGGGACACACAATCTTTTGGCAGTCTATTCATAGCTGTTGTCAAGTCAATCACAAGTCCAACACAAGTTCATCACAAGTCCAGAAGAATGTTCAAAACCTACCCCGTTCAAGTTTCAGCTCAGTGGATATTATAGTGTACAAGAAAACACTGAAAAACCATGCACAACCTTTTGATAATGAAACACGATTTTGTCCACTCTTAAAAATCATTCAATTGACTGATCATTCGAAATCACTTACATTTCTTGATTTCTTCTAAATGACAGCAAGAAAGACAGAACAATATTACGTTGAGTAAAGCTTTTTGATAATAATTTGGTAGGTAACTGGTTACTTTTTGGATGAATGCAAATGATCCTGTATGCCTTTAAACTCACAGCCCTGTGAGCACTGCAGTTACAGGCATGCCGCTGAGTACAACTGGCCCAACAACAACATCATCATTGCTGCTGAGTACGCCGCGTTGGCCATGATCAACTTTGTGGTACCCCTGAGAGCTCACTGGAGACCCAAGCATACCCTCAAGCCAATTGTTATTCTACTGGAAAAGAGGTACAAGTGCAACAGGAAATGAATACACATTATTTTATTTAGGGCTGGTCTCAATTCTGAGTTCCGTACAAGTTGCCAGCATTGTATCGGGTGTAAGTTACGGATTCTGAATAACTTCCCCACGATTTTACCCGAATGAAGTTAGCATGCAGAACGGATGAGTCAAGCAGTTGCTAATGAGAATTTTACGGCACATGTCCGGGACAAATGCAGAGCTTCTTCTGGACAAAGTGAATGATTCTACTCGCAACTTGTCCAGAACTCGGCCTGGATACGAATTGAGATGGGCTTTAGTCAAAGGCTAAAAGTGCTGTTGCATGTGACACTGTTGCACTGTTGAACATGGACAGTTCTATAAAGAAAAGTTCAAATGTTTGATCAGAGAATAGTTAGTCGATATAATTTCTTTAAAAAATCAAAATCATAGCACCACAATTACATGTATATCTTGCAGATTTCCTCTTTGCACTCTGGTATTTCTTATTTAAATCCACTTTGGAGAAATGAGGACTTATAATACACTTAGTGGACAATAATTGTGGTTATCCTCTTCTCTCTCCCTGTTTCAGACCAGACACAACTTTCTTGGACTGCATCCTGTCCTTCCCAATGGTGTACTACATGATAGGCACCATCGAAAAGTGAGTCATAAACTATTAATTGACTATTAAGTGTCGCTTATTTTGGGGTTGGAATAAAATATTCATCACTGAGCATTATGGTTTGCCCTCTCTGAGTACCTACCTGGGACCTGTAACTTATTAGGCCATAAACATGATAAATATAATGTCCCATAGACTAAATGGGTCAAGCCTTGAATATAGCCAATGGCTGGAGGTGTTCTGACAAAATGAGACATAAGTGGGCAGAGGTCAAAATGAGGGTTTATGGGTGTTAGGAAAGAGAATACAATTCTGCTGACAATACTGTTTGTTACACTTCAATCAGACATTCCATTGACAAGTTGTGACTGTATGTTTAAAGTTTGCATTTACCGACATGTAAAATACTGAGAAAAAGGCATTTAAAGTTTCGAGTTTTGTAGTCATTAGAATGAAAGATGCCAATTGTTTCTCCTTAAATACACTTTTATTCCACGATTTTTATATTATTTCTATAAAATATGCAAAGTAGACATAAAAGATTACAAATATCAATAAATCTGAAAATAGTACCCAAAAATCACCGCCATTTGGTTTTTTCCACTACGGCCTGTGCCCATTTCCGTCTCATTTTGCCAGAACGCCTCCAAAATTATGACCCCATCTCACATTATTATATGGCTCTGGCTCAATGTACATTGCGGTTATCTTGTTTTGCAGTTATGATGATGTCTTAAGGGCAGGCATCCTTCAGGCTGATACAGTCGTCGTTGTAGACAAGGAAAGTTCCAAGTTAGCTGATGAGGACTATATGGCCGATGCTAACCAAATTGTCGCTGTGCAGACGCTCTTCAAGTAAGTTTGCCGTAATGGTATGGTGGGATTTCATTGGTCAAGTACTGGTCATGTGACTATATTTGTGGAATTTCATTGGTCAAGCACCGGTAATGTGACTATATTTGTATCCTGCCTATTTACCGTATTTCACCTTGATTATCTTCCCTGCTGCTGTGTGTGGTAAGTTTTGAAGAGACCCTGGGAACAAAGTTTTGGTTTTGAATCTTCGGACATCAGAATAAGAACTGGCACAATGTGATGTATTTCTTTTTGGTTGTGCTCACTTCTTGGCCCTAGATTTCCACATACCATGGTGTAACAACACAACTGTAGTTTGTTGTGATGTGGCCCATGGGTTTTTGTACACTCTCAGGTGCGCATGGCGTATCTGCCTCAAATTGAATGCCATTTGTAAAATGAGTCGGCCTACACCCGATTACCAGAAAGTCAGCATCACCATTGTAGTAGGCAGAGATCGTATAGGGCACTGCACAGTAGGTATTAGGCAAGCCTTCAAAGCTGTGATGGACGGCAAAAACTGGGAGAAAAACACACAGCCAGCACCAAGTGCTGGGTTGGCACAATAGTGACAACCGTACACAGTAGGTATACATGGTATAGACCACAATGTCATTGGATAAGGAATTCACAGTTATTTTACGTGAAAATACGCCCTCCTGTCTAGTCTACAACGCATGATGGCGTGCCAACTGATCGCCTGCCTACTGTAATGGTGGTCAATCACAGGGAAATAGGATGGTCACATGGTAATTTGACATCATACGATTGGACCCTATTGACATATTGATAGTTACTGGTTGTCTGTCTATTGGCTATTCGCAGGTTGTTTCCCCACGTAAGCATCATCACGGAGCTGACCCATCCATCCAACATGCGCTTCATGCAGTTCAGGGCCAAGGATGTCTACGCACTCAAAATGGCCGACAAACAAAAGGTAAATAACACACAACACAATCGTTAGCCACTTCAAGTATAAAATGAGGTTTGAAATGGCTGCATAATGAGGGGTGCTATTTTGTTTCAATTTTTAGAGTTATTGATATTTGTGATCTTTGATACATCTACTACACATAAATTAAGGAAATAGTGTACAAATCGTGGAATAAAAATGTTTTAAGGATAAACGATTGGCGTCTTTCATTTTCACGACTACAAAACTTGAAACTATAAAAGCTTTTTTTTCCGGAGTATTTTACTTTTTTGACGTGTCAATAAATGCAAACTTTAAACAACCATAACTTGTCAACAGAATGTCCGAATGAAGTGCATTAAACAGTATTGTAAGGAGAATTTTATTCTCTTTCCTAATCCCCGCAAACCCTCATTCCAACCTTTTTCCAGCTCATTTTGCCAGAAGGCCTCACAATTGCTTGTATAGGATCGTGACGTTGGGTGTGATCCTTGTCACTATGGTTTCTTGGCTTCTCATAAACACACCCTAGTACACAGACATTGATCAATATGAGAAATGACATTCACAGGGCTGGATAGCTCAGTTGGTAGAGTACTGGTGTCATATGAAAATCGGACTCGTATGAAAATCGGACCCTTTTTCCCTTTTATTGGTTAAACCCCCCACGTGACCGGTCCCTCTCCTAATATAATATCTATGCATAAGCATGCGCAATACCACCAATGAGTCCCTATTTCATAAAACCTAAATTCATGCTACACCGGCACTGTATTCCCGAAGTCTCGGATTAGAATTCCACTTCAGTCAATTTTCATTTTTAACCTTGTTTTTTTTATATTTGATTTCAGAAAGAGAGGCAGAAGGGGTCCAATATTGCCTACATGTTCAGGTTACCCTTCTCAGCTGGCAATGTCTTCAGTGCAAGTATGCTGGACACGCTGCTCTACCAGGTAACTTGACTGAGCTCCAGAATTCCCTTCTTGAAAAGCAACATACTCAAATCAGACACAAAGCCGTGACTTGATTTATTTCTTACTTAATTCAGTGCAGCATGCATGGGCTTCATGTGCCACTTAATACCGAAAGCTGTGTGGATGGGACACACCGCGTGAGCATACTGGTCACACGCGTATAGCGCCAAGTACGCAATATTTATTTTATTTTGAATGTACACAAATCCATAGCGTCTTTGGGTGAGCATCAGGCGTCATGTGTTCGAATGTCTCTACCGATGGTCTCCCCAACTCTTCCTTTCTTACCTTTGAGGGGGTACTAGTGCACGGAGTCCATATTTAGAAATGGTATTTTTTTTATAGTTCTGGCACAGTTAAAACATGAAGATTGAAGTTTGAGAAAAGAACAGTACAAATATTTGGTAATATTTCATTTGGCCTATTTGGTGCAAGTGCCCTTCCACCGCTTTTTCAGGGTACTTTGGTCATATCGACAGAGTTTTTGAATGACATGTACATTACGGGCCACATTGTAAGTCCATCATAATTCAGTGCAAAGCCGAATCATTTGAGTAAAGTAACAAGTAGAGGATGAACAATGACAAAGACCTTCTTGACATAATGTATTGATTATATGGTCCCTTGTCTGGAGTCTGGATGACAGGTGTGATTCACTTGATTGACGTAATAACTTGGGCTACAACTCCAAACAGAATGTTTGAGAGAGAAACTCGGCGTTCTGCCTGTTCTCATCCATATACTGTTGCACTACCTACGCGTACAACAAAAGGATATTCCAATGGCTTTTGCCCACGTGCTGCATCTCTTTGGAATTCCTTGCCTGGTGCTTGTTTCCCTCCAACGTATTATCCGTCCTGTTTTCAAGAGGAATTTTAATTCCCACCTTCAGCTGATCTTTTTATTTCACTTGCAGCCCTGTAGCTTGAGTGCCTTGTTCAGGGCGAATATACATAAACAAAATTTTTTAAATGTATTTTGATAACCGCTAAATCTCTTTCACTGTTCTCGTGTTTGTTTCTTGTTTCAGTCGTATGTCAAGAACTACATGATCTCCTTCACACGGCTCCTCTTGGGCATCGATCAGGCGCCCGGTTCTGGCTACCTCTGTGAACTCCGGATTACAGCAGAGGACATGTGGATCCGGACCTTCGGGCGACTCTATCAGAAGCTGTGCTCAACGACTCATGAGATTCCCATTGGAGTCTACAGGACTCACAGCCAGTCAGATAACAAATCGGAGGTAGCTTCAAAGACTTATTTTTTTTTGCCGTTTTACCCTTTATATGGAAACTTTTCCAGAAAGTTTCCCTCTTTTTGTTAATATTTTTTTGTATTTTGGAAAACAATTTTTTGAGTATTTTATGACCACTGATCTCTATGTCAAAAATATGGATAGCACGTTGGCCATTCCCAGGCTAATGTGAAAATTTGTTCATTTGCGTAGGTTAAGTTGAGAATGATTTGTCATGACTGTTTTTGAATTTCTAAAGGTCTGCTGATGTTTTAAAATCTTCATCATTTTCTGCAGCTATCGGTAACCATTGAAGATGATGACAACTCCTCCTTGGGCCAGTCAGAGGAGAGGAAAGAGATTGCCAGCATCATCAGGATGAAGATGAAGAAGCTTGATCTACCCGCTGAAGAATACGGTAAGGACAATACACTGGAATATCATTCGTTTGGCTCGTCTGATAACTTTGAATTGTTTGTGAGTTAAAGGGAATATACAACATTTGCAAACATCGAAAAATAAAATTACCAAGTTTTTATGAAATACCTTACTAGGATGTTGGTAAATGACGGTCTAAAGCATCCTGTAAAATTATAGCACCTGGTGTGAAGTCATTTTCAAGAAAATTGTATTTTTGTATAAATTTCCAACAGTGGTTGGAAAAACCTAACTATTTTTCAACTACTGCTCTAACTTCACCATTTTATTCAGTCCAAATTTTGTTTGCTATTGGTTACATGTTCATGAACGGGTGCAGGCCAGCTAGACTGGTTCCCTTACCTTACAAATTTCCGGCATCTATAAATTGATCCATTTTATCTTTAGTGGAGTCAGGGAACCAGACTACTCCACCATTTGTGTTTTTCTTGATTTTTCAGCATTTTCGAACACAAAACATATCAGTGGAACAATATTTGATCTATCATAGTAACCCCTCAAATAGTTCATTTCTGAGAATTACAGCAAAAACCAATGATGTACATTCCCTTTAAAGGGTCTGTCTTGTTATGTGGATGAACTAATGACCATACAATTGGAAGAGAGCCCTCTTGTGAGCAAGATGTGTATATATTTTCATGTTGGGTCAGGAATGGTGACTGACTTAAATAGCACAGTAAAATTTGGTATTTACATGTATGTACAGACTCGTTGAGGTCTCTGGGGCAATTTGAAACATTTGTATTGCATTAATTGTCGTAAGGTTGTGTGAGGTTTACAGGTTCCATCATTCATGTTTATTTTGTTATACCTGTGGCCTAAAGCCTACTACGAAAGTCGAGAATGATTTTGATATGCAACAAAGCAAACAAGCTATTAGCGCAGCAACATGTTTGATAGAATTCAGGTAAAGACAAGAATACTTCTCTTTTTATCTTCAACAGATAGCGAAGTGAGTGACAAGAGGAACAAGTTATCCTACGTGTTGATCAACCCAAGCTTTGAATTGAAGCTGGAAATGGATGACATCATGTAAGTAAATTGTGCTAACATGTAGTTCCTCTACTGCTTGAAACCGCCCTGCCTATTACTCTCTGTACCACCCAAATCTGCCAGAGCACTCTATGGTTTAATGGCTTCTTCAGGGAATAAATACAATGTAATACAGTGTAATACAATGTAGTACACATGTTCATGAGCTAGACAGTTCTTGTGCTACAAAGTTAGCTAGTGCTATATGCGGACAATGTTGTTTGCAATTTGTTATTTGTATTGTGCATTGGTGTATAAAGCAATCCTCTTTTTCTGTTCATTCCTTCAGTTTCATCATCAAGCCAGCAGGAGGCCCCAAGACGCCGTCTCCAATGCCACCCCGCCGGAAATTCAGCAGCCGACGCAAGCCAAAGAAGTCCGAGCCAAGAGCGGAGCCACAAGGAAGCAACGTGGACACTAAGCTATAGCACCCAGAGCTGAGAAACGGAAGAGAATACAATGCAGAACAGATACCAACAGTTGATGTGTTTCGCTCATCGTGATCATCAACTTCAGGATGAATTCATTTCTTGAAGAGTGGAAAAAAAGATGAAATGGATGGGAAGGTGTTTGAAGTGATAAAAAGTGCTTCACTTTGTTGGCAAGTTTGAATGTGATGTCTGGGGTTGTTGCCATCTTAGGTGTGTGGCAGTGGCGTTACTTTACGAGGTTGAAGGATCTGATTCTGTCTCATGGAAGTGAAGACAGGGGTTGATCAGTGGAGAAGTAGGCTGCTCTTTGCAAGACCTGCGATAGTGGAAAGAATCGTGCATTCTTCCAATAGCTTAATAGCAGTCACCTCGTTGCAGGACAAGTTATGAGTGTGACATGGGCGTGAGATGAAACTGTATTTTGCCAGACTTGATCAGATGGAAGTGTGTCTAGATGGGAATTTAAATGATTGAAGAAGGTCACACAAGACTGTTTGTGGTTTAAAAAAAAAAACAGTCCATGCATGACATTTGTATGCAAGAACTATGGATCACCCATCACAGTCTAGAGACGTAGAAGATCATGGTAGTGGGCCCTCTGTTGGCAAGATGTAGACAGTTGCCAGCAAGGCCACTTGCACGTAAGAAGCAGTCATACCTGATGTAAGTAAAGCTCTAAACGAAAGTTGTGACTTGCTCAGGATATTTTTTGACAGCTGTCTGTGATTACAATCATACGGAGAATAATGAAAACATGGTAGGTAAATTTGGTATGAGCTGCAGTAGAATTTGGCCATCACCTAACTTGTACAGATCATTTCAGAATTATGAAGTGGGACAAGAAAGTCACTGAAGTGTCTCAGTGAACTTATTTATTTACGTATGGGCTGAAAAAAAGTGAAGACTTTTCAGTATTAGATCGCGGTAATTTGTACATTGCCTGGATTTGTTTTTTAATTGATTAGTTTTTGGGCTGGCCCCTGAGAGATTGTAGATCATGCTCGAGAATTAGTCGGAGCATAAAACAAAATATTGTAAATCACCTTAAAAAAGTTGTACATTATCCCAAATTTCTGTCACTGAAAATGACACTTTTCTAAGCCTTGTCTGGTTTTAAGAAAGTGGTGTAGACTCGGAAGTTTGGAGGTTTCTGGATGGAAGCATTTAATGCATCTACGCACTTGTTTTCATAGGCACTTGGACAATATGTTGAAACGTTTTCTGTAAGAAAACTCTCGTCCAACACATTTTTGTTGGATCACCTTGCTTTTTTAAACTCTATTTTTAAGTTATTTGTAAATAGTTTATGGACTCATACAAAATGGACAAACTTAAAAAAAAATTCTGAAAAAAAGTGCCCAAAGTGAAAATCTTTTGGGTTTTTTTTTAAAGCGAATGGCAGCTGTTATTTTGTATTATTTTTATTAAGTCATTAGTCATTAACTAAGTTTTCATTTTAACCATTTTACGTTCAATTATTAACTGGACGCTACAGATTGACATAGCGATTCATCATCTTTGTTTTTATTGAGTAAAAAAACCCAAAATTATTTCATGAACGGTTGTTCAAAAGAAGGACGATTTGTGCAAAGGATTCAACAAGATTGACAATTATTGTTCTTAATCTTTGGGGGAAAAATAGGTGAAAAATAAGTGATGTATCATCCCATTTGGTCAACCTTTTCATAAGCCCAATGATGTTGATGAGATATCTTTGTGTTCAGATATTATTACACTTAGCGTTCAACTCAATAATCCTCTTTTTGATTGTTTTGTTGATTACCATAACTTATTTTCTTTTAAAGTGCAATAGCAGAGGATTTATTTTCTTTTTGTGCAATATGTTGTATACGTTCTATCAAATATTTTTCAGTTATATTTCCCACATAGGTTACAATGCAGGGTTCTGTTTTTTTACAAGTCCCTCCAAAAGTACTTGTCGGCCAATGTCAAAGTGTAAAAATCGGACAAATCTGTTCAGATTTGTTAAATCTTTGCATGTTCTCATAATTGAAAGGGAACAAACTTTGCCCTGAGCCGCTGCTTGCCACATATTAATGTTTCAATAATGTGCAACAGGAGTAACTGATGAATAGTGTTGTATAAATGTTAATGTATTCCCAAAGGTATATTGTGAAATCGGGGTAGTGGAGAGAATTGAAGTTTTGAAAGCAATGAATAGGAATTGCGTTCCCCCCCCCCCCCCATTTTAGAAATCGTTACCTCCCCTCAGTTCTAAATCCACTCCATGATTCATTGAACAAAATTACACACACATCATAGCTACCAGTCTCTCCATATCAGTTGCAGTACCTGCTGCTTTACCAGGTCAAACTGGCCAGCTGACCACGACCAGGTCAAACTGGCCAGCTGACCACGACAAGCCCGTTCATCGAGTACTGTACTAAGACTTCTGCACTAGTAAGCAGCAGGTCATGGGTTCCAGTCCCACCCAAGTAAACTTCTTCTTTTTTTCTCGTAAGCCCTCAGACAGCAACAAATAAACAATGTTGACTGTCAGATGTTGTTCATTGCACATTTCTTGTTCCTGATAGCATAGTTCATTCTGAGTTGTCCCAAACGATCAAAGTCAGTGAAAAACTATTTATTTTTTTTTCATCCTAAAATTATTTGAATACAGTACTGCAGTGAATATCCTAATCCCCACAAATTGTATTTTTAATATAAAATATCCTTTGTAATAAGTTGGACGTAAAACAACGAATGAAATAAAGAAATGTGTAACAAGTGCTTTACATCATTGGTTCAAGTTGAATTTTTACAAGAATATTTCACACAATGGGCCCAGTGGTCGTCTTTCAATTCTTATTAAATTTAATTTTGTAAAGTGGCCAACATTTCAGAATTTTATACAATTATATCCGCTTTCTCGTCAGTGTTATCAAAGACCTTGTATTATTATGTAAATAGAAAATGCCCTTAACTTCTTCACAATTTACAGTATTCTTATTTTCATTGGCTTTTTCATTTTGTGCAATTAATTTCCTGGGTTTTACTTTTTCACGTCTGATGACTGATACGCTGTAAACTTTTTTGCTGATGTTAAAATGCGTTATTATAACTAATCCAAATTATGTAAGCAGCATACTTGCTGCTTACAATTAAATTGTTTCACCTACATTCATAGTTTACATAATCAGAAAAATGCATGGGTTATGTAATTGCTTTGCTGTAGATTACACTTCGCATAATTAAAACTTAATTCTGCATTTTGATTATTTAATTTAATGCCTTTTTAATTTTAAAAAATAGTTGTTTTGTTTAGTCCAATGTAAAATAAGAGTATATTTAATTATTTTGATATTCATTTTATGAACACTATTGTGTAAAATATATCAAACTGGCTGGATGAATGAAAGAGCATTTTTTATGCTATTGGGCCAAAAACCTTTTTTGCAAATGTTGTAAATAAGAAGTACAACTACCTACTGTTAACCTGTACATAAATGACAACAACGTGTTGCATTGTGAATTGGACATTTCTAAAGTGAACGATATTGATGACACTGTTTGCATGGTTCGTGACATTTTGGACATCCGGGTGCTATTGTCAAAGGTGGACAAAAAACTATGGACCATGACGTGACTGATCGGACATGCAGTTAATGCTTGTATTATCTGTACTTGTATATAGCACTATATGCAGACTTCAAAATGCACTGCATTAATTATTCAATCTACTTCGAATCTACGTGGACTAAGAATAAAAAGTATGCATGGACATGAAAAGACGGACAAAACTTGAATGTTACTGGGGTTGCCACTCAACTAAGTGCAACATCATGAACCAAAAACAAAATGTGTCTCTCTTTGTTTGGGACAAAATGTTTGAAATTAGCACGCTAGTGCCCAGTTATTGGAATGTCCGCAATGTAACGATGTGTAAATATAAGAACTTGTCCAGTTTTATGCACAACACCATGTTCTCACAAATTGTGTATCATATGAGATCAAAAGATTGCAATGCATTTCAGCTTGTTACTGTATCTGATGGTGGGAAAGTTTGCCTATTCTTGCAAATGACTCTTCAGTCATTTAATCTGACACATTAAAAAAAAAAAAAAAAAAATTATCCAAGAAAAGACTGAAAAAAATGTGAATGATGGAGCGATTGCAGGATGAATTGACCACGATTTGAACACCAGGCCTGTGTAATACAGTCGACTCTCGTTAATACAAACGCGGCCGGACGTAGCCAAAGTGTTTGCCATATCAGAATTTTGTATTCAGAGGAACATACATGTAAGTCCCATTCAATGTGCACATAAATGCACAGTCGGGACTAAGGCTTAATGTTTGTTATGACCAGAATTTGTATTAACAGTGTTTGTACTAAAAAGAGTCGACTGTAGTGAGTTTCTCTGCCATATTTTGTATCACTGCACTGGCCTGTGCACACGGTAATTAATGAACTGTGACTAGAATTTACTTCAGTCATTGGCACATTGTGATCATGAATACTAAATAAAATTTGGCATGTTGTCAAGTTCTATTAATTAATAGACAGATTTCAGTAGTCCTCTTCTTTATTTTCAGCAGCCAGAGAAAACATCACCAGTTGCGAGTCTAACATACACCTTGACTCTATTGAACCTCATTCAGATTTTGTTTGCTCTAGATACTAAGGGTGTGCATCAGAACCGAGTAATGGACCGCTGATGTCAGATAATGGGATCACGGGTACCCGTAAGCAACTTTACAAATACTTACTAACTTCTCAGACTCAAAATGAAAACCAGGCTACATAGAAAATGTTAAGGCATGACAGATGACGCCCACGCAACTTGCAGTTTACACCGTAAAGCTACGATGCCCTTCAGACACCGCTAATAGTCACAGTTAAGTTGTGTTAAGGACTAGAGTTCCTGACAATGGTCGAAATTTACCAGGTTGCAGGTTTTGATAAGACCCTCTTTTATGGGCAACGATGTTTTACCTCAATAGTGTACCCAGTTCCCTAACTACCCGTGAATGCACACCACTACTAGACACCCAGCTGAGACGGACAGAATCACACATAATCCAACAGCAACAACAATAAGTCATTGTTCCCTCTGGGATCAAACTGTCGATTATCAGAACAGAGCTGCCAGGCCCACAATACCTACCCATGCTTAGCATATCATTTTTGCACGAAGCAACAACAATCTGTGGGGAATAACATACATTCATTGACCACTTTACTGATTTATAGAGCACAGATGTAAACAAGGCCCAAGGCCACGTCCAAATTTCTTGTCGAGAGCTACTGTCAGGGCCTTTGCCAATTTCAACTTTGTGGGAACGTGTTGACAAAATGCATACACATAGCTCTGGAGGCATGTTTCAGACACGGCCTAACCTCCAAATCAAGACCAATCAGCAACTAGAATTTCTTGGTTCATCCTGCAGATTTTACTGTGACATTGCATCTCTATGGGCTGTTGAGATGTACATGTACAACTCATTGATGACTCCACAGCTGACGAGTGTTTATCAAATCTCCAACCCACCTGTCAAAAGAGAAATTCAGAGAATTTATAAAATGGAATTTGCTTCAGGATAATGTACAGTCAATATTGGGTTTTGCCCTTTCAAAGTCACAGTACAATGTACAATATTTTTGGTCTTGTTAGCCCCTGCAATTTTGACAACCTTGAAATGAAAAACAGAAATGTTTTGATCGTGGCTAGAAAATGATAGAGACATGACTTCATTTCAGTTCTAAATGTTGAAAATGGGTTGTTTTTTAAATGAGGAATTTAGCTTCCAAATATTTGATATTTTTACCTGAAACTTCTACTTCGGCTCCAGTCATGTAGCTACTCCTGTTTGAAGCCAGGAACAAGCAGACCTCAGCTACCTCCGAGGGTTGACCCTCCCTCTTCAAGGGGATGAACTCTTTAATCTGAAGAAAAAACCCCAAATTCACAAAAAAAATCTAAATGGTTAGATTAAGCCCAGTCCAACAGTTTAGTACTCCCATTCAGTTTCATGAAGGTCCCAAAAATGCATGTACCAAAAGTACAAAACAACAAATGCAAAATTGTACAGTAAACAGAAGTGTCAAAGGAACTGTTATGGAAACAAAAAACCTGGTGCAAAAGTTGAGACTGAATACTTGGGTGATGATTGTCTAGACCTCATATTTGCCTTATGAGAAATTTGGTAAATTCTGTAAGGTGACAGGGTGAATAAAGTTTGTCAGATTTTATTTTAAAGTTTGTCTGCACTCGCTGGTCTTAGTAAGTCTACAGCGTGAAGAGGAATTTGTGTTTACCACATTGTAGAGATGCTCTGGCATTACAGCTGTCATCGGTGTTTGAATAAAACCAGGCAGGATAGCGTTGCATCTTACACCATACCTGCACAAGAAGACAATCCATACAACTTCATTCATCTACGACTGTTAATAATGGTCACTACAGAGCAACTTATACACACTCCACTGAACATGGGGAATAAGAATAAAACAGCAGGTGTGTTTACCTTGCTAGTTCCTTAGCTGTGGTTTTAGTGAAAGCCACCACCCCAGCCTTGGATGCTGCATAGTTGCACTGGCCCACATTACCATGCTACAAAGGTGAAACAAATATTCAAATCATTGACACAATTACTGTAGTTTCAAAATGGTAAAGCTGTTCTTAATATGTGATGCGATCAAGCTAAAATGAGTCGTTTGTCGAACCTGGTCAAAAAAAAATTCATTACAGATTTGAAAAGGGCACAATCTCAGCATTACTGATGTGAAAACCGCATGCTGAAACCATCTTTATTTACAAAATTATAGAAGTAGGAACACCAAGAGATGTGATGAATTGATGTGATGAAGTGGCCCTATTTTGGCCTGTATCTCCAATAAAAATTCCCGACGAAGGACTCATTTAGCTTGATCGCATCACATATCAGTAATTGCAGAACTAAACAGATTTCAATTTTGATTTTACACAGAAACTGAGGTAATAGCTTGCTGCAAGCAATGAGGATATGGACCCATAGTGGAAACTATTAAGAATAGACAATGCTTGGGAAGACATAGTGTATGAATTGTGACGATTTAGGACAATAATATCAGTATTCCTATCCTGGTGAAACTATTGTGAAACAAACGGTTGCATGTGCATACCTTTCCCACTATACTTGCAAAATTGATGATAGACCCGTCTGTAGTTTTGTGGGCAATCATAGCTTGGCTGACAGCCTGCGTAACAAGGAAAGTTCCCTGTGGGAAAAAAAGGTACAAATCTGACATTATGTTGAAGTTGACCAAAATCACAGATGTTGAAAAGGATGCTTTTCAGGACATTCATACCTTGAGATTGACGTCAATGACTTTGTCAAATTTGTCCTCATCCATCTTGACCATCATTTTGTCCATCGTTATTCCTGCCGAGTTCACCAACACGCTCGCAGGCTGCTTGTACAACTCTGTCACATTCTTCACTAGGCTCCTGACTGCTACTTTGTCCGAGACATCCAAGGCGAACGCATGATGTGACTGAGGACCGGACGGCAGTTCACTGCTAGCTTCCAGTTTCTGTACGGTAGTTTTGGCACCTTCAAGATTGATATCAGCGGCGACCACACTTGCCCCATTTCTGGCAAACAGCTCGCACACGGCACGTCCAATGCCACTTCCACCCCCTGCAATGTGGGCAAAACAAGTTTTGGTTTGTATTCGCACGGAGGCATCTGAATGATAAGACGTCCCTAGCCCCATAAGTGTGGCTCGAATGGGGGGGGGGGGGGGTTCTGGTGAAATACTGCATAATCTCCTCACTCAGCAGGGATGTAAATATTCAGGCGCTAGGTGACTGAGCAGATATTTACAAATACTAGACTTCATCCATGTATCTGCATGATCTGTGTATTGTCAATTGTCTTCATTCAAAGTTGATTTTGAGGAAATCAAAATCATGACTTTTTTTTTTTAATCTGGGACTGAGAAACATTTCCAATTTTGTTAATAAAATTGACTCTCCAATCTCCATAGACTTTGTACACAACCGCTGAAGTGGCGTCAGGATGAAAATACAGTAATTTTCTCTCCAGGTCACAGGTCATTACCAAGCCATAACACTTGCGTTTAATGTTCAGAAACCTATATAAACGAATAGCAAATCGGTACATATCACAACTGGCTAATTACAATTCTTAGGTATTATATTTTGGGACACTTTTCGCCTTTGATTTATTCACAAGGTCTGTTCATTTTTACTTAAAAATCGTATCTACACTATAACAATACCTTGAGGTAACAAACAGAAGCTTTTAGATATTTTTGTCGAATGAATAGATGAAGAAACCTGATATTTACCAGTAACAAGTGCCACTCTTCCAGAAAGTTGTAAGGACGCCGCCATGTTGACTTCACAATTGACCTTGACACGTGTTACCTGCTGACCAATCAGCGAGTGATTAAATGACGTCATCCTATTTAATTAGATATCTGGTACCCTGACCATGGTACCTGACGAGCAATGATATGCTGACTGAGGACCAGACGAATTAAGAAGCGGCGAGTTTGATTACGCAATCATAACTTGCACAACGTTTCTGAGCACTGTCGATATTTTGTTCACGCTCGTCCTCTCGATTCGCAATTTATTGTGTGTACTCTTGATAGTCTTACAACAACCATGATTGCAGCTTCCAGAACTCGTTTAATTACCGTCAAATCTGTCAAAAGATTTCATTTCCTTTCAAAAAAGGCAACTACGATGCAGATTTCAACAGACGTGGAATTTAGTTCCCAATTTATGGTAAGATTTCTGAAACTTTTTGTGAAACTAAAGCTTTAATTTTTGAAGCAAATTTAAACTTTAAAGATTACTTTGCAGCACTGACAACTACTACTAGCACTGGTTAATTATGCAGAATTAACTATTTCATAGGGAAATACTCATTGACATCTTAGTTCTGTCATGTCTGTTCCTTGCTCTATGGTTTAAACATTGTCAAACCATCAAACCTGTGTCAAATAGAATTCTAATTTGGTCATGATTGATGATGATTGTAATCTGCATATTCATTATACCCCCCCCCCCCCCAGTCCTTGTAAAATTATTTCTCAAAACTATTATTCATGAACAGGTGATGAAAATTGAACATGTTGAATTGGAAGATTAATTCCTTTTGTTTACAGGTTTGTCTGCCTAGTATTAGCATGGTATTAGTAATCCTAACTCTTCTTCCCCTGCCCTTTTGATGTACAACATGCATGTGTTTACATTTAATTGTATTGAGATTTAAAACCTTTTTTTGTGTGTTTGTATGTTTAAAATGGCTACAATTCATCCACGTGTCATTTTAAATTAAATCAATAAATAAACATGAACAATGATTCGTTTGATTGATTGAATGATATTTTGCAGGTTGTCGGCCTTGGCAACCATTCAATGCCAGCGTCCAGACACAGCATCGGCATGGCAACCATCGACAGACTTTGCAGACATCTCAAGGCCACATGGAGTAAAGATAGGGACTGCCAAGGTGATATCGCCATGGCAACACTGGCAGACCAGCACAGGCTCATCCTTCTGAAGCCACGCCTACTCATGAATATTAATGGGAGGAGTGTTGTCAAAACAGGTGTGTAAATATTAAAATAATGTTATTACATTTTTTTTTACGAATTCATTGGAGTACATGTATAACAGTCCAATAGACAGATGGATATTGGTGTGCAAAAAATGATTAATAGTAAACAATTTTATCAAAATTGAAAAATTTCAAATATTCGGAAAAACAATTTTTATTTTTACTGTGACTCAATCTCTTGACAATAATCAAACCAAAGCTCCTTCAGTTACTTGCAATGAAAATATATTAAACTGTATTTGCACTTTACAGCAAGGAAATATCAAGTTGCCTCCTGTAATGTTTATCTTCTGCACGATGATTTGGATCGAGCATTTGGCAAGTTCAGTATCAAGGAGGGAGGAAGTGCCGGGTAAATAAAATTAATTATTCAGAAGAATTTATTGCAAGGACTCTGTTGTCTGTTTGTCTGCGTATATTTATATTGCTTATTAACAGTTGCATGACTTCAAGGATTGGAGATACTTCGGACTCCAGAGATGCCAATCATGCCACCTTTACATTACATTATGAATGATTTGACTTTTTTGTTCTTTTTTAGGGGACATAATGGAGTTAAATCAGCTATTGCTGCTTTGGGAACTGATGTAAGTATAATTTCTTGATTTTTTTTTTTTTTGGGGGGGGGGGAAGGAACTGAGAAGGGGTTACTAAGTTACAATTAAGTTATTGCAATTACATCATTCTCCATTTTTATATATTTTTCAGGTAATGCCAAGATTAAGGATTGGTATTGGTCGACCAACAAATAGGAACGCAGTGACTGATTACGTTCTGAGTGGATTTAGCATACAGGAGAAGGAACGTCTACCACCGATATTGGAAGAATGTGTCCTGACATTACTAGATCACATCAATAAGAGGGCTGAAAAAACCTGAAACAGCATTGCCATGTGAAAAAAAATGGCAAAAAACCTGCAAGAAACCTGCTGATGAGTACCACTGATGTCTGGTACCCAATGTATTCCTTCAGCTGGAAGGATGGTGGTGCTGAACCCGCCAGTCTTTTTAGCCATGCAACATTGCATGAGCCTGATTATGACAGACGTTTTGGGGTTTATCTCTGAACTGAGTCAGCCAGATCCATCCTTAAACGAAGGTGCTTTGTACAATTATTGTTGTCACAGTGTAGTTTTAATTTGAATTGTGCAATAAACTTTGAAATGTAAAACAAAAAGCAAACACAATTCGTCATTTTTGCACATGAGATAAAGCTGTTAAATTGAATCAGTTTAAGTGATTTCTGATTACACAAGCAAGGATGTTGTATAACAAAATTTTAAAAAAAATGAGAACCGAAAATGTAGCAAAACACCTTTGACCTGTAAGTACCAACTAAAAAGCTGATTGGGCATAAATAAGGGCATAAATGTGTGCTTGGCCGGTTTTAAACACTATGTTTAGGACTGGTTGGAGTCTGGATGCTGATATTACCCCAAATTACGTTTTGAAGGAACAGTACATGAAAACAGGAAGAAAACTTGTGTTGGACAAGATCGATGTAATGAAGTAGCTGGGCACAAAATACTGGGAGCCTGGCAACCTCCAAGAAAGAGCCAGCCACGATGTCAAATTTGGTTGTCAACTTTTACCCCCTTCTTTTCACGAGCGGAAATTTCTCTATAACATGTGGCCTCAATTTTTGTCCTGCTGAACCATAGACCTTACGCGTTAAGGGGGGGGGGGGGGGGTAGAGGGCTGCGGTTTGATATTACAATGTACCTGGATAGGCATGAGTAAACCTTTCGTAGCTTAGTGCGTTCATTGTTCTACAGTTCAGCAACATCACCACCCCCCCCCCCTCCTCCCTGATCATAACCATCTTCTACGAAGAACACGCGCACGACGTACGTCCGTGGTGAGATATTTGGATCACATTACATGTATTTGCGGTCAAGGAGCTTGACTACATGTACCTGTAATTCCCACTTCTTCCCCTCAAACCATGCTGTGTTTATGTAATACTCAGACTAATTTTTGGGCTCCCTCCGTTGTAACCTCGAGCCCCCACCCCCGACACGCCCCTAAAACCTTGGCTACGCCGCTGATATGGTAGCCCCTTTTGTTTTAATCAATATATGGTGGGGGTTTTTGTGAGGCGGCAGAAGGGTGCATACCTGCAAATAAACTCCCATAGACACTAGTGCTAAATGCCCGTACTTCAAAATTCTTTTAAAAATACTCAAAACTCTCACAGGTATTCAAGCTGCACAGAAAAATGATGATCAATGTGTCATCTTTCAATTTCTTTTCAATTTATGGTGGGTTGACCATTGACTTTTCGAGATATTTTCACGCAAAGAAGACGACCCCTATTTTCCCCAAAGCGGAAAAGTAGCCATCTTGAAAAACGATCCCTCCACAACATGGCAAAATAGCGCCACTTTCGAGCCCAATAGCATCCAAAATGCTCAGAATTGGAAGCCCCAAGTCCGGGCCAGAGGTTCACTACCATATCTCTTCAATTCCCCAATTTTACGGCGCTCAGAACTCTCTAATATAGAATATTTTGAGGTATAACTTTTATTCATGAGCTTGGCGGATCGATTTACCGGTGTGTACCCAGAAAGTATGCCCCAATCTATAACAAATTAGCTCAAGCTTTACAGCCATAATTATGGTTTCGAAGGCAAAGCGTCTACCGTTGATAAGGAAATAATCCTATCACGTACTTAGCCGCTATAACAGAGCATTAAAATGTATGCACTCCCAAAAAATGGCCTTTAACTTCTCGTGAAATAACTTGAGTAGATTCCTAATTGAGATAATACATAGATTTGGGGAAGTTTCCGAACGATTTCTTTCCGACTTTAAGGTCGGCTTTACCAGTAACCAGCATTGACGTTTCGGCATCGATAACGGCGATTTTTTTTCACTGACATGAAGTTTATAAAAATCTTCTTCCGTTTTAAAGTTTAACATTTCAATCATGCTGAGCACATTTTATGAGAAACACATTGTTTTATTGAAGTTCTGCATTTAGCACTTTCAAAATCTAGGATAAGAAAGCCCAATTGATAAGCTTTCTTTCAAGAATCATTCAAATCACTCATGTACTGTGCAAATTATGGAGTTTTAAACACAACCACCGTTTTAAAGTTCTGTCCACGGATCACAAAAAAGGTGTGCGTTCTTTCAGCAAAAGGAAAACAATTCACACGTGATTTAAAACTCCGTAACTTGAAAAGTACATGATTTGAATTATTCTTGCACTAAAAGAAAGCTTATGAATTGGGCTTTCATATCCTAGATTCAGTTTAAAGTGCTACATGCTGAACTTTCGCCCGCCAACGTGAACATGTCTGTGTGCCGCATGTAGTTTCATTCAAAATAAAGTGTTACGGGTTTAGAAATCGCCCTTCGCAACCACCCGGCCGTTTAAAGGTAACTGGTTGACTAAATAACAACATACCCTGACGTTAATGGTGCACACAAACATCATCATCAAACAGCAAAACTTTTGAAAACTTTTAAACTTTAAACTTTTAAGCAAAACCCTTTAAAGGGAAGTAGATCACGGCGTGGTTTTTTTTTTTAATGATGATCTTTTTTAAATACGATTTTCAATTATTTCAGAATTAGATATAGCTTGAGTCCAGACAACATGTTAAAAAAAGTATAATTATGTTGATGACTTGTTTTCAATTACTACATAATATATAATTACGTGGATGACTTGTTTTCAATTACTACATAATTAAATACAACTCGAATAAGACAACATGCTCTATTAATTTTAATGCGCTGTCCTTTTATTTTGATCCCGTAAAAAAAATACGATTTTGCGGTGAAAATATCGTCATTATTCGACTTCATTTTGTTTTTGCAGCTGTAGAATGGGAACCAGATAAAGAAACGTTAAGCACCATTAAAGATTTAATTTAAAATGTAGACGGTACATTTAGCAGACACGGTGAGGGGAAAAGACACAACGTTTTTCAATCATCCTTTTTATACAACTCGGCGGAAAGTGCCTGTGACTGAACTGGATAAACTCGCCACTACGCGAAAAGAGAAATTTCTCATGCCGCGATAATAGGGAATTAGGATTCCACGATAGTTAGGGAGTCCGACTCTAATGAAAAAACGGGACAACGTTTGCCCAATGGTACATGTATGATTTGACCAATGTTGGTCAACATGCTACTTTCCCAAATTGCCCAACATATGCCGAAATGAAGTTGCCCAGCTTTCATTTACCCGGCATTTTTGCAGTGCCATAGGCACAGAATATATTGTGAACTTCATCTTATACATGTTTTTAAACACTGTTTTGGGGGGTACTATTTTGTTTTCAATTGTCATATATTTTTTGTCTATTTAATTAAATCAAAGCCGATGAATTTAATTAATTGTCTTAATCCATCCTAAATTTTGATGTTAACGTAGGGGGCCTACTATAGGTCTGGGTACGGGTCCGACTCGCGTACGGTAGTTTTGTCTGAAGTGAATTTCGTTGTATTTTTTTTTAAATGTTTACTAAGGTGCAATATTATGTAATTGAAAGATTATCGAAGATTAACAGGCATTAAGTCTAGGTTTATATATATATTCCTCACTTAGTTTATGTGTTTTTAATTACGAAAAAAATGCTTAATTTCTTGGCTCTTTCCTGTGAACCTGTTGATTCTAATACTCTGTATTTAGGCCTTCAGGAGGTATTGTATAGGGCAATTTTGGGACCGCAATGGAAATAATTGTTTTAATTTTGTAGCGTTATCCATGCTTTTTCCACTGTATGGGATTTTTTTATGTTTTATTTTTAACTTTTATACGATTTTAGATAAATGTTGTTGTGCTTTGTTAAATTTTAACTTATAAATCTGTATCGTCATTGTTAGTCCAGCGGATATGTGAAAAAATTGTGCACTTTTGCATAAAAGCGTGAAACTTGGCACAGATGTTTATATTCATGCAAGAAAACGTTTTAGATGTGGAGCCATCGCAAATTTACCCTTTTAGGGGCGTGGCATCCATTTAAAAAAAGGGGGGCGGGACTTGTCGTGCCCGCAGTAAAAATGGTTTTTCCCACTTGTTACAAAAGCAGGAAACTTCACAAAGACATAATTATATAGATTATTAGTGTTTTCCAGATTTGGAGCCACCACAAAAGTACCTTTTTAGGGGCGTGGCAGCCATTAAAAGAAAAGGGGGGGGTTAATTATTATGCCCACTTTGGAAAACATTGTGCCCATATTTCATGAACGAATAAAACGTCCCACAGACGTTTATATTCATGAGAAAAAAAATCCAGATGTGGAGCCATCTTGAACACACCCTTTTAGGGGCGTGGCAACCATATAGGAAAAAAAGGGGGGCGGGGTTTTCATTATGCCCACCCTGGAAATATTGTTCCCACACTCATAGAGAAATGGAACTTTCCACAAACATTGACATTCATGAGAAAACAAATTCCAGATGTGGAGCCATCTCGAACACACCCTTTTAGACGCGTGGCAACCATATCAGAAAAGGGGGGGGGCGGGGTTTTCATTATGCCCACCCTGGAAATATTGTTCCCACATTCATAGAGAAATGGAACTTTTCACAGACATTGACATTCATGATAAAAACAATTCCAGATGTAGAGCCATCGCGAACACACCCTTTTAGGGGCGTGGCAGCCATATTGAAAAAAGGGGGCGGGGTTCTCATTATGCCCAACATGGGAAAAATGTGCCCACATCTCATAAACGAATGAAGCTAATTTCCACAGACATTAAACTCACGAGATAAAAATCACACGTGGAGCCATTGTAAACATCCATTTAGGGGCGTGGCAGCCATAATAAAATGGGGGGGGGTAGTCATGATGCCCCTATAAAAGAGAGTTCTTATGTAGAGCCACAGCAAACTCATCCTTGTAGAGGTGTGAGGGGCCTACTCACTGTGCCCACAATTGCATTTTTATATTTTGTTGTTGATTTCTTATAATGTTGATTGGCCCATAACCTATATTATTTGGTAATCCAATGACTTACCCCAAAGAGCATGGGTAAGTACCGGTAGGCTAACCCGTGTTATATTGTTCAATTTGTGTACTTGCACCTATATTATCATGCACATCTAAATTCCAGAGTGATTTCATAATCTATATATATAAGAGAGAGTTTAACTCGGCCTCCGAGACGATGTTTGCTCATGAAAGGATCCGAGACCGCGGTCTCCCGCATCGCCAAAATCGCTCCACGTCCGTGGAAAAATGCGGAGGGTGTCTTCCGCCGGGTCGGACACTTCGGGTCGTCCTGATTTTCCATGGTGCGTGGCCACCAAGTGCCCCTATTCTTTCGTATGCTTCGCTTGCAACCCCTGCGCCGAGTGCAACGAATACTCAGAAGGACTACACATTAAGTATGCCTTGCGCGGTCTGACCAATCGAAAGTCTACACTGCGTAGTATTTCCGGGCTATGCAAAACTGTCGATGGCAACGCGTACTGCAGCCTGCTCCACACCCTGGAAACGAGGTTGGGTCTACGGTGCTCGCTATTTGAGGCGCAAGCATGTGACGTCGCGTGATAGAGTGCTGTTGCTTCCATAATGTGTTTACAGCTCCATGCTTCCACCACCAAGGCTGAGTGTTGTGAGTTCGCTGCCCGCCACGTATGATTCAGTGTCGTGTTATAATTTCGGGGCCTGTTTGGGGTCAACGAAGGATCGATGCATTGCTTCAAACTCGCGATCTTAAACGCAGTCACAAAAAAATCCACGAAACAGTGTCCGACCCGGCGGAAGACACCCACATTTTTCCACGGACGTGAAGCCGCGGTCTCGGATCCTTTCAGGAGCAAACATTTCTCGGAGGCCGAGTAAAACTTGCTCTTATATAGATGGTTGTACCAACTTCAATAAAAGTTACCGACTTTTTCCTCGCAGACGGTCTCGCAAATTGTTAGAAGTTCAAGTTTACGTTTTTTGAAGAGTCCAATACTGAAACTTAATTATGACCTTCCTCCATGATTCAGACCGTTTGTAATTTAATGTTAACACTCAACATTTTCATTTCAAATGACACCTTCACGTTTTATTGCATTATGAATTAAACCAGCCTTTGCCTGTGTACTACAGTAACCTTTTCACTACGTTTTCCAAATGCGACTGCCTCACAAAAAGCCAATTTAACAGACCAACGGCAACATTTACAGACAGTTGCCACGGTACATAATTATCATGTGCGTAAATCGACGGGGGACATGGGGAACCCCCCCCCCCCCTTCCCCCCCCCCCCCCCCACACACACACACACATTTTGAGGCGGGGGGCATTTTTTGGTGTCCCCCCCCCCCACTTTTTCTTCCCCGAATAAAAATATTGTAGCCTACAATAATGATTCTATTGCTCAGAATATATGTAGCTGATTCAATTACTCCAAACTCAAAACTTTAAAAGATGATCTTTGGTTTTAGTGGTCAGAAATTGCCTCAGATCACACCACAGAAATTGCTTTTCTATAACTGCATGTCTCCCCAACTATATCCCCCATTGACATTTAATTCCCCACATTTTCATCCCCAACACTACGCCCTACCCGATCTATGATCGGGTAAATCAGCTTGTTACAAATACACAGCACACAATGGCAGCCCAAAACTCTAACATTTAACATTAAAGGGCCATGGAAATCCTTTTTTACGGGAAGGGGGGGGAGTGTAAAATCCCCCTACCTCTTACCTGTTGTGCCGCATTGACAGCAGATTGGGTAACAACACGATGTACTCGCCTCACAAAGTGGTGGACACGTCCACTATGACTTCACATTCAATGAATCTGTGTACCCCCACCACACAGCACCTCTGTTCTCTTAAAAATGGTATATCAAGCTCTTATGAGTGTTTTTTTTTACCCCGACCAAATCCATTTAACAAAAATTATACGTTATACAGGTGCGACACTGCATATGCCTTTTGGTCTGTCAGAAAAAAAGGCAGGGGAAACAATGTATTTGAAGAAGTAACTCTAGTCTTTCCAGGACTAACTGAGGTACCCCAGTTTATACCCCTAATTCAGATATTGATGCAGTTGAAAGGTTATCAATAATTCTACAGACGAAAGAACCAGTAACTGGGTTAATATAGATGAGGCAAGAATGCATAGTGTAAGAAAACAAAGGGTTTGTCAACAGTAAATTCCAACTATAAAGGCGGCCCTACTCCAACACATTAAACAGCTATCTGAGGTGGATTTTATTATATGAAACGCGGTCAAAATTTTCCACGTTGTGCATATTGAGTACCCCCCCCTTTTAAAAATGGATGCCGCACCTCTAAAAGGGTAGGTTTGTGAAGGCCTCACATTAAAAAAAAAGATTTTTATGAATATATTGTCCGAGTGGAATTTAATCCATTCATGAAAGGTAGGCACAACTTTCTTTTATAGGGGCATCATGACTACCCCCCCCCATTTTATTATGGCTGCCACGCCCCTAAAAGGGTGTGCTTACGATTGCTCCACGTGTGATTTTTATCTCGTGAGTATTAATGTCTGTGGAAATTAGCTTCATTCGTTTATGAGATGTGGGCACATTTTTCCCATGTTGGGCATAATGAGAACCCCGCCCCCCTTTTTTCAAAATGGCTGCCACGCCCCTAAAAGGGTGTGTTCGCGATGGCTCTACATCTGGAATTGTTTTTATCATGAATGTCAATGTCTGTGAAAAGTTCCATTTCTCTATGAATGTGGGAACAATATTTCCAGGGTGGGCATAATGAAAACCCCGCCCCCCCTTTTTCTGATATGGTTGCCACGCCCATAAAAGGGTGTGTTCGAGATGGCTCCACATCTGGAATTTGTTTTCTCATGAATGTCAATGTTTGTGGAAAGTTCCATTTCTCTATGAGTGTGGGAACAATATTTCCAGGGTGGGCATAATGAAAACCCCGCCCCCCTTTTTTTTCCTATATGGTTGCCACGCCCCTAAAAGGGTGTGTTCGAGATGGCTCCACATCTGGAATTTTTTTTCTCATGAATATAAACGTCTGTGGGACGTTTTATTCGTTCATGAAATATGGGCACAATGTTTTCCAAAGTGGGCATAATAATTAAACCCCCCCTTTTCTTTTAATGGCTGCCACGCCCCTAAAAAGGTACTTTTGTGGTGGCTCCAAATCTGGAAAACACTAATAATCTATATAATTATGTCTTTGTGAAGTTTCCTGCTTTTGTAACAAGTGGGAAAAACCATTTTTACTGCGGGCACGACAAGTCCCGCCCCCCTTTTTTTAATGGATGCCACGCCCCTAAAAGGGTAAATTTGCGATGGCTCCACATCTAAAACGTTTTCTCGCATGAATATAAACATCTGTGCCAAGTTTCACGCTTTTATGCAAAAGTGCACAATTCATCGATATTTTGTCACATATCCGCTGGACTATGTGTGGAAATTGCGAATAAATCAAATCAAAGACCGAGCGCAACCCAGACTTGGACCATTTAGTCTCGGTCTGCTTGGTTAATTGCAAGCTTGTGGCGCAACATGTGTTGGTTACCCATTCATTATTTATTAAGAACATTTTCCATTAATAGATTTAGAATAGTCCAAAAAGCAGTGATAGGCTGGTACCCAAATACATTGCTAGGCAGCCGCATGCAGCTTGCGTGCATCGGAAGTCTTATTCCTAGAAGCTGTGCCGGCCGGCGCGCGGCGCGGCGAGTCCAGAGCTAGAGAGCGAGCCATGGTAAGTAGACGTACTTTTGGTATCGGGTAGGCCTACTTTATGACTGCATGATATTGATAAGATTGTGTGGGCCGGCTATACTTTTGTACATTGGGAACCTCGGCCAGAGGGGCCCTGATTCTTGTAGTTGTACTGGTTTGTGTGAGCGGGTGTTTTGGTTGACAGGTTGTTTGCACTGCATGCACACGTTCGCACACACTGTTTAAAAAAGGTAGTGGATATTTTGCCGGAGGTAATGACGGCAAACTAACGATTACTAAAGGTTTGCCGGCGGCAATCCATATCAACAGAGGGCGCTGTACTCTTTAAAATAGGGTTGAATTATAATATGTATTAAATTCCCACCCAAACTTGTGTAGCACGTTTGGTGTAGTGGTACTGGTTAAGCAAAGGCTCTAGTAAGCGGGATGATTCGCGTTCGATTCCGACCGCACCACATTTTAATTTTTTTTTTCTCATCCCCAAATAAATAAGAATATTCTTCTTTTATTATTTTAACATGTCTCAAACATTTTTTGCAGAGTATTACATTTTCTTTTGCAAATTTGTGGCTCTGGAGGATTTTTTTTTAAAGGGAATAAAGTCCGAAATTATAAAATGGTCTGAATCCCATCTTGTGAATACGAGATAACAACGATAATTTTGGCATGGAGCCAGACTAAAACTTGTCACCGGAGAATTTTGAAGTACAAAAAAAACAGTAACTGCGCATGTTCAGTGCATATCCGGCAAACTAACGTTTACTAAAGGTTTGCCGTCTCCGGCAAAATATACACTGCCTTTAAAAAAATTAAAAATTTGATCTCAGGGTTTTTTGCAATTAAAAAAAAAACAGGCCGCCTCCAAAAAAGGAAGTGGGCGGGGACGCTAAACGTGTTTTTTTTTTTGTGGCCTTACATTATCCAACTTTGTATTGGTTTATTGGAGAGTGCTAAATAAATGTCAACTGAATTGAATTGAATTGAATTGATGCACAAAAGCGAATGCGACTCACTCTTCAACACAAACCCGTCAACAGTCAAAACAGCAGAACCAAACAACATAAACGAGGAGGAGGAAATGGCCAACAAGCAGACGCTGCCCGAGGGACTACCACAATGTGTCGCCGACGCATTGTTCGTTCCCAGTGAAGACATGCCGACAGATTCCGTTCCCGTCCGTGGGTATGACTTCAACCAGGGCATCGATTATCACAAGCTGCTGAAGAGCTACCGGACGAGTGGATTCCAGGCTACCAACTTTGGGTTGGCCGTTGAAGAGATAAACAAGATGGTTAGCATATAACAGGCCTAGCCCCATAATTGTGGCTCAAATACTGAACTTCCTCTGTATCGTGAGCCACACTGAAAAGTTGCCTCTAAGAAATCAAAATTGAGACTCTTTTCACTTGATGTTCACTATGGAAGGTACTTACCTGGTTAATAACCAGGACAACTTAAAGGTCAAAGGTGCATGACCCATGACCTCAAGAAAAATCCTGCAGTTTGTTTTCGACAAACTCTCTGCTAAGTGCTAATTTTGCCTGAATATTACAGGATAACTAGACATCTAGACGTACAGAATGTAATTTTGTTCTGATTAATAACCAGCTGAGCCCCAATTTCAATCATGGCATTAGAACCACATTTTGGGGCTTATAACAGTCCCATACTTAGCTTGTCACCCAGGAGGGTTCAATCCTGATTCAGTGTACTTTCCTGTATTGCGTAGTGTCACCATTGTTTTTTACCTCTTTGTTTTCTGTAGCTGGACAAGAAGGCAGTACCATTGAGTGAGGAGGAGGTGTCGCTAGGAACAGAGCTGAATCCCGTCCATCGCACCAAGACCAACTGTACCATCTTCCTGGGTTACACCTCCAATCTGATATCGTCTGGCCTCAGGGAGAACCTGCGCTTCTTGGCTCAGCATAACTTGGTGGGTGTTACACAACGCTTGAATAAATTCCCGTCATCTGATTGGCGGGTTGTTGATTGCTTGTCATTGAATTATTTATCCCAACACATGTACCGCCCGCATTCCGAAATCGAAGTTCTATTCCATTGTAAATAGAAGTTCCATTGCACGGTCACACTATCGGTGGTTCTGATCAATCAGATGATAAGGATTTATTCAGGTGTTTATAAAAAAATAATGAATGTTTCGCATTAGTGCAATGGAAGGATGATTTCATTTGGTGACTGATGGAATATTCTATTCAAATTACTATTACCAATGCACTCGTCAGCTTTCATTATTTGTATATAAACACATTGCATGTTTACTGTATACATCTTGCAAAAGAACTATTATTCTGGTTTATTCAAATAAAAACACGAGGTAGGCAGCCACAAAAGAGTCGCTGATATAACCACGTTTACACTTACAGGAATTAAAAATTGTTCAATAGCAGTTAAAAGGAGTAGAAGCATAAAATTACAACAAAGTATAGGATCATGTATACAGCACAAAACAGCACAATATTAAAAAAAAAATGATTTATAAACTTTTTTTAAAAATTCAAAATTGAAGACGGATCATTCAGGGAAGTTGGTCTAATAAGAAGTTCTCACTTGCACCTACTACATTGTAAACAATTAAGAATTACAAAAGTTTAGCTAAGACAGGAATTGTAGACTATCGATATCAGAGGGTAGACTTATAGTAGACCAGGTGTTTTTACCGGACCTGTGAATGTTACTTAATCTCCTTTGTCATGGTTCATCCCCTGCTACTTGTGACCTGGCATGTGACCTGCCATGTGACCTGACATGTGACCTGACATGTGACAGGCACCTATCAAATTCTTTCCCACAGACGTATTTATTTCAGTCTTGAACTTGTGTATAATTATAGGTGGACGTCATAGTGACCACTGCAGGTGGTATAGAGGAAGATCTGATCAAGTGCCTGGCCCCGACGTTTCTCGGTGATTTCCGCCTGCCGGGACAACAGCTCAGGTCAAAGGGCATCAACCGCATCGGTAACCTGCTGATGCCCAACGACAACTACACCAAGTTTGAAGATTGGATCATGAAGATCTTTGATGATATGTTGGAGGAACAGAACACACAGGTACTGAGAATCTTGGTCTAGATGTTTGTACGTATTTTCAGGCGTTTGGATTTCTTGACGTTTGTACACTTGCGAGGGTGTGCAAGGAAAAAAGTCATGAGCTTACTTAAGTGGGACTCGAACCTATGACCTTCTGCTTAGCAGTGCAGACATCTGCTTGCTGGGGGGGGGGGGGTAGGAGGGATTATTGGATTAAAAAATGTAATTTTTTGTCAGTTTTGACACATTTTTTGTTTCCCAATTTTTTTCCTGGTAGGGCATGCGTTGGACACCCTCACGTATGATTGCCAGGCTAGGCAAGGAGATAAACCACCCAGACTCTGTGTATTATTGGGCGTACAAGGTAAGCAATACAACTACAAATGTAGCCTGTCTTACACACACACGCAGTGTTCTGCAAAGTTGCTATATTGATCAATTAGTGTCATAAAATAGTTGTAGATTGCTCTTTTTGTATAGTTCAGAAACTTGTAGTCTTGCACTCCAGCCCTGTGTTAGATAAATTATCTATGCTGAACTCTGTTTGTGAGGTTTTATTGAAGTGATTTTTTTCTTGCCTCCCCCAATTCCATTTGCAGAACAACATTCCAGTTTTCTGTCCAGCGATTACCGACGGCTCCATCGGCGATATGCTGTTCTTCCATTCCTACAAGAAGCCCGGTCTGATTCTAGACATCGTTGAAGGTGAAATAGCTAAATCCCGAATTTCACAGACTTGTTCAATCACTTTTGCATTTCATATAAACAGAGATGAAGACTTTGGATTTGTTGCTAAATGGGTTGATAGAGCACCTGTGTAATTATGTGGAGGTTACAGGTTCATATCCCGTGTCTTCCCTATGTTTATTATAGGAAGATTTATCCCTCGTAGAAATCCAATTGAGGTTCAGGTCCCATCATGGTCCCTTCCGTTTTTGTTCAGTGTTAATTAATGTCTTCGTGTTAGATATCTGATGTATGACAAGTGTGGCCATCTTTTGTAAATTTGTTTTTCATATTTGATACAGCCATTGTGGAGCCTAATGACTCGGTTGATAGATTCGCTGTGGGATGTGGTTTAATTTATGTGTTCTGGGTTCAAAATCTGTAATACAGTTTCTTCCCATTAGATGTCCAACTAAAGAAAAACCAGACAAATTTTGAGACCAATTTTAAGCTATGCCGTTTGGTCTGTAGAGCATGTGTGCACGAATCTGCAGGTTGTGGGTTCTAGTCCCGCCATAGTTCATTTTTCTTTGTTCACTGTAATATTGTTTCCTATTTTAGATATTCGACTGATGAACAGCCAGGCCGTCTTTGCAGCAAATACCGGCATGATCATACTAGGAGGCGGACTAGTCAAGCACCATATCTGCAATGCCAACTTGATGGTACGTCAAACCATAGGAGCATAATAATAATAATAATAACAATATTTGAGTTTCAACTAGGTTTTGTGATCAAAGCTAACTTCAATAAGACTTCACTTCTTTTCATGATATCATTTTTTGTTTTAATTGAACAGTTTAGAAGGCCTGGCATTTCTGTTTCTAGAGTTTTTTGGGTTTTTTTTTAATTTATAATATATTTTTTTTGAGAAATATTTTGCTAAGATCAAAACATAAGGCCTGCTTATTTTTACGATATTTCAGGTCACTCCAAGCTCCAACTTTATGTTGATTTGTTTTACAGCGGAATGGAGCCGATTTTTCAGTCTTTGTGAACGTTGCGAGCGAATTTGATGGTTCTGACTCGGGTGCTCGTCCGGACGAGGCAATATCCTGGGGAAAAATCAAGGCCTCAGCAACCCCAGTCAAGGTAACTCAGCAAGAAACTAACCTCCTCTCCAATCATAAACCCTTGACGCTGGTATATCAGCCTTAGTATAAAATGAGGGCAAATAAGACGCCACCAGCCCCCCCCCCCCATGAATTTTGAAGGATATGGGTGTGTGTGGACAATAATCAAGGTTTTATTTTATTTTTATTTTCTCCTCTCAGATCTACGGAGAGGCCACACTGGTAGTGCCACTGCTGATAGCAGAGACCTTCGCTCAGAGGGTTCAACTGCCCCACAAGACTGAGGAAATTATCAAATAAGAGTGCCAGATTCTTCCATCAAACATGATCGTATCTTTCTAGCATCTCTGAATATTACAATAGGTGGTTGGGAGACGAGGTAGTATTTAGTGTTTTACTGAAATATTGACTATCGAAGGTCTGCGCTCCGCAGTCCAGAACATTTCCAGACACAACTGAGGGGGAATAATTTGCAAATTGATCAGAATAAAATTTATCAGCACTGCATAGACTCCTTGTCAACCTCCCCCTTGCCTGTTACAAAGAGAGAGGGTAAAGTGGGACCAATGATTGCCACCATACGTCTGACACTCATCATCATCATCATCAGTCGACTGCAGCTTCACTACTTGTGTCGGGCACGATGACGGACACGCCACATGTCCTGTTCCATCATCAGTGTCCCAAGATCATCTGCAGTTGCGGCGCCACTGTCCTCCATCAGCCTGGTCTTCACCATGGTTTTGTACGGGCGCCCACGATTCATCCTCCCATGGGTTGGTTCCCAGATGATGACCTTGCTAGCGGGCAGCTCTGGGTGTCGCAGGCAGTGCCCGGCCAGTCGCCCTGACACCCATGCAAAGGTGCATCTCCGTGCATACCCCCTCAACTGCAGGAAAGGGAGAGTTGGGGGAGACCACTGGGAGAGACATTCAAGCACATTGTCAACGACTCCCACACTCGCACAAGGACGCTATGGCTTTGTGCACATTCAGAATAAAATAAGTCGTTCGCATACTTAGAAAAAAAATGGAAAAAAATCTTACAACATGGAAAGAATGTAGTATCCAAGATGGAGTCAAGAAAGTATTTCCTAACGAAATAAGAAATATTTTTCAGTCCCAGATTCATATCTTTTCAACATTTTTGCAATGACTGACCTTTAAGATGATATACAGTATGAAGAAAAAATTGGCGTCAGGTTGCAGCATTCTTTCCTACAGCAGTGTTTGCTGGCATCCTAGCGCAAGAAACATTACTTTCATTAGAAACTGTATTCTATCTGGAATTAAAATTTGCAGTATGTTTCACTTTTTTAAAACGTTTTTATCAAGAAATGTGAAATATTATTTGGGACTGTGTGTTATCACTGTCAATATCAATTATTAAGAATAAAGTCAGAATATGGTACTACATGTATTTCTAAAGAATGCGGTTCCTGGATTCATTTGTGTTCCAAGTTTGTTATTATTTCTTGGCGTGCCCTCATTTCGTCCGCTCATCTGCTAGTGTTATTCGCAACGTCTTGAAATCAGACTAGCTTTCGGGATGTACACGTACCGTGACTAATGGTGGCGCCCTTTATGTCGCGCCAACACATCACGCAGTATCATGTGAGGATGAGGTCTATGCCGTGTCATCACACCTGCATCTGTTTGTAAACATCATTTTCATGCCCATTATTAATATCAAATGTCAGGAAACGGTTTCCAGTTAACGTGTATTTGGTCAAGATAATATCTCTAGCACAGTTATGGCATTGGCATCAGAAAGTTCCGAGGTAAGATAATGGGTGTATTTTTTATATTTTTGTACTATTTTTTTTATAGGCCCTAACCCTATAATTTGAAAAAGCCTAAAAATGTTAGGCTTTTTCAAATTTTGACTTTTGGTGATTGATTGATTTGTTTATTTTGTAGGCAGTGTATATTTTGCCGGAGACGGCAAACCTTTAGTAAACGTTAGTTTGCCAGATATGCACTGAACATGCGCAGTTACTGTTTTCGCAGTGGCTATTGTTACGGCAGCCGTAACGCATTTCCCATTTTCTATCGTTACGGTAGACTGCAACCTGGCAACTTTTATAAAAAAACATGACAAGAAAATATAAAATTAGAAGGAAAAAAGTGAATTTGAACTTTATGAAATTCGGACTTTATTTCCCTTTTAAAAAAAATCCTCCAAAGCCTCAGGTTAGAAAAGGAAAAAAATTCGAGTGCAAAACTGAGATTCGAACCCGCAACCTCGCGGTGCAAAATCCTACCCTCTATCGGCTGAGCTGGCGCACTGCTCGATAAAACGCGGGGAAACAAATAATTATATACCCGCGTGCGTATCAAACAAATATCGTAGAGGGCGCTAAACAACGAGTGCCGTAACGATAGCCACTTCGTACTGTTTTTTTTTACTAAAACATTTTCCGGTGAAAAGTTTTAGTCTGGCTCCATGCCAAAATTATCGTTGTTACCTCGTATTCACAAGATGGGATTCAGACCATTTTATAATTTCGGACTAAGTTTATTTCCCTTTAAAAAAAAATCCTCCAGAGCCACAAATCTGAAAAAGAAAATGTAATACTCTGCAAAAAATGTTTGAGACATGTTAAAATAATAAAAGAAGAATATTCTTACTTATTTGGGGATGAGAAAAAAAACATTAAAAATGTGGTGCGGTCAGAATCGAACGCGAGTCATCCCGTTTATTAGAGCCTTTGCTTAACCATTACACCAAACGTGCTATACAACTTTTGGTGGGAATTTAATACATCTTATAATTCAGCCCTATTTTAAAGAGTACAGCGCCCTCTGTTGATATGGATTGCCGCCGGCAAACCTTTAGTAATCGTTAGTTTGCCGTCATTACCTCCGGCAAAATATCCACTATCTATTTTGTATAAATTTGAAAGTTGAATGGTTGAGGTTGGTGTTGTGTTACTTTAGTTGAAACGATTTCATCGTTTTTTACACCATTGTATGTGGTTTGCACCATTGTATGTGTTGCACCATTGGTGTTCTGTGGAGTTTTGTAACATTTGTAAACACTTTATCTTTTAGTTTTTCTTCTAAAATACCTGCTGAAATACCTACAATACAAGACACAAAGATATCGTCCAGTATTGTATGGATTGGAAACAATATGCACAAAACCTTAACTTTTTGCAAAATTATTGTAATGACCTTTTGATACAATTTGAACCCATCCAGACCCAGGTTTTGTTTGAACAAGGAGGCGTATTTATCCACACAACTCAGGATGAGGCTGGCGATGTCCTACTTGGAGGAAAGATCCAAGTAACCAGAAAGGTAAATTAATCTCCCCCTCTCTTCCAAACTCATACTTAAATTTCAAAAATCAGCTAGTCAGTTACCTCGCAAAGCATAAATGTATGTATATCAATGCATACATGATGTTCTTAATACAGTAATAAGCTCATTGTCAATTTTTGACAGGTGCATGCAAATCCCAACTTCCAGCCTATTTCATTTCTGACCGCGGCGGTGCATTCAGTGTAGGCTGATGCGTGTTGCAAGTGAAATTTAATCAGTGCATTGCATACACTTGAATATTTGTGAACAAGTGAATACTGAGATATTTGACAAAGCACAGCGCTACCGGGTTTTGGCCCAATATGGCTCCAGTGTTCTTCAGCAACATCAACTCTTATAGTTTGGGGCCAAAAAGAAAGAGTATTTCCATATTTCCTATTTGAAACCAGAGAGGACGCCGGGTTCCAAAAAGAAAAGAAAAAAAGAATGAATTGTTTTCCTAGATTGTAGCAGCTTTGGGAATGTAAAAAATCTGACAGACACATCACATTGAGGGTTTGTTCCCTTGTAATGTTTATAACAATTCCTGCAGCCATTGTGACGTATTCAACCTAACTCTGCACGTCATTTTATACTCGTCTGTTTTCCAGAGCGATGGAGCCTATGTTGAGTGGAACCCAATCAGGGACATGGAGAATTCCCAAATGGTGAAACCGGACACAGACTGGACAGTGGTCAACACGGTCAGCTACCAGAGAGAAAACAGTCAGACCACAGGTACATCTTCTAAAACCATGCAAGAAATGTACCTAGAGACCTTTGCACACTTTTGTCTTGCCTACCTGTGTCCAGTGATGTGTTCACCGTATGCGTAACCAGATCCCGTTGAACACGGGTAGGCAAAGCATACCATTCACACTATCACCGGTGTGTACACTCGGCTGTAAAGTTTGGGGTTTTTTTGCCCGGGTAGAGCCTCTTGGGATTCTTGCTAGTGTGAAAGTGTTGAAAAAATCATCCAGTAGTGCAAAAGGGTCATTAATTTGCAATGTTTTCTGCAGGGATTTTCAAGGGTTTTCCATTTGTTGGCTTAAACCTCCTTACTACCTGAAGGCGTTGCTTTTGGTGGATTAAGACTATGGACACACATTGGCTGGATCCGGCCACCAAAGTCATGGCATTAGGCAACAATACAGCCGTCCACTTATGGACTTAATATAAATGTACAACAAAAATAGCCCCAATGTATGTGTGCTTGCCGATATGTTGTACAAATGACAATGCCCAGACAATTTTAAAGCCCCTACAAGTAACTAAATTCCAATAGAGACCAGTGTTAAAATCTCCATACTTCAAAATTCTCTTTATAATACTCAAAATTCTCACAGATGTTCAAGCTACACAGAAAAATGATGATCGTCATGTTGGCTTTCAGTTTCTGTTCAATTTTTGCTCGGTTGACCAATGACTTTTTGAGAAATTCTCACCCAAACAAGACCACCCCTAAAACGAATAATATCTCCCAAACTGGAAAAGTAGCCATTTGAAAAAGGATTCAAATTTTGTGGGGAAATAAGGATATGAATAAGTGAATTATCAGAGGCATTCATTGATATCAAGACTTGCCATATACATCTTCATTTTTTCTTGGAGTTATCAAGTTCCAAAATTCAGTTCTGCAGCTCCTGGTGCATTTTCACAGCATAGGTCACAGATTTTGAACTGCGGACTTCAGTGGTCACAATCAGTGTTTATTTTCTCCCCAACCAGAGAGTGTAACCGTGGCCCAGCCCAGCCGACGCAGCCGCTATGCTATGAGTTTCCCGCTGGTTGACACCAAGAAGATCCGACGGTCTAAGCCCGGCCTGGGCTGGTCGTACCTCATGTTTATCCTAAAGGATAGCGTCTCTCTCCCCCCGTTGCACTTCCACGAGGGCGGCAGTCCAGCACTGATAAGAGAGCTGAACAAACACGTCACCATCTCCACGTAAATTATCCTACCTCTGGTTTAAAACACAACTTTCAATATCGGCTTTGAGAAAAGTTTTATCCCAAACTGCATATAATCTGTCAGAATCCAACACTAGGGCCGCGTTCCATTAGCACAAACATTTCGAATGTTCGTGAACTTTTTGTGCATATATCCAATGGGAAATTGTTTGGCAATGTTGGCAATCGATAGCATTGTTTGCAGATGTGGGATGCACCCCTGGATTTACGACGTTACTTTACACAGGTCTACCAATGTCTACTGTTACACATTTTGTATTAAATAGAAAGATTGTGCAATATTGAACATGCACAGTTTAGGATTTTTCAAGAGTTTTGAAAGCAGAAATGCTTTGGGAATTGAACATAGTGTAGTCCTTTTTTCTTAATTCGTTTTCTACAATTATAGAAAAGTTCTCTTCGAAGCTCACCCAAAATAAATTAAAGAATGTTCCTTTTCACAGGAATTTTAATCCTTTACAAAATATTGTTAGGAAATGATTTCCAAAGTCTGGTGTATTGAGGGATGAAAATATCATTGATGCCTGCATTATGGTGTATGGATCAATCCTGAATGCACAACAATCTTCAGTCATTTATCTGATATACTTTGTTTTAATATTTATATAGAGGTTAAAAAAAAATCATGTCCTCACTCTGTTTTTTTCCTCAGGTGTTTGACAGATTCTTGCCTACTGATTGTCCTACCTCACAACACTGACGCTCTCTCACAATCCTTCACAGAGCTCAAGATCATGGGAGAAACCTCGGCCAATGTAAGTACGATAATTGACACCTTTGTAGTAATCCAGATTCCAAAAGGGATGTATCGATTCTTCAATGTATTAGTATACAAATAATGAATGTTTGTGAGTGTAATGGAAAGAATAATTTCAACAGAGGATTCAACAATTACAAAGGAATGTCTTTGCCAAAGTCCATGTGAATAGTTTACTTGACTTCAGCCTGCTTGCCATGTGATTGACATGGGATTGACAGCTATTTATAGTGATTGTGAACAAATTGTATGATACCAATAATTGAGTAAAAGATATTTTTCATGTCATGTGTAGCATTTATTATTAATTAACCAAATGTGAGTAGATTGTTTTGTAAATGGACTGATTAGTGAAACAGTTTTTCAAATAAGCAACTAAGTTTATAATATTTTTTAGCATACTTTCTACATCTTTGGAGTGGGCCTCTACCGAAGCAGTTATAATTTCAAACTATGTGCCCTCTTCCCCCCCCCCCTTCAAAACCAACCAACAAACAACAACAAAAATGGTAAATCAGGTTTAGATGTGATGTGTATATTGACAACCATTACAGACCTGTTATTCCATTTTTTTAAATATTTTTTTTGATGTTCTACTGGTGTCTGGATGTTAATTTAGTAACATTTTATTTGTTACTTGGTACTTGGAAGGTTCTTCTCCTAATGCTCCGAAGGGGAGTTTTAAGAGGAGGCCAGAAACACTGGGGCAAACCCTTCTCTTAGCGATAAGTGTTACTGGGTTCTTTTATGTGCATTGCATAAACATCCGAAGGACGAAGCAAAAATGGTTAAGTACCTTGCTGAAGGGCACAAGTGTCCAGGGCTCGAACCCACATTCTGCCTCTCAAACACCAGAGCACGAGTCCGGTGCGATGCTCTTAACGGGCTAGGCCTTGACACTCCATGTTATATCTTAATCTGAAACCCCTACCTGATGAATGCCCAAATGAAATACAGGGACTTGGGTTTAGTGTGGTGAATAAAAGCAGATTGAAGCACAGGCACTGCCCATTGAAAGTAATAAAAAGAAGATTGCCTATTGGTTGGTTTCACACTCCACTGACTCTATTGGATTCAACCCCTTCCTGTGATAAACAGACAATTCACTGAGGGGTGGGGAGGATTGAAATGGTATGGGGGGGGGGAAATATTAGTGACTCTGATTCATTGTGCTGGCACAGACTGATACTGGGGGCTTATCATCTTGTGTGGACCAGCCCCCTTGTATATGGTCCAACCCATCACCAATCATTGTTGGCTGGGTTTAAAGAGATCCTCTTTGTTGAATAAGCTTGATGAAAGAGTTCTGGGAATTGGTATGGCGTTAAGTGTCAAGAAGACAGTGGGGCTCAAATGAAGCAGACCTCTGGTTGGCTAGGCAAGTTGCGAAAGAAGCGACAACAGCAGCTGAGAATCACTCCATTAGTACTGCAAGTGGAAGGTGGGGCACCAGGGAAGACGGTGGTACTCGAATTGAAGGCCACACTTTGCACTGGTAATCAGACCACCAATCTTACTAATAAGGCAAAGGGCCGGGAGAATTTGGAAAACATCCTGTCCGTAACCGAGGCTGTGGAGACAATTTACAACCGAGCTCAAAATAGGATTGAAACCTCTCCCCCACTCCCGTTTCCAATTTGCGACTTGTAAAAAACTTTCCACAGAGGATTCAGTCAGGGATCCAAAGGCAGAAGTCCATAGGACCCAGCTAGAATTAAAGATTACACGCATACCGGCCACAAGTGGAAATCAAATCCAACAGCTTCATTTTTCAACATCTTTCGCAATGGCAGAGGGCAAAAGAAATCGCAAACGATTTGTCTTTTCCACGGAAAAAACTGATGAGGGAAGAAAACAAGAAAAACCTGAGCTCAAGAAACCCAAGCCCCAGGAGAGTGATGAATGGGACATCATTGAGGCAGCCGACAACAGATGCTACGTCGACCACCCTCCAGAAGGTCCTGAACATGAACTGTCACCGTCAAGGACAACGTCATCATCAACAACACCCTGTCACCCAACAGTTGTGACCTTTTCACCTTTCACCTTTGCCCCCCGCATTGCCAACAACTACCCAGTCTCAAAATCGCCAGTGGTTGCCACCCCAATTCCAGTTTTTGCTCCGGAGAAGAGCATTGAAGTTTGCCAACGACTTGTCCAAAAGAACCATCCAAAGTTGAAACTGGGGTCAAGGATGTTGCAGAAACCCCGGGCATCTTTGGGAAGGGTTGGCATTGATAGCTACGACTTCGCTAGGGCAAGGCACAATCTCGCAAATCATTCCTTATTGCTTTCTTCGCTTCTCAGTGCCAAGAATGCATTGTACTTTGTAGGAGTTGGAATTAAGGTAAGTTTATACACGGAAACCTACAAAAATATGCATTTCTCCTTGGTATATCAACCAAAGATTATCTGTTACGGGAGATAGGCGCTAAGTAGATTACACATTTTAAACTTTGTAACAAACAGGCCTTTTTAAGAAGAAGAAACAATATTCTCGGATGGAATTTTAAATGTACATTAACAGTATTCTTTCCAGTAACAACTTTGAGAGAGTCTGCAACTTTTGTCTCGGTTTCACATCTCTTCCAAGTAACCTAAAGTTGAATTCTTTTGTTATTGGCTCTCAAAAAAGGCAACCTTTTATCAGGTTTCTGTTTAAACACAAACGTTTTACTAATTCAAAAAAACAAAAAAACATTGAGAAAGTGTTTTCAAATAAGACATTCAGCATACTTTGAGTGTAAAGATCTTATGTTGAGCACATACATGTATTCATGGCATGTGCATACTCAGAGCTACACGAATTCCAATCAGACCAACAGGTGTGTTACAGTACATGCTGGCACCTGTACATGTACTTTGATGTACCATTTGCTAAACCCGTCCAACAGCAAAAAAGTTTCCTAATTTTCCCAAATACTTAAACTGTACCCAAAATTGTATTTGGACGACCTGCCCACCACATTTATTTTACAAAGATTCAGTGATGTCTGTGCGTGCATCCATTTCCATTTACGAAGCATTGGAAGCACCTTACTACTCGACCACATCCCAGAAAGTTGACTTTATACATTTTACGATAACAAGTGCTCAGATTCTTTCCTATATGAGATTGCACGTATAGCAAGTTTGCAAAGTGTTGACCAAATGCTTATACGCAAATGTGTACACAATTATCAGCGAAAGTTTACCAAAGCAAACGTTGATTCCCATCCTTAACCAAATATCAAATATTTGAACCAAGTAGTTTTTCTCTTTTCCCCTACCCCTTCATACATCAGAAGTTCTTCAAGGACCCATACACGATAACCTTGGGCGGGTTCTCCAAGGTCACCAACTTCCTCCGTGATGCTGTCATGACGCCGGCAGCCAACCGTCCAATCGATGAGTATGCAGAGCTCATGTCCGACCTTCCCAGCATCTTCTCCGTCAATTCACAGGCCGAGCAGAGTTACGAGATGGTGGTAACAGAGGTGAGGATAGAAGTGCAGAAACTAGACCTTTTTTCCCCCTTGACCTTTAGTCTCTGTCTACAATTGGTTTGACCTTTGACCTCTCAACTGGTACAAATTTCACAGAGTTGCCGAGCACAGAAATATGCTAAGCACAAATAATATTTGTTAAGCAATAATGGGTTACCAGCCAATCTGCCATGCACTGTGTCCATTGCTTGTGACTGGTACTAAGACAATTTGTGCTAAGCACATAGTTTTCAGCTAACTGCTTCATGAAATTGTTACTTGCACTCTGTGGTACGACACTATGCTGCAGCTGTTGTAAAATGTGGTGTTTAGTTTATGAGTTGCAGCTAGCATTGTTATTATTGTGTCTTGGACACTGTAATTTCATTGGGCTTGAACGGCCATGTCCAGTCTATAAAAAAGCTACTATTATACACTGCGTTACATATATCTTACCCATATACATTGCGTTGTATACAAATGTCCTCATATGTACACTGTGTTGCGCATGGCTGTAGGTTGCGTATGTAGGTCCAACTGTATAACACAAATGTTTGAATACAATCATTTTATTTCTGATGAGCTGAAATAAACGTTTGTATGTTTGTTTTGGTGTTTATTTTAATAATAGAGTCCACTGGGACCCAGGCCAGACGTGGAGAGACGTTCCCCTCTGACGGAAGCTGAGTGGGCCAGCCATCTTGACAAGGAAGGAAGAGTCACCGATGTCGCAGAGCTACAGAGGAAGATTTTCAGAGGGGTACATTCAGAGGGCCATTTTCTATCTCTTAAAAAAATGGCTTTTAACGGTTGCTTGATAGTGCCAAGCTTGCTTCAGTGGCAGAGAGTGAAATGGATTGAGCGACTGACTGAAAACTGAAAAAAAGTGTGTTTAAAGGAAATAGACATCATTTGCAAACATTCACAAATGAAACTGTCAAATATGACATATACTACATGATTGTAAGTGAATAATAGCATCATGCATCCTGTGCTATCACTGCGCCTAGTAGCCTATGCTGCCATTTAAAAAAAAAAGGATAATTACCATCATTTTCTCTGAATGGTCAGGACCAAACCATCATTCTTCCAATGGATCTTATGCTTTGCATTGAGAAAAATGAAGATACTTTTTCACGGTTTTCTCAAACTGTATATCTACTGAGCTGAAATTTGGTTATTTCAGTATATTGATAACATGCTTCTGATTTTAAGTTGTTCCTAGATTCGGCATTAGCAAATATTTTCAAATGGTGTCCACTATGTTTAAGTTACTCTTTGAACTTTTCTTGGTACTGGAAGGGTTTGGTCCCATCCCTGAGGAGAGAAGTCTGGAAGTTTCTGCTCAAGTATTACCCCTGGAACTCCACCAGCAAAGAGAGGACAGCTCTCAGGAAACTCAAGGAGTAAGTCTATTTCCATCTCTCCCTCAAGTTAAAGCTGTGGACTTGAAACAATTTTTTTTTAAAAGCAGCTAAATATGGAGATAACATAATGGCTAAAATATCACTTCCTATGCATGCCTTTCATAATTTGGCTATGTCTGTATAAAGGAAGTGTTTCGATAGGAGAGTTGGGGGAGGCCACTGGTAGGGACATGTTGAACGCTGTGCGATAGCATACTTTGCCCCATGCCCCCGTGAGCCTGTACGCTCACGAGGTGTGTCTCTCCCACTAGGGCTTTCATTAGTGCACTGGTTAAGAAACATTAAATACTGTTTGTGCATAAATAGAAACTTTTGGGGGATTATAATCAGTTCCAATTGGGAACATGCATGAACATGTTTGTTGCCTAGCAACTTTTTTGGTATTGACCCTAACCTTCCCAAATCCTCAAAAAATCTTGTTGCAAAATGGAGGATGTTGCAGGATTGAGGCTATATGGCAAAAATGTGTGGCTGATTTTGAAGGATGCGTTTTGTCATGGTCCCTATCTGCTTCGAAATTTAAGGTTCAGACCTGTAACTTGCTGTGATTTTGTTGTCATTAATCTCACAGGGATGAATATTTCTGTATGAAGGCTCAATGGAAGACGGTCACTCCTCAGCAAGAGAAGAGATTCAGTAAACACAGAGACAACAAGTGCATCATAGGTATGTCCATCACAGGTACACACCACGCCTCGGTCAGGGCCCAGGGTCATGGCTCTGCTTACTGTTAGCCACAAATCCCCACTTACTGTAGCACACAATTCCATGCTAACGGTAATCATGTTTCACTGGTTAGCGAGGAATTCTGACTAACCCTCCAATGGAAACATGCATTGTCAGCCTTGTTATTACTTGGGTCAATATTGGTCAAGACCCCAATTGGTTTGTACACAGTAGGCCAGGTGGTGAGGAAGAAAATTTTGACCATTGGTGACCTCTTAAGCAAAGGGAGGGTTAGCTAATGTGCCTCCGTACATTTCAAAACTAATGATTCTGTGCTTACAAGGTTAGCGCAGAATTTGTCTTCTAGCGCTGTTAGCATAGAATGGCCATCGTAAGCGCAGAATTCTGTGGTTAGCAGAGCCATGAAAATGAGCCAAGATCTCATCAAATTTCTTTCGCATATTTCATCCATCTTTGCTTCAACTTGTTGCATGACATGGAACATGTACTAATGGTTTCGTTAGATAAAATGTTGCAAAAGTGACAAAACCGGCCAAAACAAATTCCCCAAAATGCCTTTTTTATGTCAGAAGAAGAACATTTTATTGGTGAAATGTTATTTCTGTAGTGTTATTAGTTATCATGTTGATGGGGGGAAAAACGGTGTTGAAATTATCTTGATAGTTTATTCAGTTGGAAACAACAAGGCAACTATTTTCACGAAAAACCAGGTTCACAAAAATTAGGAATAAAATTGAAAATTAGATGCAAAAACTAAACTATAGATTACTTTTGGAATTCTCTCCTTCATTGAAATATTGCATATGAAGCTCTAGTACAGTTATTGTGTTGCTCATTTTAAACTACTTTTATCCCAAACCCTCTTTGTTTCCAGAAAAAGATGTGATTCGCACGGACAGGACACATCCGTTCTATATGGGGGAACACAACCCACACATTGAAGTGCTGCATGATATTCTCATGACGTATTGCCAGTACAACATGGATCTTGGTATGCATCTACACAAGCTGGGAGAATTTGAAACTCACTTAAAACTTTCATTTGTTTTCTTCAATGTTATCAACTCTCTGTGTTGTATTGTGAAAAGGACCCTTCAGAGGGAAACTGAAGTCACATTGCAATCGTACCCCATTTAAAAATCATACCTTTTCTTAAAATTATGTCAAATTTGTAAGACAGTCTTACTTGTGGTCAGGGTTTAGAGTTCAGGGCTCAATTGAGGACAAAGTTTAAATACCGATGTAAGGTTGAGCTACATGTACTAGTATTTGAAGAAAAAAAAACAATTTTCTTGAGAGTAAATAATGATTTGGCTGATATCACTGTACATTTTTGTTGAATGGTTCTCAAATGGCAATTTTTGGGTCGGCTAATAAATTTTAGATTTCTCTGCAAGATCTCTAAAGTTGCACACTCTGTGCTCTTCAAAAAATTGATTTTTGAGTTTGTATATTTTTTTCAAGAAAAAAATACTTCATTCCAAGTTGGGTGTCTGTAACCCTCTGAAAAAGGGCTTTCATTGTTGCGCACAAATGAATCCGTCCTACGAGAGCCGAAATATTGTCAGACGAGAGCCGAATTATTGTTGGCAGAAATAATTCAATAACTAAATGTTGGTGGATTTTTGTTTGTTCGATGTCTCATTTAAAAGTGATTACTTTTTTGTAATGCTAGTAAAAAAAGCAATTGAAAAAAATGTCTTTTTTGAGGTGAAACTTGAAAATAGCACGGGGATCACATCTTTAAGAATCTATTCTACAGGCTTCATATGTATTATCTCTGCTGCATGTAATATTTTGGTTGTTTTTTGGGGGTTTGTTGGCAGGTTATGTTCAAGGCATGAGTGATCTGCTGGCTCCTATTCTCGTGGTCATGGAGAGGGAAGTGGATGCATTCTGGTGCCTAGTCGGCTTCTTGGATGACCACGGACTGGTAAGCAGATACCTTCTCTTGATTTGGAGAGTCGGGAGTCAGGTTGGCGTAGCGGTACTTTCCTTGCCTTCCACCACTGTGACCCGGGTTCGAATCCCGCCTGGGCCAATATGTGGATTGGGTTTTCAGTCCCTGCCTGATTCCATGGGTTTCCCCCAGAATATTCTTCTGAGGTTTTCCTCCCACCTCTAAAACTGTAATTTCTTCTCATTGTCTTCTCTCCACAGGTTTCTTCAGGCTTGCGAGCTACAGTGCCTAGGGCGCTTTTGAGGAATCCTTGGTTTCATTACCAGAAATGATTAATAATAATAATAATAATAAAAAAAGACTGGCTCTGTATCGGCAGGACTTTTGTATTATTTCAGAATCGATTCATTTCACAGAATGTGGGATATTCAGTGGAACGGTGACAGCAAAGTGAGATAAGCTGGTTCCCTGTCCTGCTGTCGTATTCTTCACTTAAGAAAGCAGGGGGTGGGAACCTATTATGTATGATTGTATTTTCACAACGGAGACAAAAACTTGGAGAAAAAAAAATCATGCCTTTTGCTCATCATTTGTTTAATTTTTTCTTCTTTATTTGCACATTAGAAGGGTTCCACGCTGGGTATGAATGAGTGCTTTTACTGCCATGGCATCAGTTTTTATCATTGACACACTAAAGTGAAAAGTTGTCTCTAAATCAATTCTTTGTTGTTATTGCCATTAACCTCAGGTCATGAACTTTGACATGGAGCAGGAAGGCATGAGGAATCAACTGATGCAGCTGAACAATATGATGCAGATTGTTGATCCAAAGCTCTACGGCTATCTCCGTAAGTTTGCTGAGGATAAATCTTGCTCATTTGTATAAATATTCATCAAAAATCAACGTTTTACAAGTAGAAGTAGATTTCAGGTGAAAAATCCTAACAAGTGCTCCCTTTTCTTGTTCTGGCCCATGTTTTGGTTCAAAAATCACACGCAGAACATATTTTTGAAGTCGTATGAACATGATGAAAGACCTAGTTTTCCAAAATGAGCTTTTGTCTTTTGTATTCATCAGTCGAACAGTTTAAGGGACTCTCAAACACACATCTGTTTAATCGTACCTTGAACAGTCGACTCTCGTTAGTACAAACTCTGTAAATACAACATTCTGGTTATAACAAACATAAGGCCTTGGTCCCGACTGTGCATTTATGTGCACAATGAATGGGACTGATGTTCCTCTTAATACAAAATTCTGGTATAACAATTTGGCTAGGTCCGAACGAGTTTATATTGAGACTCGACTGTAATTTGTATTTTGTTTTGAAGTAACATGCTCCTATCATGGCTCGACACATTTAGGTTTCTGGTTGCATTCTCCCCTAGTGCTTTGTATCCTTTGGAAAAGGCGCTTTATGAATACGGTTATTATTAATATTCCGGAGTGAGATGTAATACATAATTTTTTTTTTATCGAGCAGAATCCAAAGAATGCAGCAATCTTTATTTCTGCTTCCGATGGCTCCTCATCTGGTTCAAGAGAGAGTTCACCATGGATAACATCAGCAGAATATGGGAGGTGAGTCTACCGAGTCTGCTCAAAGAGGCTGGCTGTGATTGGCTGTTGGTTTATTTATTTTTTTTATCACTCCAATGATGGGCCATGAATACCAGTTACTACCATTATAGTCTTGGTCCAAGAGTGGATTTTAGTTTTTTTATTCCGCTAATACAACTGGTCCCTGACAAGCAAGAGAAACCATAAGTGGCAGGAGAGTCACTATCAACAAGAATAATCAATACAGTCTTGGGAACTTCAGCAACGCTACCCAGGAAATTCCGAGCAAACCTCATGCGCACTGTAACTAATGTACACACATGAGGTGTGCTTGGAATATCCAGTCTTGTATGAAGACTATACCACTCAGGCTCATGCTCACTTAAGCTATAGCTCTGGACGCCTGTTTCAGACTTGGCTTCATGTGTATTTGTACTGACATCACTTGAGACCACAAATCAATTATTCTTTTGTGTCAAAAAGTGTTAGCTTATTAATACCACATTATGCCTCAGATCATTTTGAAGGCAAACCATCCCACCGCATTATACCACAAGTTGTAGCAGGATGATGAGCATGTTATCACTGTACATTTATGGAGCCCCCTTCAATGGCAAAAGCATTGTGTGAGCTGTCATGTAATTCAAGTGCCCCTTGATGGATTGCCTGAACAATAGCTGGCACAATGTTGTCACCATTGCCGGGGGCCGCTGTGAGTGTATAGTGATTGTGTGTTCGGTTATATTGTGGTATATGTCGTCGCTAAGACTGTACAGTGAAGGGAGCTTTGCGTTATCACATGAGATGGCAGCGCCAGCCATATAGCATATCCACCACATGAAGTTGCAATCATTGTTTGTGTATTTGTCCATGACTACAGATTATGTGGACAGGTCTCCCGTGCAAGAACTTCCACTTCCTGATGTGTCTGGCCATTCTGGACGGTGAGAGGGATCTTCTAGAAAAGGAAAACTTTGACTTCAGCGATATCTTAAAGGTGGGCACAGACTGCAGAAATTTAAAAAATATGTGGCTCTTGTGCTTTAAAAAGAAGTAATGTTGGAAGCATTGGTCATTTTGGTGAAAAATTGATGTTGGCAATTGCCGTAGGATTATAAAACAAGAAAATTTTGGCTTTAAATTATAACTGATTTTGTAAAAAAGTTTGTGAAAAAGTAGGCTTTAAAAATTGTCATGTTCATTTAACTCATGCAGAGCAAGTCTCTACACCCTCATATCATTTACATGGCACCCATGCATTTTGTGGCAGAAATCAGCGTTGTAATTGAACATGAAAAGTACATGCTTCGCTTTGTCACATTTGAAGTATTTATGAATTCTTCTTCATCTTATCTACATCTTTTCACTGACACGTGCAAGGGTTCAGGACTTCAGATACAGTCAGATACTATTCAATCTTGACAACCCGTGCACAAAGCAGGCACTTCCCAGTAACAAAAAAATTAAGTTTACAATTCACTCCTTGGTTGTAAATTTAATTTACGGTGCAAGATTGATTATGGAATCACACAGAGACAAATATAACAGCAAAATCGGACATAAATCAAATTAGGTTTTGCCCTTCACCGACGTCTAAACACTGTATACTCAGTGTGTTACCTCCCGAGTGAAAGTTGGAAAAAAATCAGACATCTTTTCATTACAAATTCTTACATTGATGGGCTTCAGTTGAATGCCATTTTAATGATTTCAGGAACAGCCTGGTTTTGCTGTGAGGCATCACAATTGATCAAATCTGTAATTTCTCATGATGTTGATTTCCTCCCACAATCAGCACGTTAATGAGCTGTCCTGCAGCATCGACGCAGACAAGATCCTCCAGACAGCGGAAGCCATCTACCTACAGCTGGTGGATTACCCAGAACTCCCTGACACCATCCGAGAAGTGATCGGTCTCAGCTCGGAGGAGAACGGTCTCACAGAGAATGGCTCCCATGCCTCAGAGAGCAGCATTGAGGTGCTTGCTGACCCCTCGGAGTAGAGTGGGGGACGAGGTGGGCTGTATGTTAGTCCTGATGTTTGTCTGTATTTAATCAATTGCCTATGAAGCTGGCTTTCATATGTGACCCTTGTTTGGGTGGTCTCCCCCAACTCTCCCTTTGTAACCATTGAGGGGGTACTTGCGCACGGAGTCCATCTGCTCCGCCTGTCATCATGAGAAACCCTGAGATGGTCAGACCATACTCGTAAACAAGTTGTAAAAAAAAAAAAAAAATTGTGACACAAAACAAGATAATATTGCTTATCAATTAGCCATAAAAATCATGTTATTTACAAAATACATTTAAGAATTATCATACAGAATTGCTTCATTGCTGTAATCAATACAATTACAAGGTAAAAATTAATGAAATTAATAGCAAAGTTTGAAACAGCATTGATTTTGTTTAAAATTTTATATATTTTATGTTCCTCATTGATCCTGCAGAAATTCTTTTCTGATGGCAAAATTGTACAAGTTACAGACTAAGTTATCAAGAAAACAGCAGTATCCCTAATAGGTTCAACGTGTTGGTAGGCTGTCTGTAAAACGCTTGTAATATGGAATGTACAGAATTATCGCTTGAATATTTCCAGCATATTCATTGTGCCAAAGATATAGGGCCTATGTAACTAATTGTCTAATTTTCAGTTATTTATTTATTTCCTTTCTTTGTGATGGCCTATCGTTCGCTATACTATAGTCCTTTTTTGGGGGGCAAGATGGCCAACGTTTTTAACGGTGTCATGAAAAAGAAGAATGCAAGGGACGGAATCGACTGAAATAGAAAAGTATATTTCAGCCTTTTTGTCATGCTGTCGTTTTATTCCTGAGTATAAAAAACATTTTCTTTATATTCATTTTGAAATAAAAATTCAGCTATAGCATAATTTCACTTACAAATGGGAGGCCAAAAAGGGCACCAGGCACCCATTCAAATGGCTGGATACTAGTGATAATGAGCAGCTTTGTAATGATTATTCTGATCACAAAAATTGCAAGCAGTCAGGGATCTAGACTCTTGCTTCTGTTTCTCACAATCAGGATCCAAGTTGCATGTTTTTTGTCACGTGGCGGTAATCTTACAAAACGAAGGTTACATGAACTCAGTATGAACATGAATATGCACACATCTGTATTTGCATACCTGATGTAGATAATGAATATGCATATGTGTACTGCATCATTGATGCAGTGCTTGATAATATCCATATCATGAACCACACAATGTAAGTTTTTTTTGTAAAAAGTATAGTTTTGTAAAGATATGCAGAAATAAGCTTAGGCTCAGTGTAACAGGGAACAATGATTTTATATAAAATCTAAGATTAAATAAATTGTAACATTGTAAGGCAATGAAATCTAGTGATTATCTTTAAAATTTCTGAGTTATATTTTTGAAAAGCTGCACTTTTCGAAGTTTAATAAGAAAGTTTGCTAGAAAGGTATACATGTACTTGCATTTCTCAAGCAGACATTTTTTGTTTTTAAGAAAAAAAAATTGAGGAACTTTTTTCTGTTTTGAGGTGATTATAGGTTCTTGCTGAAATTTTTCGGATTTTTTTTACAATGCAGTGTCAGCGGGTTGTATGACTATTCAGCAGAGCAATGATCACATGACACACACGTGACTTTTTGAAAGAGTAGGGCCAAATTTTGATCACTTCTAAGCACATTAATTTGTTTCTTAGAGAAAGCTTAGGTTACCAACTAAAACAGTGTGTAATTCATATTGCTGTGGTTGGTTGTCAGCAGAATTTTACTTGGCAAATTGGATACAAATATATTTGATGCAGCTAAGAAAGTTCAAAGGCACAGGATCATTTGCACTTCATGAATGCATTTTGTTCGTTTCCAATTATAACACCACTCTACATGCTCTAAATCCAAAAAAAGAATGTTCAAACGTAAATTGTCTAAGTTTCAGCTCAGCAGATATTACCCTTTTTGAGAAAACATAAAAAACCGCACGCAAAGTTTCGATCGCAAAACACGATTTTGTTAATGTTACTCTTTATTTCCAACAAATCAATCAATTGACTGATCGTTGGAAATCACCTTCATTTCTTGATTTCTTCTAAATGACTGCAAGCCAGACAAAATCATTGCACAGGGTGTTTAGTGCCAGTACGATCTTTAATTCAAGCAAGCTTTTGGATAATAATTTGGTAGGTACATGCAACTTTTGGGATACATGTATGCGAATGATCCAATGTGCTTTTAAACATTGAATATAACAAGGCTCTGATATTGCTAGTGAACACAAGACTGTGCGCTGAAAAGTTTGCATGAATCACTGAATACAGAAATACTTCATTTTTTTTTGGTCCCGATCTGTCGCGAATCACTAAATAAAGAAATACTTCCTTTTTTTGGTCCCGATCTGTGACAATGCTAGTCAACCATGACTGAAAATCAGTCAACTAACACTGCACTACTGTACATGTATTTTCATTATTATAAAAAAAACTGAATTACAATCTAATTTCTAATAGATTTATACAAGGACAAAAAAATGCTGATTGTTATTTTTTTCACACTTATCTGTACATTTCTAGAAGATTAGTGTTCTGTATTAATTACATTAAGTTTTTTATTTTTAGTATGGAATGCATGAACTGAAATCAATACAAATAAAAATGTAAAAAACTAAAGTCAAAGAATTATAACATGTGTAGAAATTGCCAACCTGAAGAAAATGAGGAAAATTTGTCAGTCTGATGTAAAATGGAACCACAGTGAAACGGCCCTTCCATTTGTTAAGTAGCAGTCATCACAAGTCTGTCACAAATTATCCAGTCCCAAGTCAACTCACAAGCTGTTGAAATGGACTCCGATAAAGGCATTCCTTTATTATTGACTGGACATGTGAATTGACAGATATTTTACTGGTGACTGGACTTATGATGTCATATCGATCCACAACAAGGACCTGCACTGCAACACTGTTAAGTTAAGTTTGCCAGCAATGCCTGCATGGATGTGTCGCCAGCATTTGTGCAAATTTGCTATGAGAGGCTTTGTCTTCAAGCCCAGAAACTGTACATGAATACTGCGACGCCCAAGACGATCACGAGGAAAAGATTCAGGATGGCCTTCTGGACTCGGGTCTGGTGGATTTTAGCCATCATCTTTTGCTCCTCCTTGCGACATTGCTCCTTGGTCATCTCCGCCTCAGGGTCATTGGTGGAGAATCCACAGAACCAATCGTAGGACTTGCGGAAGAGGGAGTGATGCTCCGCGTGGCTGTCGCCGGATTCTGCAAGGGGAGAGAGGAAAGAGGTGGAAAAAAGTGATGCCAAATTAAAAAGCTGAATTACACAGGACTAAACAAAGATACTTTGATCCAGGGACTCAAACATTACTATGTGACTTGTGGACCACCGGCTAGGTGCCAGTGTGGCTCAGTCTGAAGTATGTCTGGCCCTTTTGTGACTTGTGTATTGGCAGTTGAGGGCGCTCTTTAGCTTGGCAACCTTGGCTAGCACCTGACACCTGCATGAAGAGCCTGCAGATGGTTGTGATAACACCTGTCATTATAAAGCGACTGTGCTTCAATTCCTACATGAGTCTGTGATAATATACAGCAGCCATGCCTCACTGCATGGCATGTATGCAACTGAAAAATTGTCAAGCGGAGCATTTCTGTGTTGCACTTAAAAAATTTCTTTGCCTTGCTGTTCCATAAAAAGTAAGCCCAGCTCTTCGTACCAGATCGGCTCCTTAAGTTATCAGAAGCCTTAACGCCTTCGTCCTTCAAGTAATCGCTCTTCTCATCATCGATGGAGGGTGCCCTGTCCTTCATCTCCACTTCTTCATGTGCGTTGATCAAATCCATCGCAATGTTATCCTTGGCATAGTTGTTAGCGGAGTCGATGGACCCCTTGCGCTTGTAGATGAAGTTGTTGATGTCGTGGCGGTCTTTGGTGTTGAAGCGTGTGAAGTAAGTAAGACGGTAGAGCTGGGGAAATGGAATATTTAGGGTTATATTTTGTAGGAAAAATATAATTTAAAAACAAAAAATTTAATTTAAGCAGAGTTTTTAGCCTTTAAAGGCTTTAAAGCATTTTAAAAACTGAACAATCTACAAAAAGACTTACTAAACCCCATGGATTTCAGGACAACCAATTACCAAACGCTTCCGACAATTTATTGGCTGGTGTTTACCGTGACCGTTTGACAATCCCTGTAGACTGGTCCCCTTCTCAACTCCACACATGTAGAGACTAACACCTTTTTTTTCTGAGCTTGTCATTATCAAAATTGTATGACCCATGTCAAAGGTCACCAGGACTACATTGCACTGGCTGTTTTCAGACTCTGTATCAAAGTCAAATATCAAGGCAGGGTTGTCCTCCCAGACGTCTATTATGATAAGGTCCACTTACGTATTTTGAGGGTACTTTTTCCGTCCCGTAGCTGACGCAAATGGCCACTACACATGTCAGAACAAAGAGTAGCAACGCAAAGTACATGTAGTGAAACAGGAGTTTCTGGACCACCAGCGGTCGCTTGTCCTCCTGACCGCAACCTGGGCTGGCGTAGACAAAGTCCAGGATCATGCGTGTGATGCCAACTGCAAGGCCTACCATCAGTGACCAAAATGCACCCTGAACAAAAATATTAAAGAAAAATTCAACTAGCCTCAATGCATGGATTCCATGGAAGCCAATCAAAGATAAAATTCACATTTTTACATTAAATTCCCTGTTGTGAATGTCATCGAGTGGGCATGATGAGACCCCGTCAAGCAATCCTTATTTGCCCCACAAGGGGGAGAGGTCAAATTTATCGAGCTTCCTAAGCAGAAAATACTCCAAGGCAGAATATACTGCTCAGCAAATTTTCTCTCCAATGAAATTTTGTCTAGTAACCAGTCGCAAGCAAAATAAATTGTGTTATATTTGTCCTGTAAATTTTTGTTGCTGGAGATAAAATACCTCCGTCATAAGCATACTTTTGTGTGCTGAGCAACGTACATTGTGTAATTAGCAGCTCCGTAAAAAATAGCGTCAGTACTAAGCTGCTTGGCACAGGAAATAGGTAAGCTTTTTGTTTTGCTTCAGCACATAAAATTATTAAGCAAATAATTTGGGCTCACAACAACTGTGTTAAATATAAAGGGCCCTGGTAGGCCGTATACTGGTGACTTTACCTGCTCATTAATGCGCTCCCACAGCACAGCCAGTATGAAGACGGCGGCGATGGGTGGAGCCAAGTAGGCTGAGATCTGCTGGATGTACTGGAACAGCTGGCCTTGTTGTGAGGATTGGACCACAGGCACCCAGAGAATAGAGACACCCACCAGGACCAACACAAACACTCTGAAATATCAAGAAAACATCCGTCAATTTTGTTTAACCCTGACTCCCTCAGCACTGCTACTTGCTGAATACTCCAAAATATTGTGCAGAGTCTTGCAAAGAGCTTTATACCAATGTAAAGCAGTAGTTGTTTGGTATATATACATATACCTTCAAAAACAACTTGCTTTGCCAAGTAGTACTTAGCACTTTTTGGTACTCATAAAGTATGTACTTGTATTGGTAATCGATTACAATTTTCTGTACTGATAATCGTACTTTTTCCAATAACAACATAATGATTCACATGAAGTATTGTACTGATTGTATTGTTATTGGTTATGGGTTGTACCTATACTTATTGGTTTTTGAGTTGAATTGTCCATATTCATACTCTTACTTGTTCTAAAAACCACATAAGTTAGTTAGTTTTGGCTCCAGCTGAGGATGGTACTAGCATGTGTGGTAGTATTACCTGGACTGGTATTCAGATACAATTTTCTGTATTGATGCTTGTCCTCATATAAAGCACAACGTAGGAAATGTAGCTGTAGTAGGAGTAGTTGTTGTTAAAGTAGTACTTGTGCTTGAACTGAAGAACGTTTCTCTACCCTTCTCATGCTCAACAAATTGTACTCAGTCAGCCGAAGAATTGCAGTACGTAACGGAAATATTCTTTAGTCTGCCTCATGACAGAGATTTCATCTCCAACACTAACCTGGATCAAACTGTTACTGAGAACCAAGTATTGAACCCAAAATTCACCAAAGAAGCCTTTTTTTTTTCTTACCGTCCAACAATCATGAGTTCTGTTTCCCACCGACGCCGTGTCTTTTTGTCCAGCGTCCGCATCTCCTGGTCGCTTGGGAAGCGGCGGAGTTTGCGCCAGATGTCCATGGTGAAGATGGTGCTGCCGCTGTTGAAGATGGAGGTCAGGGAGCTCATGAGGGCTGACAACATGACAGCCAGCATCAGGCCTCGAACTCCTGGGAAACATATGGACATCAATGAAGGAGGTTTAGAGCTCTGTGCATTAATGTTCGAGTGTCCAGTGCCGAAGTTTTCCCCAGACACCAGAGACCCTGCATGCAGGCTGGGTACGGGTTTAGCCCCCTCCTCTTTGCCATATTGGGGGAAACGAGGGGGAGTTTCCCTAGATTTTATATTAATAGTGAAAATTGAACTTATCTCAGAAATTTCAAAACTTTACCCAATATGCCCAATGTAATCTTTTTCTTTCCCTTTTGAAAGAATCCCCAAAAATGTTTTCCCCCCAGAAATTTCAAAGTTTGCAAAAAACCTGTGAACGTTGTTCACTCATCACGTTTTTAGTCACCACCCAAACTTTCAGTCTGGAACTGCATCTTCCTCAACTTCATCATTGACAGAAATGACAGGAACTTTGAGCTTACCTGTTGGTAAGATGTTCATGACGAGCAGTGGGTAGGCTAGATTGGAGCAGCCTGCTTCACTGTTGCATTCTGCCATGCATACAGCAGGGTCAGCACACCCAACAACATCTTATAAGCAAAAACGAGACACAGAATGAGATCAACATTTAAGTCTCCAGATTTTCTTCTGTTCAGGTTTCTCTCAAATACTTTTACAAGTGTTTTTGGAAAGAAAATAGTGGTGAAACTTTCAAAACAAGTGTTTGAGCTTCAGTAGTTCATACGTTCAAATGAGCGTATCCATCCAATCAATGTCTACAGACCTATAGAAATGGGTTTAAGATTTAGTCCAGTGTTCAAATTTCTGAAAGATATTGATTGGAGAATTGATTAAAGAATGTGCCATTTGTTGAGATTTCTGAAACGGGTTTTGAAAATTGGTTATTATTTAAATGTGTCCATCGACATGTACACTCTTAATATAATGTTTTGTTATGAACGATGCAACCGTTTCATTTGCAGTTAGTCTTTTCTATTGAAATAAATCTAGAGTCTTCCTAGCTAGGAGAAGAGAAGGGAGCCATCTATGCATGCTTACCAGCGTACAACACCCTACTGATCATGCCGGGCATGACAATGAAGAACATGGGGGAGATCTTTAGGATACCGGCCATCAGGGTACCGCCTTGGCCGTGGGAGAGGTTCTTAGCTGACAAGGCTCGTTGGACAATTACCTAGGATCGAAAAAAAAAAACTGACAACAGTAAGGCCGTGTCCTGAACAGGCTTCCAGAGCTACGGCTTCGTCTGTTGTCAGCATTTCTCCACATAGTTGGACAAGGACCTAGCCATAACTCTAGATGAGAAATTCGGATGCGGCTTAAGACACAAGAATATTCCGGAGTTAGCCGTAAGCTCAACGCTACCATTTCCTGCAAGTTTGGGTAGATTCACTGTACCATACCCTCAGATTAGCATTTTTTTCCCCCAACGTACCTGGTCCGTAGCCCAGTACCAAATGGATGCCACAGACTGCCCAAAGACAAAACCTGGCCAGGGCAGCTCAGGATCGGTGGGCTCCCTCATCATGCTGAAGGAATCGTTGGGGGGTTTGCCGCACTCGTTGGTGGGGTCTAGTATGGAGATGTTGGCCCAGGCAACGGGGGACATGTATTTCTCCTTTAGGCCCGTGTACCCGCCCACTTTTACAAAACCTGTGAAGAACAAAGGCAACATTAACTCATTGTTGAGGGTTTCAGTTGCGAGAAATTTAAGGGGTAGGGGCGCTACTGTGAAAAAAATCATGACATTTTGCAGCTTGGCGTGAAAACTTAAAAGGGGTACATGGACGTTTGTTGTTTTCTAATTTTGGGGAGGGGTGTGGAGGGGGAGGGGTTGCTGGATCCTATTTTTCAGGAATTTGTTTTTCTCTGTCTAGAAGGGACTTTCTTCAAAAATTTTTTTTCTAAAACTTGGTTTGGTTTATTTAACAGTTCTCTTCATATTACCTGGGTTCCACATATCCATGAACGGAAATTTGTATTGACAAATGGGGGATGATGATTGGAAAATATATTTTCTGTACTTTGGATATTGAATTCATAACAGCAACTGTTATGACTGTATAATTATTCACATGACCAGAAAAGTATGTAACAAAAACCAAAAACAAAACTTAAACATCTGCACCAAGCAGTTCTTATAAGGGATTTGTCACATCAGATTTATGTAAACAATGTAGTAACCCTCATTGTGTTTTGCTAGGAAACTAGTTACATTTTATGAAATGTTGTAACACATACTTACACTTCCCCTAACCTGAATTTTATTGAGTCATAAACTAGCCAATGTATAAAAATTGCGCCCAAGATGTATTTGTTTTGACATGGGTGGGGTATCAAAAGGGCATGTGATGCACTAATCTGTTTGCTGTGTACATCATTGACAAACTGAAGGTCATGACAATTTGATATTTGGCAAGAGCCACTTATAAAAGACAAAAGTCTAAAGTCCAATTTTTGTTATCTTCCTTTTTTTTTGTGTACCCAGATGCAGTCTGCATGCTGTTGGTTCATGATAGATTAGACAAACACTCACACAAATTGAGAATCTGCGACACAGTATTTCATGAATAAAGTTTGCCTTTTCTGACTTTTTTCAACTATTTTAACATGCACTTGAATGCTGAACCCATCCCTCCACACCCCCCCCCTTTAGTCTGGTACCCTGGAACCTGTGTTGAGACCCAGGTTCACCAATGTACACAGGTCTCAGTGGTCTCGAGAACATTGATATGTTGACCACGATTATTTTTATGTACTTACTCATTACACACAGCACTCCAGCACCAATCAACATGATAATAGCTTGTAGAGTGTCGGTGAATATAACAGCAGCCAGACCACCTGTACAAGGAACACAATTATGGAAAGTTAGAATTTTGTTTAGAAAGATATTTTTTCCCCTTATGTTTGATTTTTTCGACCGACTTCAGAAAGCACAGTTTAGTTTTATTTTTGAAAAATTACTGCACTGTTTTGCCCAAAATATTTGTTTTCATTACTTTTTATTGTCTTTTGGAAGAAAAAAATTTGTGATACCACTTTTTTTTCCAATTCACATCAGCATGTCATTAGTTTTAGTCAATCAACAAAATCCCATCTGACAACGGCATAAATCAATTAATGAGCCAATAGAATTCGCATACCAGATGCAAGATTCCATCAGATGACCAAGCATGTGTGTAACCTTGTCCTTGTCATTTTGTGTTTCAGTGCCAACTGAAACTTGACATAATTTATTTTTAACGTTAAAAAAAGAAAAAAATCAAATCCTACCTGTAACAGTGTATAAAGCTGTAATTGCCAGAAGAGAAACAATTGCTACATATAAATTCCAATCCAGTGCCTGCTCAATAAACAGTGCTCCGGAGTACAGATCCACCTGCCAAAAGAAAATTACAAAAATAAAAATGAAAAAGAAAAAGAAAAATGCCGAATGTTGAAAAAAATGTAGGAAGGAGACAATATTCCCAAAGGAGGAAAGGTTGACAAGGTCCCACCTCCAGAAAAATCGGAGTCGGCAAAAGATTTTTTCCTGAAATTTCAAAGCACATTGCCAATTTAACAGGTTTATCATTATTAAACACACAAATATTTGCTTAACAAAAACTATACAAGCTAATCCATATAGTTGAGCAATGCATTATGCATGTGATCAGTTCTCAGTTAATTTTTGCTGAACATGTAAATTTGTACGTGTTCTACATTACCCCCGAGGACCGACACACAAAGGGAGAACAACAGATCCTTTCAGTCCTTGGGAGTTGGGTCTTTTGTTGGAAACGGCCCTAGTCTGTAGTAAGTTTGTGTGCTTAGTCTATGGGAGAGTGTTATATTACAGGGACAAAGGGAAACACAAAGCATTGTCCTCGAGAGTTCAGTAAAACAAGAGTGTCTGCTTTAGCTGTGTTTTCTATTATTAAAGTTGTCCTGACTCACCGATATTTTAGTGAAAATGTACAGCGCCAGCGAAAGCAGGGCTACGTACATCTGGATGCGTTTCCCGCCGAATCGTTTCTGGAGGTAGTCTGGCATGGTGAAGACGCCTCCTGCTAAGTAGACAGGCAGAAACACCCATCCTAGCAGCTGAACTATGATCAGTGCCTGCCGAGAAATAGATGGTGTAACTCCACCTCAATTACCCTTCAAAATCCTTTCAAATAACCTGCAGCTGCAGGTTTGGAGGAATTTGCAGGCTTGAGGAAAGTAGAGTGGAGCTACTGTTTTTACATGTACGTGGGGTTTAATTCTTCCTGAAGTCACACATACACCTTTCAAAATCTTTTAAAATCACCACAACATTTGGAAGATTTTACAGGGTATTTTTTATGCATGTACGAGGCTCTGTTCCTTGAAAGTACTGCACATCACCTCGAACTCTCCCAAATTCTTCAAAAAACCTCCAGAAGTATTTTCTGGGTGGGATTCAAAAGGATTGAAGAAGAAGATTGAGCTTAGCTTAGGTAACTACTAATGCATACCATTTGCAAAAATTCAAAAATGAAACTGCCAAAATATTATACAATATCCTACTTGAAGTAAATAATAGGACCACGTATCCTATGAAATCATCGCGTTTTATAGTGTGCTGTCCTTTGAGTAATTACCATCATTTCCTCAAAATGGTTGGGACCACACCATCGCGAGACAAGACGGCTTGTTTTTCATTGAATACTGCCCCAAAATGGGATCATACCACAGGAGGGTGCAAGTCCGATGTGTTGATGAACATTTTGGTAAGGAAGGCTTTCAACGAATCCTTGTTCGGCGTCGAGAAAAAATGATGAAGCATTTTCGCAGTCTGTGACATTAATATGATATCTACTGGCCTGAAATGTCGACAGGCTCAATGTCTCATTGAAAAGTGAATAACTTTATAGTGCTTTATAGGAAAATAGCAATTTAAAAACAAAACTTTTTTGGGGGGGGGTTTGAAACTCAAAAATAGCGTTGGGAGAGCATGCAACTTTAACCATTTGAATCGAAGTTGAAGAAATACATGTACATCAAATAAACATTGTTTACATTGAGTTCAAATGCTGCCACTGCTATGCCTGATGCTGCCCCTGATCCAGCTAATCCAATGAAATGCTCGCTGCCGATGTTACTGGCAAACAAGGAGGCTCCAACCTTATATAGAAATTAAAATATCCGATAATTATGTCATGCAAAAATAAAGATCAAAGATAAATGAAATGCACTCAATATCGTAGGTGGTTTTTTGTGGGCCAAAATATTTTTGTCATCCCTGAAACCACTACTATGCCTCCCAGGCCCACCCCCTTAGAAAACAATAATGGAAATTTGTTACAGGTTGGCCAAGTTTACGCCGGAATGTTACAGACATTTCATAATGTTAATCTCAACACAAATATTAGGATCAGAGGTCCTACACAAATTAACATTTTCTCAAAGATTTATATTCCCTACTGCCTCAAGAAAAAATGGAATGGAACTGCGCAAGTCATGAAATCGTCCAAAACACAAGCAATTTAACATGCACAGGACGTGTATAATAGTCTTTTGTTAACTTTAGGTGTGCAACTGATTCACGTTCGTCATAATTGACGTGTGTCACTTTTTTTTGTAAACTGGTGTTAAACTTACTGGGAACCATAGCATAGCACCGCCAGCAAGGAAGTATCCCTCAGCACTGCCACGGTTGGACCTGAACATGGACTGTATATGGGGGAAATCGGGTATTGGCAGATTTGAAGAAAGGTGGTAGAAAAGATTCATCGACTTTTGTTAGATAAATGTTCAGTCTACTTTCGCCCCTTTTGAGAGGCATAGACCACAGGACCAGTCGAAACAATACGCGCCGGTCTCCAATTAAACTTTAGGCCAATCAGATTACATTATCAAGTCTTGACAGGTGCACCGCAAATACCGCCCTCAGTTGTCCTCATCAAACTACTCATAATAAATAGACTGTATTATCATCCTTTGGTGAGAAAGTAGAATTATTATGACCTGCAAATCATTGTAACTTGGGGTTACTTGGTAAGTGGTAGACTATGCTAAGCTAATATTTGGGTTTTTCCCTCTCTTCAGCTCACCGCATTTATTGCTCTGGGTAACGATGAGATGATAATGCTGATACAATTCTGAGCAAACATTTACCCAAAGTTGCAAACGCGATCCGAGTAGACAGGCACTCATGTTTTCAAAGTCACACTTTTGGATGCAAAATTGCCAAACCGTGAAACCGGAAATAATCATACCATGAACTAAAGTAATTATGTTGGTGATGTGCTTATGCCTTCCAACAAGTATATTTTGTTTGCCACCCCACACCAGCCTGACGGATATATTTTACCCCCAGCTCATGATACATAGCCTTGCCTGGATTTACAACTGTCGCTCGCCATCATTTGAGAATTGAGCTGTACAACCATCGCGTTAAACTCAAAATGTTTGGTTCTTCAACAGCGGGACGACCAAGGGGCTAGTGCCGCCAGGCCCACTGCCACGCTGTGCCGGCCGGCCCGGTGTGCGGAGCTGCCGCTACAGTATCGCAAATCTAGGAGCAAAGTTCATCACCGATAACTCTGACAACAAAAATATATAACACCGCATGCTCTGAGTTTCGTTAGTTTTGTTCAGCTAAATGTGCTTAAAAAGCAACTCACCCCAAGTCCAACCAACAGAACGAAGAGGAAGTAAAGTCCAATCACAACAAAGTCCCATGTTTGCAGCTCCTGAGACGTCTCAACCGCCATGTTTGGTGGAAAAATGCCCGGCCCCTGAGGGTGAATCGCTCGCGATATAGCCCGTAAAAAAATATATACTGTAAATATTCCTGACGCGGCTTATCTAGGTTCTGTGTCCAAGAACACACAATAATAATTTGGGATCAATGTAGGCTATTTGTTTAATTTCCTGATAATATAAAGAGGTGTGTGCTCGAACCATACTGGTGGAATTTGTAAGTATGGAAACAGTAAAGTTTGTTCAAGATAAAAACCATATATTTAAACGCACGCGTTGTTGACCGATATTCCCTTACCTTCAGGAAATGTTTCTTTCCAAATCACGCGCCCTATATCGTGGCCTAAATTAGATTCCATTACAGAGGGAAGGAGCACTTGAAGAAAAGTTGTTTTCATGGTTTTAATCAGTACTTTTTTCCTGTTCTTTTGAGGGAGCACTTTGGTTTTATACGCGATAACCTTTAAGACAGAAACTTACAGTCCTGACCGACCCCCCCCCCCCCCCAAGTTATGCGTGCAATTTGATTAATATATTTTGATAATGGATTTGAAAAAAAAATATTGAGTAAAGGATTTGATTTCTTCAGCAGTCAAATTTCAAGTGTTCAGGTTTAATTGAACAAAATTAAATTGGGATTACGGGCGGGTATCGGCCTAGTCATTATGGGAGTAATTCCTGATTGATTCATTCGGAGGAAAATTGTTTGTGACATACCCTTACGCATTCTAAAGGAATACAAACATTGTAAATGGTGAAACATAGTGAGTAATCGTGTGGCGGCCGAACGGTAAAGTTAATCGTAGGCCGCAGTTCGCGCGCTGCATGCAGTGCAGTAGTTTCAAAGGGCCGCAAAAAGGGACCGCATGAGGGCGTATTTTTCAAGATGGCAGCGTTCATGGAAAGACTCGCGAGGAACTTCTTGGCATTAAAAGTTCCCAATTTTTCACTGAACAGCAATTTGAAGACCGTGCAGTGTGTGAAAAATTTTCGTGAGTATATTCTTCGCATTGTTTGTCAGATGGGAAAGAATGTAGTATCCTGACGCCACTTCTTTTGTTGTGCATGTTGTGTACAAAGTCATTCATGGAGAGTTGAGTGCATTTTCAATTCTAGCTCTACTGAATGGAGCGTTGAATTACGGGTACCCCTCCATACCAACGCTCCACCGATTCGCCATACTTTGGTAGCACCATCACAGTAGCATAGTCACAAACCCACGCGAGGACAAAAAGACCCCAAAAAACCGGTAAAGAGATTACAAATGAGAGAGACAGTTATCCTGGATTTAGCCCCACTAGTGTGGCCGTCGGTATGCTGCGCTGAACCAAAGGCCACACACCGTGGTACCGCGCGCTTCGCGCTACTGAGGACGAAGTTTCATAAAATCTGCGGTCCGTTTCTTACATTCTCAGTTTCTTACTATGGTTGTATTCTATGATGTCTCACCTATCACTTCTGGGATGCTTAGGTCTCTAATGATGTTCCATTTTCCGAGATATTCTTCAATCTTTCTGGAGCCCATATGCACTCGTGAAACGTCTGGTGATGGCAGCCATTTTGAATGGGACAAGAGATGACCTCAAGCTGTGACGTCGCGTTTATGCAAATTGCTTGTCGAGCGCGCGAGGGCGCGAGCTGCAAATGCGACGGCTGTTTCCTGTGCCGTAGATCCTGAGGGGAGATCGGTGCACGTGGCCCGCTGACGATAAATGCATGGTACAGGAAACAGCCGTCGCATTTGCAACTCGCGCCCTCGCGCGCTCGACAAGCAATTTGCATAAACGCGACGTCACAGCTTGAGGTCATCTCTTGTCACATTCAAAATGGCTGCCATCACCAGACGTTTCACGAGTTCATATGGGCTCCAGAAAGATTGAAGAATATCTCGGAAAATGGAACATCATTACATCTAAGCATCCAGAAGTGATAGGTGAGACATCATACAATACAACCATAAGAAAATAAGAAACTGAGAATGTAAGAAACGGACCGCAGATTTTATGAAAACGTCCTCAGTAGTGCGCGCACCACGGTGTGTGGCCTTTGGTTCAGCCCAGCATACCGACGGCCACACTAGTGGGGCTATCCTGGATTGATCTATACATTCTTGACATTCCATGAGACCCCTTATATTGTTCCCAAACAGCGAACATTTTGGAAAAAAACAGCAAAATAGTCTGAAAACTTACAGTTCAATGTGTTTGCATGGAGGCTCAGTTCTTGAATTAGCTTGTCAATGAGGGCATCTGACGTGACGTCACCGTCGTTGCTCGATCGATCGCGAAGAAAAACAAGTCGCGCTTTATCAACGACTGTTTCGTGTAATAATGCGTGCTCCGATCCGCGCCGCGCCGTACGACAGTATGGGCTTTGAACACACCCAAGGAGCACGTATCATTACACAAAACAGTCGTTGATAAAGCGCGACTTGTTTTTCTTCGCGATCGAGCAACGACGGTGACGTCACGTCAGACGCCCTCATTGACAAGCTAATTCAAGAACTGAGCCTCCATGCAAACACATTGAACTGTAAGTTATCAGACTATTTTGCTGTTTTTTTCCAAAATGTTCGCTGTTTGGGAACAATATAAGGGGTCTCATGGAATGTCAAGAATGTATAGATCAATCCAGGTAACTGTCTCTCTCATATTTGTAATCTCTTTACCGTTTTTTGGGGGTCTTTTTGTCCTCGCGTGGGTTTGTGACTATGCTACTGTGATGGTGCTACCAAAGTATGGCGAATCGGTGGAGCGTTGGTATGGAGGGGTACCCGTAATTCAACGCTCCACTCAGTAGAGCTATTTCAATTCGAAGAAGATAGTGGATATATTGCCGGCGGCAATCCCTATCAACAGAGGGCGCTGTACTCTCTAAGGTAGGGCTGAATTATAAGATATATTAAATTACCACCAACGGTTGTGTAGCACCTGTGACCGTGACCTAGTGGATAAGCAACAGATCTCAAAAACCTTAAAAATGTCGCCGGTGGGGATCGGGATCGAACCCGGGTCTTCCTGCTCATGAGATCCGTTGCTACACCAAGGGTGCTTCACAACCGTTGGTGGTAATTAATATATCTTATAATCTTAGAGAGTACAGCGACCTCTGTTGATATGGATTACCGCCGGCAAACCTTTAGTAAACGACAGTATTCTCTAACAAAATTGGCAATTGCTTTTACTCTTTTTGTGTTTTGCTGATACAATTTTTTTCCAGAGGAGCTGTAACCAATTCTACGATTACCTTAGAAACAAATAAAAAGACAGTAGGCCTATAATCATGATAATTAATATATTGACAATATAATTTGCAAAATATAATTATTGCAAATGTAGCTCTACTGAGTGGAGCGTTGAATTACGGGTACCCCTCCATACAAACGCTCCACCGATTTGCCATACTTTGGTAGCACTTACACGGTCGTCATGACGGTATGCATTTTGTGCATGCCCTCGCGAGGACAAGGCCCAAAAAAACTGATAAAGAAAATACAAATGAGGAAGACAGTAACCCTGGATAGATCCACACATTCATGACATTCCATAAGACCCCTCAAATTGTTTCAAACAACCGGTAATTTTGAAAAAAGAACAAAATAGTCTGAACTTACCGCTCACAATTAAATGTGTCTGCCGAGTTGCACAGTCTATTTCACTGACATGACTTATGCATAATTCATTGCGCGAGTGTGTGACGTCACTATTGAAGAAAAACAAATTGCGCTTACTCAATAGCTGTTTCATGTAGTCATATGTGCCCCGCGCCGTCTGACTGTGGGTTTTTGGTGTGGGGCACATATCAGTACATGAAACAGTCATTGATTAAGTGCGACTTGTTTTTCTTCAATAGTGACGTCACACACGCGCGCAATGAATTATGCATAAGTCATGTCAGTGAAATAGACTGTGCAACTCGGCAGACACATTTAATTGTGAGCGGTAAGTTCAGACTATTTTGTTCTTTTTTCAAAATTACCGGTTGTTTGAAACAATTTGAGGGGTCGTATGGAATGTCATGAATGTGTGGATCTATCCAGGGTTACTGTCTTCCTCATTTGTATTTTCTTTATCAGTTTTTTTGGGCCTTGTCCTCGCGAGGGCATGCACAAAATGCATACCGTCATGACGACCGTGTAAGTGCTACCAAAGTATGGCAAATCGGTGGAGCGTTTGTATGGAGGGGTACCCGTAATTCAACGCTCCACTCAGTAGAGCTATTGCAAATGTAGGCCTATGGATGAAGTTAAAAAAAAAACAGTTGGAAAAAAAGGAAGCAGGCAGGGATGAGAAACTATTTTATTCTTTTAACTTGGCCTAACAGGACAGAGTGAATGGAAGACCTCCTCTAAGATACTGTCGGAAAGGAGGACAGGGGGAGGGAATGGCAAGTGACTGAATGTCATGAAGGGAGGATGATTTATAATCCCTTCTGGTCCCTTTATCCATGGCAGAGCCCAAACTCCACACCCATATGGCCAATGCCTAATTTGCTCCCTCCACATGTAAGGAATGTAAGAATTGGAAAGTCGAGGAAAACTAAAATCCAAGAACTTCAACTAATTGAATTGAATTTCTCCAAATTTTACAGACACGTTGAAGAATTGTAACTCAGTTCATCTTCTTCCAAAGCAACTTTTGTGTGTACGGTGTGCTGGGAACTCAACAAGGTACTATTGCACAGGAAATTATCCCAATAATGTTCTAAAAACTCCATTCATTGTGATTTTTCGGCTTTTTATAGACACTATTCGATGGTTCCATAGTTGAAACAATGAAATCTATTTAATAGTCAAACTATCTTTTTTTTTTCTTTTTTTTTTAAATTAAGCTATGATTTGTGAAATTGAAAGTAAGCCAGATTAAACATTAACCCTAGCCCCTGGGTGCATTTGATAGATTATGGAGAATATAAATGTAACTGGATTGATCATGATTAGGAATGATTAATTAGATTTCTTTCATTTGCAGGTTCCTTAGATGTAAATCCTCAGCATCCAATACATCTGTAGTTGAACATGAAATGCCAACAGGTATATGTGCTTTCAGTTCGATAATCAGAAGTGAAGAAAATTGATTTGTCGCTTCTGTTTTATTTGTTAATTGATGGCTAACATTATGGCTTCTTCATCATAAAGCACTATATTTTTTTTAAATTATATGCAAGCTAACCCTTTAACATTACATGTACAGAGCCTAATGTTTATTTTACCAACAAAAGTATCGGCATACTTCTTTTCATCTAGTCACAGTTTTTTCTTTCTTTTTTAAATTGACCCCATGCCCCTTTGTATTCCTGATAGGAACCTTTCCGATTCTAACAAGATTTGAACTAAAAAAGAGCATCAAGCCCAACTAAAGTATCCAGCTGTAATATACATGTATCCTTCCCAAGACCTAGGAAATTCTCTCAAATCTCCTTGTGGCTTGTCAAGGCTTCGTGTTAGAGTGTCAGAGTAAATAAGTTCTTATTTGTGGTCTTGCAGATGTCGTCCAGTCAGTGGAAGCGGAGATTCAGTCAGGCCTTAGTCGTCTCTTTGCAGTTGTGTTCATCGCTGGCCAACAGTTCAAGGTGACAACAAACGACCTCATTCAGCTACAGCAGCACATACCTGCCGATGTTGGCGAGAGAATATGCCTGCAAAAGGTGGGGGTTTCAACAGCACATTTTAAAAGAAATTCAGTGCATCTTTTGCTCATTTTGTTTCAGTTTATTTTCAGGGTCACTTTTTTTTCACAGCCTCTTGCCATCAATTTGTACTCAAGATTGACCAAGCCTATTAACCTAAGATATTATAGATTATGTTTTTATATGGTGAAATTTGCTATTTCATCGTATCGTTTCTAATTCTTCAATCTTCACCTCATAAGGTTTAACAATTTCTAAAAGTTTGGTAATTTGCAGTCATTTCATGTTATAATCTTGGTTTATATGCGAGTCTAAAGACTCTACAGCAAAGGGACGCGAAATCAATTGTAGATGAACTATTTCGCATGAAATCATTTTTGTTCTGTTTTGGGTTGTGTTCAGGTATTGTTAGTAGGTGGGGACAACTTCACCCTTTTGGGAAGGCCACTTTTAAGGTAAGATTTCTCACTTGTGAAATGTTTCAAACGCTTGAAACAGTTTGAATACAAGCCATTCTATGCACGTGCCTGTAATCTTCCCAATTTCACCTGTTGAGGGCGCTCTTGTAATACATACATCCCGAGGACTGCAACACAAAGAGAGAACAACAGATTCGTTGTAGTCCTCGAACGTCCCTCTTTTGTTGAAAGCAGCTTTGAACGTAAGTGTGTGTGCTTACTCTGTGGGGTAGTGTTATATTTCAGGAACAAAGGAAAAGACAATTACTTGTCCTCGGATGTAATGTTAAATACCACTGTGTGCACTTGTAGATGTATTGATACCCTTATGCATTTGATGAGCACATTGCTGTGAATGTAAATGATTTTTGTATCCCCATCCAGTCCAGAGAAAGTGAGAGTTGAAGCCACGGTGATTGAGAAGACAAATAGCCAGAAGATCATAGTCTTTAAGATGAGGAAGCGAACGCGATTCCGCAAATACCATGGTGAGTCAACTTTAGTTGTGATTTTTATGGGTGATAGCTCTCAGAACCAAGTTTAATTTTTTGGCATTCATGGTATCAATTATTGATTGCTTTTGTTTTGCTCCACTAGTGCCTTCTAACAATAACGTGAACATATGTAGAAAACCCAACATTAACCCTTTAATAGGCTTCATTTTGTCTGGACATTATGGGGGGGGGGCAGGCAGCCTCACACTCCCAGCAAATGTTTAAATGGTTCCACAAGCAGATATATTTTTACCTTTGTTGAAGTTCTGTTGCTGTGTGATGATGCAAGCATTATAAATTCTTTCATGTTCATCACTTTTGCTAACTTTCTGTGGCAAGTTTTTACGAAACCTACACATCTATAGACCTGATTGCCAGTGCTATTTATAAGTGAACTATCCTTTTCATTTCCTTTTCAAAAATTTAACAGAAAAGTACGTCAATTTGTCGGTGCTGAGAATCAACAGTATCGAAGTGGCACCCAAAGTGTCATAGCACCTGGGGAGTAAGGACTACAAGCAGCAAGCTTCATTCAGTTTTGGCAGGACAGCATGGATTTTTCAGCAGAGTTAATCTTGGGGGAACAGAGCTTGTTCCTTTGACGATTTGTGATGAAAAGCCGTATTCTCTCTGAGTGATCTCCGTTTGCTTTTTCTCAGGTTTGCAGCATTGCTAGTGTTGCTAGCATTGTGACTTTGGGCATGATCCCTGGCTACATGGCATATACAAGTTTTGTATATGGCTTCTGACTAGCGCCCCTTGAACCACTAACATAAGGTTGGATAGCTCAGTTGGTAGAACACCGGTACTGTTTTCCAGTGGTTGCAGGTTCAAACCCTACTTCAGTCAATATCTTTGTCCAATTTTATGATTAAAGGAGTTGAGGTTTACTTTCAAGGGTTGGCTGGTTGTGGAGGCGATTCTTGGGAGAACTTGCGCCTTGCCTTTTATCTAGCCCAAAAAATCATGGTAGATCATTTTCAAATTTTTACTGTTCTGTTTCCCCAAAGATGGACTATCATTGTCGTGTCTCAATCCACTTTTTTTCTGCACGCAACCTTGTTTCTTTGTTGGGCACACTGACAGCATTTGAAAAGTTTGTGTTGCTGCACTATACCGTTAATATGAAAAGTGTAAATAAAATGTAAAAGCCCAAGAAATTGCATTCTTTTGTTTTGTAATTGTCTTTGGTATACATTGTACTCTGTCTCAACAGTTCATCATTCCACACTTCAATTAACAAAAAGATATTTTGTTTACAGCAAAATGACTGCACTCAGTTCTTTTTTGATAATATTAAGATTGTTTAAAAGTTTAACACAAAGTTTAATTAGAAAAAATATAGGGAAAGAATGTTGCATGCTGACGCCACTTTTTTCACCTTATATTATCGCAATGAAGGTCAGTCACCACAAAAATGTGGAAAAGACATGAATCTGGGACAGAGAAACATTTCCAATTTTGTTAGAAAACACTTAAAAAATGCATGCAACTCTCCATAGTCTTTGTACATAACCAAAGAAGTGGCGTCTGGATTCTACATTCTTTCCAAATATAGTGTACAGTGCTTCAAGGCATTCATTTGAATTTGCATGTGATGGCATTTTATCAGCAATTTAACATTTGGCAGAACAAGTGTAGTAGTAAGTGCATTCCAAGTGCATATGGCAAGCACATCCATTGTGCCTATGCAGTCAGTTTTGATAAAAAGTGACTACTTTGACCCTCTTATGCACCTAGTAATTATTCAGCAAGAGTGTCCTCAAACAGCTGTTTAAGTATTTCAGTGTCACAACGGATCACCACCTCGACCGTTGGCCCCAAGGGAAGGCCCTCTGTGTTCTTGATTCTCTGGACCATCTGACCCCTGGTCACATGACCATGTAGCTCCACCATGATTGGGCAGGTGACAGCCTCCAGGACCATCTCTGGCCGGATGGCCACGGCCATCGCTAAGGCGTCGCACACTTTGAACAGCGCCCTCCGGCTCTGCTCGAAGGCCACGAACGAGCCATGCAGGATGGCACTCACGAATTTGCCCTTGGCAGTCGGGGTACCAGACCATTTGTCAAACCAATCCTGTCATGTCAAAGCAAAAACAAAAATCACCAAATTGCGGGCCAAGTTTGACTTTCTGGAATAGCTTAGGGTAGGGTTTTATTTAAATGTCGGCATTGTCTCAACTTCAGAATCATTATTAGGGTTCCTATAGTCATAGAAAATACTTGAAACTCTGGAAATTTAAGCTATCATGAAATGTCGTCGAATTTTGTAGTTTACAAGGAGTCGTGGAAAGTTTATATTCCAAGGCAATAAGTCATTGAAAAATCATTGAAAAATCCTGCACATCCCATACTTAATGTGTAATATTAAGCTATCATTTGGTGTATATATGCAGTTTCTGTAGTTGTGGCGTTCAGAGCTTTCCAGTACCATGGCAGTGATAGGATGCCTTATACGTTTTTGGTGACATTTGCACTAGTTCAACATGAAAAAGTAGAAGGATCGGATGGCTATGATGGGAGGTACTAGGCGGAGGCCATCTTGACGGTAATGCACACTGCATAGACCTTTATTTTCAGTGAGATGACGGGGCCAGTGTCTTGTAAATAGGTTCCTATTTAGGAATTGGTGGAAAGCCCTGATTTCGTCCTGGAAAAGTCAGGAAATTTCATATCAAGATTTATGTGGGAAGCCTGCATCTAGGATCCTTAAATATCCGCATATGTCACAAATCTGTTGGCTTGTTTTTGTAAGTTGTACTAACCCAAGGTAGTCCATTGTTTATGCAGGTCTCCCATCCTATGACTACTGTAGGACACTGAACCTCACTTGTCACAATGTGAGCTGCTTCAGGATCCGTGTAGAAATTGAACTCGGCCGCATCGGTCTCGCTCCCAGTACCTTAATCCAGACAGAAAACAAAAATGCAAATGGAAATGATTACATTCAATATATTTGTGATGAGCCGTTTGTTGACCCCGGTCAGATTTGAAAAGAACACAATCTCAGCATTACTGCTTGAAAACCGCATTTTTAGTTCAAAAATTATGGAAGTCGGAACACCAAGAGAACTGATGTGATGTAGTGGCCCTATCTTGGCCTGCATCTCCAAATGAAAATTCCCGACAAATGACTCATGTAGCTCGATCGCATCACATTTATTTTAAGAGATAAAAGATAGAGGCTTGATGTTTCTATCCTCGAGAAATATCCTGCTAGGCCCCCTACTGCCCTCTACATTGTATGATTGAAATATTAAGAAAATATGAAAGCGGGCCAGTATCACGGTACACAGAAACAATTGGAGTCTACAGTCACACCCAAATATTCTTAAGCCATGTTGGCTCTTTAATGGGGCAAATATGTTTTGTTTGTCCCCACTGCCAAATGGAGGGGGGCACGTGCTACCCAGCTGAGGTCAGTGCCCCCCCTCCCTCCCCCCCAATTTAAAATCTTGAATTGCACTAAACCAATAAGCACCCCCTTGAAATTTTGGTGCAACCCCAGATGCCCCCTGTTTAACCCTAGTTTTGCCAGTTGCCACTGGTTGGGATGAGTGAAATATGTCTGTGATTTGACTTGGGACTGGATGGCTTGTGATGCACTTGTATCGACTTAAGATGGACTTGAATACAAGACTGGAATTACCCTCTGTGTTGCCGCCCATGATTACCAGCTTCTTCAGTCTACCGGTGAACTCCGGATCCATCCGTTGGGCCAGGGCTAGATTGGTCAGCGGTCCGATGGCCAGCATGGTCACCTGACCGGGACGCTCCTTGGTCAGACGCAGCATGGCGTGGACGGCGTGTTCTGATTGGACGAGGTCAAGACTGGGCGGGTCTGGGTCGACCACGCCCCCTAGCCCATCGGAGCCATGCACATCATGTGCAGTTGTGTAGCTCAGGTCTAGAAGGGATTTGTCTGCACCTCTGTATACAGGAATCTTGGAAGACAGATTGTGAAAATATCACTAACATTTTGGCAAAAAGGTTTAAAAAAAAAGTGGTGAGAACAAAAGTGATGTCTGGATACTGCATTCTCTATTTTTTCATATTAATTATAAAATGTATGTACATGTATACCTATTGGAACATGACCAATGAGCCTTAATTAGTTTGTTAGAGCATGTGACTTGAGAATGGATGACTTTATGAACTTGAGATTGACTTGTGATTAATTTGTGATGAACAAATTAACTTACTTAATTACTAATGTGGGGTCACTACTCGACAAGCTTTGCTTTTTAGAGACCCCCAACCACATTATTATGATCTTATGATTTTCTTGGCATATTGTTCTGTATTGTTATGTGGTAAATAAAGTAAGATTGATTGATTGATTGATTGAACTTGCGATTGACTTGTGATTGACTTGTGATTGACTTGTGATTGACTTGTGATTGACTCGTGATTGACTTGTGATTGACTTGTGATTGGCTTGTGATTGGCTTGTGATTGACTTGCGATTGACTTGTGATTGACTTGTAATTGACTTGTGATTAACTTGTGATTGTCTTGTGATTAACTTGTGATTCAACTTGCGCTTGACTTGTGATTCAATGTGTGCCTGATTGATTGACATAAGAGTACAATTCTGGGATCTGATCAAGACAATAACTCAGACTCACGTCTGTCCTGTTGCAAACTCTCAGCACCCTGAGTGCATTATGGAGCACATTATTCAGCGGTGTGTTCCCAGTCACACACGTGATGGCCAGTAGGTCTATGCTGGGCTGAGATAGTGCCATCATGATAGCCACAGCATCGTCCGTTCCCGGGTCACAGTCGATAATCATCTGAAGTGTCTCCGCCATTTGGTCAAAATTCTATAGGCCTATAGAATTGAATTTAAAAAAAGAATTATGGCCGAGTATTAACTTTTGTCCCTGTGGTTGCGAGCAGTATAATTTACCCAATCTTACAGAAAATTTGTGTAAGTTCGTTTTTATTTAAATTACATGCGTAAAAAAGACTTAAAAGGAACTTTTTAAGTACTGTGAAATAAACTGTTATTTATATCGGCACCTATATATTTAGATATTCCCAAAACATAAAATTGCCTTTTTGTCCTAAACTTTACTTTTACCCGTGCTCCCCCCCCCCCCCCCCCCCTTGCACGGCGGGCACTACCTAATCGAGTGCGCACAAAACATTGTAATTTGTTGAATGTAATATCCACCAATTTCAATTTGTGAAAAAAGGGGAAAGATATGAAACATGATCAACTCCAGCTTAACAAGCTCATCGGGAATTCCTGATGAGCTTGTTAAGCTGGAGTTACTCAAGCTAAAACACGATATACTCCTTACCTGCTTACTATCACTATGTTGCATACACCTGTCGTCCGCAGGTACGGTTAAAAACACCCACCTGTCATAGTGTAAAAGCGCCCTCTATCGATTTAACATCCTAAAAATGCATTAATTTTAAATGTTCGCCAAAATTTGGTGGAAATATCAAGAATAAAGATGGGTGAAAAAAAGTATAAAATGACATAAAATTTGAAAGATTTTAAAACTCATAAGAAACTGAACAACTTGATAAACTTCATACAATTATACTGTTTTATTTTCACACCTGAAACATTATTTCTCCCATAGTTCAGTACCGGAAAATGAGCTGCATTCTGCAAGTAAATTAAAAACTCTTTCCTTAGAAAAGTTGTGTATACAGATGGCTATCAAAACGACTTTTATTTTGACTAATGGCAGTTGAAATTTGAAGTACCATACTAGAAAAGATTCTTTTTAAAGTACAAAGACTTAAAACCGTGTTATGACCCGTTTCACTTCACAGAATCCAGGACAAAATCATTTAGTCAAACACTGTGTACATGTATGTTAAAAAGTTCTGCTGGCTGACCCGTCATTCTCTTTTTGTTGTGATGCTCAAACTATTGTCAACATAACTTCAAATTTAGTATATTTTCCTTTCTGTTTTGTCCATATTAAGGTTAAAAATTATTTAAAACTGTACAGTAATCATACAGAGACCTAGAATAATATTTAAACATTTTAATAAATCCACAGGCTCGAAGTTTGATTGAGAATCATATCGTATCATGATATACACATCATTTAAGAATTCTCACAGGGCAGAACACATTTTAATTTGAGAACTTGTTTTAATTTGAGACAAAACCGAATAATTAAAGCTTTTAAATATTAGTATTCCCAAAAGTATTTTCAGTACCTTCAACAATTCCTCTTACATTCTAATTCTTTTAAAAGATGAGATTATTATAAAATAAAATTCTTTCAAGAAACAATGTAAAAGAGAAAAAGGAGAAAGATATATGAATATAAGTTGATTTGGAAGCTGCAAGAATATATATCTTTGGCTGAAAATTCTAAGCGCTTATTTAAATATGAATACAAAACCCTAACAGTCCTGAACCCTAAAATTTTAACATGATTTTGACTTGGGAATTCGGGCTAAAAGCACCAGCACAAGTCTCTTAAATTTGTGTCTTAGAAATTGTATTTATTGTAAAACTATATCCTCTTATGGTAAACGAGTAAACGTTTCAGTTCGGTATGGTGGGTATGGTGTCTTTGCACTTCGGCAAGTTCCTCTCATGCAAATACTTGCAACCGATACACCATTTTGTAGGTAAACATAAATTGGGAAAAGCTTGTGCAAACTCGAAATCGTTAACAATGTTTTGCTTGCCTTGTGAATGTACAAATTTAAGACTGATTTTTGCTTTTCATGAGCACTGTATACTCTGTGCCGTCTGAGAGTTTGCGAGAAACATTAACAAGCTTGCTCAGGTCAGACCGAGTCTACAGTGCTTATAAAATGATGACGAAGCAGGGCAGTACTCACACTTACATCTAATGTGTAAACAGGTTTGTATTCGCACCATTAGTGTCAAGAGAGCCGTTACCAATGGCAGTGTTGTAGTCCAATCCATGCCAAGTCCATCAAAGTCCAAATTCAAGTCTCAAGCTACTCACACGAACTGCCACAAACACATCCTTTTGTTATTGTTCATCCACTGTTACTTGAGACCTGACTTGGGAATAGATTTGTGATTAATTTGTGACCAGGCTTGGGATGGACTTTCATGGATTCAACTATTAACACTGATCAGTTGGCACATGTCAGATGCCAATAAACTACTTAAATGGAAATCCTTTTTCTCTAATCAGTGGCTTTGTCAAACATGGCCGCTATGATATCAGTGTTGCAGGTCTTGACGATCTCCACTTGTGGTCCCAGCTCCAGCCCCTGTGTGTTCTTGACTACAGGGACCATCTGTCCACGTGTGACCGTCCCCTGCAGCTCCACGCAAACTGGCAGGTGCGATGACTCCAGGACCGAGCTGGGATCGATGGCAACCGCCATCGCAATTCCGTCACAATTGATGAAGCGAGGTCTGTCTGATTTGCGCAGGCGATTGATGAAAGCTTTCAGGATATCGCTGACAAAGAGAGCTTTTGGGTCTGCTTGGCAATCCATTTGTCACACCAATCCTAGGTCAAAGAGACAAATATTCAGGTTTACTAGTACTTAGTGGACTAGTCTATTGTGCCATGGCTTGTTACTGGTTAGTACAGTATGACAGATTGGCAACCACGAACAGGCAAACGAAGATGAAGACAAAAAAAAGAAAAAGAGATGACATCACAACATATATGGGTACGGCTACATGGACACGATTGGCTACACTAACAGAGAGAGAGAAATCGTGTACAAGCATTACATTCACATTCATAGAAAACAATTTCGGTTGAAAGAATTTTCACAGTTTGAGTAAAATGATTTTTTTCACAGGTTTTTCTTAACTACACGAAAACAAAGGAATGTCTACACTAGGTTTGTAAAACAAACATTGGTGTATTCATGAGGGCATTGTCCAAAAAATGGATGAACTTGAGCCCGATGATAACAAAAATGACAGTATGATGCATGCCAGAGATGCAATCAATTCAGTTACAAGTTACCACAAGTCATCGGCATGTCAATGGCTAGTCAACCAGTCTCAAGTCAGGACACAACCTCTTCAATTGGACTGTGGCAAAGACATTCCTCTGTGGTTGTCCATTCCCCGTTTCTTGTGCCCTGACTTATGAATTGACTCAAGATTTGGACTCGTGGTTGACTTGTGATTGACTTAATTACAACTCTGACACTGGGTGATGATTAATAAAATCACTGCTAAAAATAACAAATGTTGTGTCCAATTTTTATAAACAAATTAAACAGCTACCAAATTGCACAAGGAGATTACAGTCGAACCCTGATAAGACAACATCCTACTTACAACAAAGAAAATGTTAGGTGCCAAGTCTTTACTGCTAATAGAAGGTGTAATAAGATAATCTGTAAAGTCCCAAGGACCTGGTTATAAAGGTGTTCCACTATATAAGGAGACTGCCTGAATAAGTTTTAGTGGCTTTGGATACCTCAAGACTGTTATGCATTGCTGCAATGTAAATAATATCACAGTTAGTTTTGGAAATTTGACGGGTGACAGTTCAAGCATTTTTCTTCACAAATGGTTATGACTGACGAAAGACTTAATGAAATGCCATTCATTTTCTCCACAGTACTTTCTCAAATTTGAGGAGGACCCTTACCCAGGGCAGTCCACTTTTCAGGCATGTTTCCCAGCCTACAATCACCGTAGGACACTGCACGGAGCTCATCACAATATGAGCTGACTCCGGATCCGTGTAAAAATTGAATTCAGCCGCATCAGTCATGCTTCCAGAACCTGTGAACGAGATAAAAAACAAACAAAACAAACCAAAAATTGTTTTAATGGATTTGTTTAAAATTTCCTTTGAAATGGTAACATGTATACCAACAATGCTTTGCATTTTGTTCACAGCATTTTGTGAAACAGGTTAGCCCTCACCATTTGGCTTCCTTGGATTGGGTAAACAGAGTGAGCGAAGACCATCTGCAAACATAATATAGGATGGATGGTCATCTTGCACTAGGCTTAGGTTATGTTCGGAAGGATTGAGATTTGATTGTCTGAAACAATTAATTCACAGGTCCAGTCAAAAGTTACAGGGGAGTTACAAAGGAATGCCTTTGTGAAAGTTTCTTGAGAAGCTTGTGACTTGACTCGGGTCTGGATGGCTTGTGATGCACTTGTGTTGACTTACCCTCTGTGTTGCCTCCCATGATTACCAGCTTCTTCAGTCTACCGGTGAACTCCGGATCCATCCGCTGGGCCAGGGCTAGATTGGTCAGCGGTCCGATGGCCAGCATGGTCACCTGACCGGGACGCTCCTTGGTCAGACGCAGCATGGCGTGGACTGCATGCTCTGATTGGACGAGGTCAAGACTGGGCGGGTCCGGGTCAACCACGCCCCCTAGCCCATCGGAGCCATGAACGTGGTGCGAGTGTTTGTAGTCGAGATTTAGCAAGGCGGTGTCTGCCCCTCTATACACAGGAATCTGAAGGGAAAATATGAATTTTAATACCGGATTCCATTGGAAATAATCATGCCAACATATTGATTAAATAAAGAATTAATATCATCCAAATCTAGAATTTATGATATTGGAACAAAAATATGCATATTTAGTATGTGTATTAGAAATTAGTATGTATTTCATGCAGGCTGAGTGTAACTTTTCATTTGGGTTTGAAATTGTTTGAAATGGATCACAAACAAATGACAAGTCTTAATTGTCACAAGTCGGTCACAAGTCAATTCACAAGTCCAGTCGCAAGTATTGGAAAAGAAGATGAACTACAAAAGAAAGCTTTTGTCACAGTTCATTTGGATAGCTAGTGAGTCGACTTCCTTCCTTCCTTCCATAGAGTGCACACCTCAAAAAGATGAGTATAATCGCACTGTTTTCCGTGCACGTGTGGGCATGTGCAAGTGAACTATATACAGATGTGCAGAGTAAATGCATGAGGTTTACATCACTAGTTGATCCCTCAGCGCAGCCTTGAAGGCGTCAAGGGATGGAGATGCTGCGGGGTCCTTCTTAAGTGTGTTCCAGTCACGCCATGTGCGAGGAAAGAAGGAGTTGGAGTAGAGCTTGAGTATGGGCACTGAAACTTGAAATATATGACTAGTGCTTGTGATGGACTTGTGAGGACTTGTGATCTACAACAAACACCATGACTACAACACTGGTTTCAAAAGTTAAGAGTACTTGTAAAATGCATTTATGTAGGGATGGGTTAGTGTGTTTATGGGTATCACTGACACCTGTTAAAGTTTGATCAATATTTGTATTGTTATGCAGAAGACAGACTTTTATGACTCTCTTATTCCTTTGAATCTTGCACTCACATCCATCTTGTTACAAACTCTCAGCACTCTGAGTGCATTACGGAGCACGTTATCAAGCACTGTGTTCCCAACCACACAGGTGATGGCCAGTAGGTCTACGCTGGGCTGAGCCAGTGCCATCATGATTGCCACCGCATCATCCACGCCCGGGTCGCAGTCGATGATCATCTGAAGTTTCTCCGCCATTTTCAGAGACCTTTGGATAAAATGGATAAATGAAAAAAACTAGTTTTAGGCCTACTCCTTAATAATATGCTTGTTCTGTAGTACCTTTTACAGGTTGATCCAAAGTATGGAGTTGAATAGTCTTCCTCCCTATCCAAGACTGGATACGAATTTTGTTCCCCTGGTGAATACCACGCTCGGGTCGCAGTCGATGATCATCTGAGGTATTCATTGATGCCCAGAACAATCCCACTTTGGAACTCCATCCCAGCCACAATACATGTTGCACCCAGTCTTGATGCATTTCGGACTGGATTGCTCACCGTGGCTTTTTTTTTTTCTGCACATACTTTGTAAATGTTTTAAGTCTACACTGGTCCACACCTTGCACGCCAAGCAAATTGACGAGATATCCAATTGGACGCACTGTCAATTATCGACGTACAAATGTAGAACTAAGTAGAAGTAATGAAGCCGGCCATAATGCACCTATAATTGTCCCCCCCCCCCCCCCCCCCCCCCGCTGCCCCACGTCCCGGTCCCCTCCCCCCCTCCCTTGAGAAATGTATGCATCTCCACCCCCCCCCCCCCCCCCCCCCCCCCCAAAGTTTTCATGCACGGTAAGCAGCCAGTGGGCACTGCTATATTGCACTCATGACTCACTGGGTATTGTCATGCAAGTTGCGCCGACCATTGCCGACGTGATTGAACAGATACAGAAACCTATTATTAGGCCTAGTGTTACATGTATTATGAATTGCACTGCGAAATGGATGGGTGCTCAAAGCTTTGACGAAGGGACCGCGAAATATTGCTCTAATAATCATTGCTAACTATGATTGCTATAGCGCTAACGCACTCACGTGCCCGTGCAGCTAGCCGAGCTGTAAAAGTTGAATTTAGTGTTGAACACGTGCATTAGACGTATAGCGCCCTCTATCGCTCTCACTTCAGTTGGGTGCCGGCAATGTTTGTGTACGTGTGTAGAAATCCTAGTTGGTGACCTTGGTTATCAGACCACACATGACCGCTGTCGACAGAAGTCTGTTCCGGGCCGCCCGTTTTGTTCGATTTGTCTTCCACAGTTTACCTCCTTTCCGCACCATGTTGAAGCTGGGGATCTTCGGTGGCTTTGCGGCGTTACTGAGGGGTTATTTTGAACTGGAATGGCGCACCGTAGGGGTTGCAGTTGTGACGGTATATTTGGCAACTGGCGGTTGGAGATTTGCCAAAATTTTAGTCCGTACACTCCCACGTGATCTGAAGTAAGTGTTGCCCAACCTCGTCCCCATCTGCCCATTGCTTACTTTATTTCCAACCTCGTTTCCAGTAAAGGCCTGGATAGGAAATTTTCTTGTATCTTCCTAGTAATGCCTGATTCAATACCGCAATTGGCTTGTGCCTGTCGAGCGCAAAGTGAGTCCCCCGCGCAAGTTTAAACTTGCGCGCGCAAGTTTAAACCTGCGCGCACGCAAGTTTAAACTTGCGCGCGCATTCATTTCCTTGCTACAAATTGCGCACGCAAGTTTAAACTTGCGCACTGCATAGATTTTCCCGGCCACGCATACAGAGCCGCTAAACTATTTTTCCCCGGTAAACTCATGCAGATTATGTAACATTATTTTTAAAGCAGATTTTTTTTCTCCGATTTAATAGCATCAATGAGCTTCGGGAGACAATGCCTTAATGCCTTTTTTTGAAACATTTTATTAAATTCATTAATTAAATCATTTGCAAATTTATTTACTTTTTAAAATAGTTACCATTTTATATGCATAGCGTTTTTAAGTTGTAAACATTTTTTAATAAGGGAATAAATGTGTGCTCCGGAGGTTTTTATCACTCGTTTAATACCGCTTAGAGTCTGGGTGCTGATAATTACCCGAGCCGGAGGCGAGGGTAATTATCAGCACCCAGACTCTAAGCGGTATTGAACAGAGTGATAAATACCGACCGAGCACATATTTATTCCCATTCATAAATACCTTATCCGTAAAAAAATATTAAATAATTCTTTCAAAAAATCCCGATTTTGTTCAACAAGTTCACTTCATGCTTTTTGAAACATCCCTCTAGCAAAATAATGGAGTGTTCAGCTGGCGAGTAAGATGCGTTGCGTTTTGAATTTAGAACTATTAAATTCTGACTCGCTTGTAGTGTTGCGCATGCCTACGTGAGGATTGTGAACGTTCAACCAATGAAACGATAAGAGGCACTGGATATTTAGTAGTCCACATTTTATTGTGACACTGGAAAAGTGTTTAAGACCAGCTAGCCATGTCTTTATCATCCGTTTAAGACCGGCCGCGTGACGGGCTCTCGACCAATAGGAATAGCTAAACTGTCTGAGGTATTTATGAATATGAATTATTGAGCCTGCAATAAAAAAATATTTGTTAAAGTAATAAATTTAATTAATTAATTAAATTAGTAATGCATTCAATAAAAAAATTTCAAATTATGCATTTTTGAAGTGTACACAGCGCTCGAAATGTTATGCAAGTATTCTAAAAACAATATGAATTATTGTATCGTCCAATTTATTAATTGTTAAATTAATTAGTATTTTTGTAAGAATAAGTACTTTTTTAATTGTAGAATACATAAGCATTTTAAAAATAATGTAAATGATTACTATAATGTCAAAACTTGAACAATTGAAGGGATCATAATCATTCTTTTTACGTTAACAGCGGGTTACACCAGCCCTAAGAAATTATGATTTATTTACATTCAAGAATATAAATAAAATGCCAATTAGGTTTACAAAGCAAAACACTTGAAGCTGGTCTCCATTATTGAACAACTTCAGTACACTTTCCAAGCAATCGCCGCTAGTGTGCTTAAGTTTATTGCTTGCCTGGTCCCGGCCCCGCCCCCACGTACCCTTAAACAACTTCTCTGATAAGCACTGCTAAATCTCAATGTTTCTTTTCATTGACGCTAATTGAATTCCCCTTTTTATTTATTTCTTTATTCATTCATATATTTCATTATTTCTCCATGTACTCGTGTTTTGAAAAAAAATTCTTCATCAATGAAAATCCCGCCCGTAAAAGAAGGTTGCAATCGCCTTTGCGCAAGTTTAAACTGGCGCACGCAAATTAAAATGGCGCGGTGTAATTTGCGTGCTTCAGGAGTCCCTCGTGCAAGTTTAAACTTGTGCGCGCAAGTTTAAACTTGCGTGGGGGACTCAAATTGTGCTCGACATCCCTAATGCCTGGATTGATAATATCGTGTAGGCCTAGGGGTCTACTTGGTGTTGTTATTTACAACAAGCATTACGTGTTTTCACGATTATAATGTCCACGCCTAGCGCCTTCTAACAAATTTCCTTTCCAATTTGCTCACGTTATGAAATGAAATTTTGGGTTGAATTCGCACGACTTTCGGCTGCCATTGTTCACGAAAGCGTCATGCTGCATGACATCATGGGTTGTGATAATCGCGCCCTCACTAGCTTACATCAAATTTTGGCAATGTGCATTGCCAAACAATGGTGGGCGGTAGCACGAAAATCGTTCTTCCGATGGCGCTAAAACTTAAAATTTTAGCTTTTTCAGCCTAAAATTACAAGTATTTAAAGTTCGGAGGTCATGCTAATTAGTCAAAAGTTTGTGACCCGTATCTCAAAATCTAACGAGCCAAACTAAAAAAAATATAAGTTCTGGGGATTTCTCATATAGGCCACTCATCACCCCAAATATCGTTTCAATCTGTGAGGGTTGGGTCCAAAATCATGTTGAATTGACACGGAATGACCCCATCGATTCTGTTGTGTGATTCTCATTTCAGTGATACAAAATTTACAAGAGATTTCTTTAAAAATGAAATTCGCTGGACTCCCTAGTACTAGTCAAGCACTAGTAGTAGGCCTAGAACACGTACATGATATGACGCAAGAAAAAAAAAATTCTATGGCTGTGTACATACATGGGACATGTAGGCCTATATTGGGAACAAATACAATGACAGTGTAAATCAGGGTAAAACCATATTCACATAGGCCCTACACATCGTGATTGAAGTTTTTGTGATGGTTAAAGGGAAGATACAACATTTGCAAACATCAAAAAACGAAATGACCAAAATATCTTGAAATAACTACTGGAATGTTAGAGAATGATAGTCCAAAGCATCCTGTAAAATCGTGGCTCTTGACGGTGGTAAACATTTTCAAGAAAACTTGTATTTTTCCAACGCTGGTCGGCCGACCAGCGTTGGAGAAAACTGGCTTTTTTCAAAATCTACTTCTAAATTTTCATATTTAGTTATTTTGCATTTTCTTTGCAAATAATTACACACCTGTGAAGGAGTACAGGCCTGCTAGACCGATTCTCTGACCTTACAATTCCCCAAAGTCTAAAATTGCTGCGTTTCATCTTAAGTGGGGTCAGGGAGCCAGACTACAAGAACATGATTGGTTTTCTTGGTTTTTCCAGCATCTACAAGCCCAAAACGTGAAACAAGTCAGTGTAACAATATTTTCTATAACATACTAATCCTTCATATCGATTTATGTCGGAAAATTGCAGCAAAAGCAAATGTTGTATATTCCCTTTAACAAATCCTGAAACAGAATTACTTCCTTCAGTGAGTGATTTGTTTTGTGTTAAACAAGAAAACAGGACAGAGATTTATGAGGAAATGCTTTGTGCACAATCAAATTAGTTCAGGAAGTGGTGTATGATTACATGGTTAACAAAGACTTCGCAAACAATACAAATTATATTTTTCAAACAAAATGGCACTGGATTGTTTTCGCTTAATTGCCATTGTTCTTCACTGATACGTTTGGATTCTTATTTCTACATTTATGAAAGAAATGCCTCTATATTTTTCTGAAAGGCATTATAGTTGTTTGGGTATTTGCGTAGTTTAGGACCCTGTTCCCATATAAGAGAACGAAAAGACACTTAAATTATGTTTTTATGACTTAACACCTACATTTGTGTAAACCTTAAGCGATGATACAAGTAGGAAAAGTCACTTTATGTGTTTGGAATCATCTAACTAGTTCGCTAAGATACGTGTACATGTACATGTACCATGTTGAATATCTGCTAGCCTAGCTTAATTTTGTGGAAAGAGGGCAGGGTTTTGATTTCGGAACTTGTAAAACATTTATAGAGGTGTCCTAAACTACATGAATCATGATTACTATGGTTTGATTTTAGGATGATTGAGTAGGGCTGTAAGGGCAAAGAGAAGCGTCACATGGTCAATCCATTCTTTGCTCTCACATCGTAATTGAAACTCTGTTCCATGACACATGCTTTCTCTTGAAATCCATTTCAGGGGTCTGTTCGCATTGATTCGGCTCAGAGTGACTCTTTATAGACGGTCCCTGAACCACGAATTGGTGCACAATGTCCTTGAGACACGGACCAAGCTCCACCCGGATAAGGTGGCCTTCCGTTGCGAGGATGAAGTCTGGACGTTCCGGGATGCCAACAACTACGCCAACGCCGTGGCCAACTACTTCTTCGAGAAGGGCTTGCGTAAAGGGGACACGGTGGCCATCTTCATGGAGACTCGGCCTGAGTTTCCCTGCTTCTGGCTGGGGTTGTCCAAGATTGGCGCTGTCGGAGCACTGATCAACTTCAACCTGAGGCAAGAGAGCCTGGTCCATTGCATCCAAGTGGCCCAGCCCAAGGCAGTCATCTACGGAGTGGAGCTGACTGATGGTAAGATTTTGTCTTCAATTTTGAAACCTCTTGGGCCAACTTTTCAAGGCACTTTTTAAAAGAACAAAGGATCATTCGCATTTTATCCCAAAGTAAACTTCTGAATTAGATTAACCCTTACCCTACTTGACCCTCCAACGCATGCCAATATGTGCCTCAAGAAAATCTCCTATGTTTTTTGCATGGCCCTCCAATATCTGCCATGTCATTTCAAGGGTAACTGGACAGGCACTCCAATACATGCCACAGAGAACAATGAGAGTCCTCTGATAACAAAGTGAGTGCCCCCAGCTGGTCAGTATCAGGCACCCTCCAGGGCCTCCAACTCCTGCCAATTGGAGCCTTCACTGTCAAGATAGTTTTATCTGCCAATATACTGCAGCTGGAGGGCATTGGCATAACCAACTGACATGCAGTAAACTACCCTCAGAGAGTAAGGTTAACGATCGTAGTACTAAACACACCCGTGAAATTATTCCATCTTTCTTGCTGTCATTTAGAAGAAATTAAGAAATTGACTGAATTTGCTGATCTTTGACATAAATGGACAAAATCGTGTTTCGTGATCAACATTTTTCCATAGTGTTTCAGTATTTTCTCCAAAAGTGTAATATCCACACTATTAAAGGTGAAACTGCAAGGGATCATATGGTGTCTCCCCCCTCCCCCCTCCCACCTCTCTCCTCCCTGGATCCACCTACATGTATGTGTGCATGTACCAATTCCAGCATCAAGACCATAAGGACTGGGCAGCACAGGGGAGGGGCGTGGCACAGCCATTGGCTTACAATTGATAATCATGCCTAGAAGCACTCTTCATAATCTGCAAAGATACCGATACTGTAGATAGCAAAGTAGTGTTATCGGTTATGTGGGAGTGATCAAAAATATAGTTGCCTTTCAATTTGGGGTTTACATAGACTCTTAATTCTGTTGACAGTGGTTGACCCCTGGACTCAAGTCTGCTTTGCAATGTGATACAATTCTCTTCCCAATTTGGTAAATGGGCAAAGTTCACGTCGTATAGTTCAATTCCTTTGACCGAGTTGAATGCATCCATGGGGATTGTCGTGCTCGTAGTTCTAATTGTTTCTGTTTATAATCTGGTTGAAACAACGATTTATTTGTGAAATTGTATTGTTATACATGTATGCGTTAGGAGTATGAAATGAACTATTTTTGTGTTTGTCGACAAATATGCATTGGTTTCATTTTGTCTTGTTTATTAAAAGAGTAATAATAAGAATAAGGTAAATATTCAAATAGATATGAACTTTGGACATAACAGAATGCAAAACTAATGGATCCTGGTGTTTGTTGAGCCTCGTGAAAATTCATCTATAATTAGGGTAGGCAACAAAATGACCTTAGCCTGCTTGAGCATCGGCCATCGGGCAACCCAATTCAAAATAATACAATTGGTTTTTTTTTATAATAAGAATTATAATAATGATAAGAATTTCAAAACATCGGACACAATTATAAACAAAAGCCTTGTTGTCATAATGTAGCAAGACATCTGTTGGATTGAAACACCAAACCAAGACAGTATTAAATGCATGAGAAACATAGTACAGTACATGTACACAACATGTTTGCAAGTTCAGTTGCAATAGGCCATAAGCAATGGACACTATTACCCACATTGCTGTGTAGTTCAGTTATCAAATGACGTGGTTTCCTGGCAACCTCACTGCAATCTGTCTTGTGATTTAAGGTCACTTCCAGTTACAACCTGGGAATAATCTGGTTTCTACTCCATGTACACGTATGTCCCAATAGTGAATGCGTATTCTGTTTTTTTCACTGCGTGGTTTCACTTTTGTCATGTTTGTAACTTTCAGTCCGTGTAATTTCTTCGGAATCTCCGGTGTGAGTTTAATACAAATAACATGAATAATAATAATCAACATTTAAAGACGTTGTTTTTAGTGAACTAAATCACAGCGCTTACAAGTAATCAACAAGTAAATAAACTAGTTATTTAATCGATAACCACAAGTACAGCAGAGAAATGAATTGATTACTGTTGCAACATATATGCGTCTCAATCATCTTCCTGAATTGTTTGAGTGATTTGCTTTGGGGTGGGAGTCACTGACAAACACCCTGGAGGATATTGCACATCAATTGTATTCAGGTTTGAGGTTAAGTTTGTTTAATCCCACTCTGTAACAATACATAATGTCAACGTTATCTATGAATGGGGGCTATCTGCAAACCCAGTAGGGATTATATTATAAATGATCACTACATGTGTAAACTTTTTTTTTTGTAGGTTGGGGTTGATGATGCACTTTGTTATTAACCCCCCCCAAAAAGGGGAGGTATAAAAAAGTACCACATACATTGTACTACATTGTACTACAGAAATTATGTATGAAGTACCCAAATACTAAAGCCCTAACCACCAAAGGGCTCTTTGGGGTCAAGGACCAAATACCACAGAATACTACATGTGCTGTGCACACTTGTATGGAAAGAAATGCATACTACAGGTTACTACTCAGTAGTATTTTGTAGCATTGGGGGCGGTTAGGGCTAAAATAGCTAAAAAATACTCTTGAGTGCTGTGTCCACTTATATGCTGAAGTACATGTACATTGTACTGCATGCTACAGTTTATTTTGTAGCTTTAGTTGAGGTTAGAGTTAATGTACGTAAACCTGCATATAAACATGTTACGTATTTTTTCTGGTGATAGAATTTGACTAGTCAGAGTGTTTACATGAATGTGATCTAGTGATGGGGTAAGGCTTCGGATGTAGTTTGTGGTAATGTGGGTTTTTATTTAAATGTTTTGGATAGTTTTGCAGACCGATTTAAATGTCATTATTGATCATGTCATAATCCATTGACTTTCCTGTGCAGCCATCAAGGATGTGAAGTCGGAGTTTGGCCGCAATATCCCATTCTACAGCACCGGGGCTACGTAGATGCAGGCTTCCCTGCGTTGAATCTTGACCCAGAGCTCCAAGCAACATCCAAACTGCCAGCTCCAGTGGTTCTTGGAAGAAAGTTTACCGGTACAGACATCTGCCATTTTCAAAACTATTTGAAGCCCTAAAAAAGCATATTGTGGACTCATCAATATCCCAGAACTGTGATGTTTCACATTGGTGGAGAGGTCAAGTCCAAAAAAAATTGAGCAAGTCCTAAACGTCCGACTATTGTGAACTTGTGACATGCCAAAACCGTTTGGAAATTGTTCAGTCTGCCCACCTTTTTTTAAAAATTGAGATATTTTTGTGTTGTTGTATGTGAAGCCGTTTTGATGGGGTTGACTGTCTTGTATTTCAGATATCCTTTTCTACATATATACTTCGGGAACAACAGGCCTGCCCAAAGCGGCCAAGGTAACGCAAATCAGGTGAGATTATGCCAGTCTTGAAAATATGATCCCAACCCAATAAAATGAGTCACTTGATGTGATGGCTTCTTTTGAGTACTTTGGTCTTTTTTTTACAGAATCTTAGACATTATGTAGGTGAAGTCAACCTTATCGCCAACATAATTTAGTGAGAGATATTAACAAAAGTACATGTAAAGATCAGATTGTGCTGCTTCCACTGCTATTAAAAAAACAAAAAAGTGTTGTAAAGTTATTTTTAAGACCCATTTTGTGGGGTCCAGCCACAGGCATCGCTAAAGGGGAGGGTGAGGTGTGACACCCACCCTCTCTCCCCCCCCCCCCCCCCCCCCCCCCCCCCCCCGCCATATTAATCACATGTGTTTGTCGGTAAAATTGTACTATCCGCAAAATTGTGTGTCTGAGAGCAAATATGCCACAATGAATGGCACCACCTATTTTCTGACTGTGTCCAAGATAGTTTGCTCTGAACAGCGCCCCCGGTAGTCAGATGGTGTTCAGTCCTCATCCCCCCCCCCCCCAAAAAAAACCCTTTTGAAATCATTTCTATATTTTTCCTGGATAGGCTAGAAAAGAGATTTACCTATTTCATCAGATATAAGCTTTTTTGGTTGCCCACTTTTTTTCCAAGGATAAATCCAAATTTGTTCATTCACAACAGGTTCATGTACATGGCCTACGGCATCCGGTATGCGTTCCACTTCCGTTTTGACGACATCATCTACAACACCATGCCGCTGTACCACTCTGCTGGGGGATCGTCGGTATGGGCCAGGTGGTGCTGAACGGATCCACCATGGCCATGAGGAGAAAGTTCTCTGCCAGCAGATTCTGGGACGACTGTATTAAATATCAAGCCACGGTAAGACAGAGTTTATTTTATCATTAAAATACATACACTGTGCTATTTGTGAGTTTCACCCCGAAAATTTGTTCAGTTTGGAATCGCTGTTTTCCTTACGATATAAAAGTTATTCACTTTTAATTTGGACATCGACTGAAAAAGCAATCATTTTTATTCATGAAATAATCACTCTACATATTTCTAATTTTGTGGTCCGTCAATAATTCAGTTCTCATGGGGCAGATCGTTTCCCGGCCTCCTTTTAGAATATATAATGTGGGAGCAGGAACCAGTGTACTCGCACAAAAGTAACCCCCAAAAGCCTTTTTTTCCCCCAGACGGTTGCAGGTGCCAAAAATAGATAAGAGTAATTTTTCATAAAAATGTTGAATTTTTTTAATAGCATGGACATCACATGTACTTCACCCTAATCTCGTTGCCTGGTTGGAAGAAACCTAATTATGATAACGGAAACACGAGCTCTTCACACTAACCATTAAAAGCTTGATTTCATGGCCCTGCCAAACAGGAAATATATCCTCAAATTTATGTGGCAGGCCAAAATTATCAGACTAGTCACAAGTTATAGCAGGCATGCAAATTTTCTTAGGATCTGCTGATTTCCTTGTTTTTTACTTGTCAAGAATACCATTACAAATTGAAAAACACTGTACAAATTCTTGTTTGGTTTGGAATTTCCTCGTTTTTCCCCCCTAAATTCCCAGTTGCATGCCTGTTATAGGGATCACACAGCATATTGGCAGTTAAGTTCTTTTGCTAAGCTTAACATTCTCTCTGTGTTAGATTCGGATGTAAATCACATATTTAAAATTGAATACTTGTGTAATATAAATTGCAGTTCTCTACATGTTCTCTTGCACATATGTGATGTTTTTTTAACCAATTTTAAAATTGGATGTTTTATTTAACCGAAAAGTTAACTTTCTCTACGTTGGATGTTTTCCATCCTCCGAAAATATGCACAAAAGACACAAGTGAATAATTGTTGAGCCACAAATAATTTGCAATTTCGATAACAAAATCTATTTATGAGTATCAAACTCAGAATTAGCACGGGGAGAGCAACATTGTTAATTTTTTTTTTAGTTTTTGAGCCAACTTACCATTTGTTTTTCATTTGTCCTTGCAGATAATCCAATACATTGGGGAGATCTGCCGGTATGTGTTGGCTCAGCCACCAAACCAACAGACACACAGCACAAGGTCCGCTCTGCTCTAGGCAACGGTCTGAGGCCGCAGATCTGGAAGGAGTTTCAGGAACGCTACAGAATTAAACAGGTTGGTCATAGAGTGCATAGCTTGCTAGTAGCACTAATGAAACATGCACAGCAATACTGAGATTGGTAGAATTCAGATGATTCACAATACATTTTGCCACCAAGAGTTTGCCATGGAGAGTACATTTTTCCAGTTTACCGTCAACAAAACACGGCCCATTGGAATAAGTGTCAGCAGACAACCTGAGCAAATTTGTTGTAGATTGGGGAATAGCGTTCTGTTGCCTTACAAAAGACACCATATTGATAAAAAGGAAAGAAAAGGCAAACAGATACTCGAGTCATAAGCTTATGAAACTACTGATCGGAAAAACTGTCAATTTTAAATGACTCGCGCTGCGAATTTGTCGACCATCTCCCACCATGCACTGGGAAAAATGAACTCTCCTTGGCAAAATCTTGAATCGCCCGAATGGATATTAATGCAACGTAGTTCACCAATAGACCAATCTAGTTGGCCCTGCCCACTGCTGCCCACCTTGCCAACAACACTTGCACCCCCTTCAGATAGATCGGTTGCTTGAACTTTGCTATTGAGGATCTGGTTTCAAATCCCCTGACAGATGTCACTGCAAAGCACATGTACACTGATATTCTTCATTGGGGTTGGCATTGGGATGGCATGGGTGGCTCGTCCCTCACCGCTTTGGTCCGGGTTCGATTCCCAACTCGGGTCATGTGTGAGTAGAGCTGTACGTTGATTCTCTCCTATACCACGAGGGTTTTCACTGCAAAAATCAACATTTTCGATAAGGCTGTGCTCTGTCGTAAGACTCGGGTCGTATGGCGGCTGCCTATGTCACCTTTACTTGCCTTCGGCTCAACCACGTTGTAGTTGCATCCTTTGCAATTCAGCTTCTGCTGGGTGTAAGGATGATCAGCCCCTCCCCCCCCCCCTCAATTTAAAAAAAAATTATTGCTGTCATGTCAAGTCTTCTGATTTTTCACCTCCGAAATGTCAGATTTGTGAGTTCTACGGATCGACAGAAGGCAACAGTAACATAGTGAACATCTCAGGCAAGCCAGGAGCCGTGGGCTTCATCTCCTTGCTTGTCCCCAGTGCCCTACCGCTCAGCCTGCTCAAGGTGGACGAAGGTACAGGGGAGGTCATCCGCGGACCTGATGGACTCTGTGTTCCATGCAGACCAGGTGTGTATAGACAAAATTCGGCGAACGAAAGTAGAAGCTATGTTTGAGGTGGCACGACATTCGACATTCTTAAATAAGAGGCGCAGGTGCATTTTGGTAACACTATTGGTTGAAGGAGCCCGAAGTGCGTGCGTACTACCTGAGCGGGACTGGCGCAAGCCTGGTGCCACCTCAGAAAATGGCTGTTGCTGAATTAGTCTTATCCTTGCACCTGAATCCTGATTCTTTAATTCTGAACTCCTTTGGCATATTTCGTTAGCAAGTTGTTGGAAACCTGCCTGAATTATCTAAAATTCTCCCCTGTGTAGGAACCCAAAGTAATTGACCCATTAGCTCTGGTACCCCCCCCCCCAGCCACCATTCCTGTTACTCTTAGTACAGCCCCAAAACCTCCCCAGCACTCTGTAGTTTAGTTGATTCATGGCGGGGTAAAAACAGTGTGATACAATTGATTAACCCAATGCTAAAGGGTTTAATTCAATGGACACCGAGATGAGTGTTGTTGAAGAGACACTTGATTACAAGTACATGGGATTTGTTTGGTGATGTACTTGCTCTGCTCATTTCCTATTTAGAGGAGAGTGGTCACTTGATAGGCAAGATCAAGGTCGGCCATCCCCTTGCTGGCTTTGATGGTTATGTCAACAAACAGGCAACGGACAAGAAGATCATCTATGACATCTTCAGGAAGGGGGACCAAGCCTTTCTGTCAGGTAAAAATATCCTCCTGATTGTACAGAAATAGACAGTGTAGTAATCGAGTCCATCTCAAGTCCATCACATTTCCATCACAAGTTCATCACATTTCCATCACATGTCCATCACATGTCCATCACAAGTCCATCACATGTCCATCACATGTCCATCACCTGTCCATCACCTGTCAATCACATGTCCATCACAAGTCCATCCCATGTCCATCACAAGTCCATCCCATGTCCATCCCATGTCCATCACATGTCCATCCCATGTCCATCACATGTCCATCACATGTCCTCCAGTCTCAATTCAACTCACAAGCTATTCAAATTAGCTGTGACAAAGGTGTTCCATTTGTATTGTTCAACCCCTGTTTAAAACTCTTGACCAGACTTGTGATGTTTTTGTTGTGACTGGACTTGTGATTGATTTGTAATGGACTTGACTAAAACAACTGGAATTAACATATCGTTTGCATATAGACCCTTTGCAAGACAGCCATTTTGAGGTGTTTGCTTTTGATCAAAGGGGATACACACATTGATAATTGATAGTTTACCCTTTGTGCATTCATCGTTACTGAATTAGAATGACAAACAGTCTATAGAGTTTTACAAATCCCAATAATTTTGTACTTAATAATTTTGTAACTCAAAGGGATGTTTGTGGAATAGCAAATATGGAGGACTTTTTTTTCCACCCTTCCTTTACATTAACTCATCAAAAGTGACGTCTCGGTACAATTTCTTGTCTCTCCTGGATCAGGAGATATTTTGGTCATGGATCAGGACGGCTACATGTTCTTCAGGGATCGCCAGGGTGACACTTTCCGCTGGCGAGGGGAGAACGTCTCAACGTCGGAGGTAGAAGGCATCATTCAGAAGCATGTTCAGCTCAACGATGCTGTAGTGTACGGTGTTGAAATTCCAGGTATGCCTCTTGATGTATGTTTGTAATGTGTCAGATCAGCGAGTAATGGTACTGGACATTTTCTGGTCACGAAAAGTTTCCTTAAGCCAAGTTTTTTGTGTACTTTTTGGAAGTTGAGGGAGTTCAACTGAAGAGCACTCACTCACTCACTCGGTCGCCCACAGGCAAGCTCGAGTATGGCTTTCCCAAGTAATTCGGTCCCGCAAGAGGGTGGCCAGTTCGTCTGTCGATTCTACACCAGTGTCTTTTTGCAGCACCCCGGTGTAAGACATTTTCAATCTTCCTCGTCTCCTGTGTCCGCGGGTGGGTTTCCAGAGAATGACTTTGTGTGAAAACCTGTATTGAATTTTAGAGAAAAAAGGCAAACCCTAAAGCTGTATAAATGAACTGTGTGTACATTCAAAATATAACAAGTGGTGGGTACTTGCACCATACGCGCACTAACCAGTACACACAAGCAGTGTGTCCCGTCCACGGGCCTCTAGAATGTGGTAAATAAGCGCCCTCTCCAGGCGCGGTTCTAGAACCAATATTTTGGGGGGGCTAGCAGGGTGGATCCAGATTTTTTTTCTTCAGGAAGGCGTGCTGAAATGTAGACCGGTTATTTTCTCCAGACACTTAGGCCTCCGAAAATCAATGCCTCATGCCATCAATGGGAGCGCCAATAAATCCTAAATCATTCACCCATATAACTACAAATGCACCCTTGTCACGACTATTCTTTAGGGGGAGACTGTTCGCATGTACATCATAATCCTTCTTTTTGCTAATGCATTCTTTTTACGGAATTTATTTTGGGGGGCTAGACAAAATTTTGGGCTAAAGCCCCCCTAGCCCCCCCGTAGAACCGCGCCTGGCCCTCTCTTGTTCACGCATGGAGCCATAGTTCACCATAGTTCGACTCACTTCACTGGAATGAAGTGTCTGGAATACCCTAATCGACTATTGTCAACCCCACGGGGCACGATGGGCGTCGCTAGGATTTTTGTAGAGGGGGCAAAACATTTTTTCCCAAAAAATTCCTATATTTCTCGACATATTCTCGATTTCTCAGTTTTAAGAGGGGGGCAGGCACATTTCCCCCCCCCCCCCCCCAACTCATTAAATTTACACCACTATGACTTCGCGCCTCTTTTCTTTTCTTTTTTCTCTCTTTTTTTTTTTTTTCTTTTTTTTTTTTTTTTTTTTTTTTTTTTTTTTTTGTTGCTTTGCCGAGGGGGGGGGGGGGGGGGGCAAGCCCCCCCCCTTGCTTCCCCTTGCAACACCCATGCAGGGCACGGTTGATTCACTGGTTACCAATTGCTGTGCACATCATAATGCACAACCGGGGGGCCAGGACCAAGACGTTTTGTGATGACGTTTTGACCATCGTTTTACTGTAGGCATTCATGCATTGCTATCAGTAGCGTAGGTGTAAGTTAAATCACAAATCGACAAACAGTTGCCTAAACTTGCTCTTATTTGGTACTCATCTATTCATATTTTTTTTGTACAGGACTAGAGGGCAGGGCAGGCATGGTGGCCATTGTGGATACTGAAGGCACCCTTGATCTGGTCAAACTAAACCAGAGTCTCAAGTCATCTCTACCGCCGTATGCTCGGCCGCTGTTCATCCGCATCATGCAAGAAGTGGACACTACAGGTTGGTTTGGGTTTAAATATACAGTCGAGTCTTGTTAAAACAAACTCGTTCGGACCTAGCCAAATTGTTTGTTATATCAGAACTTTGTATTAAGAGGACATCAGTCCCATTCATTGTGCACATAAATGCACAGTTGGGACTAAGGCTTTATGTTTGTTATAACCAGAATTTTGTATTAACAGAGTTTGTACTAACGAGAGTCGACTGTAACGTCAAAAACGGAGACAGATGCCAGTCACGGGTCCACATTTTCTTGTCATCTTATACTTCAAGTAATATTGCAAGTAGTTTTGCTAAGATTCTCTCTCATCACTACTTTGTACTTGGTAGGGTATGGACTCAGTGCACAGGTACCCTTCCAGGGTGTCAGAGCAGTAGCAGTACACGCCCACCACTACCTGCTCTCTCACCCTGGTATTGGATCATTTGCATGTGCAAGATTTTTGAACACGTATGCAAATGAGGAACAGTCTGGTGCATGGATATGCGTTACACGTTAGCGTTTGTTTTTGTATGCGGTGTCTGGGGTAAAAACAGAGTCAATTCGTAGCAGCGCGAGCACGGCGTGAGTTACGAAAACACGATTTTTGAAATCAAACTGTTAACGATCTTATCGAGACAACATACAGTATCATATTTCATAATTATATGAGCAAATTGAAAAGGAAATTAGTATTTTTGAGAAGGCGTGGACGAATGATCGCGAAAACACGTACTGCACATTGTGAATAATAGCACCAAGTACACGATAAAAATCCATTACTAGCCAATTGCGGTATCCAATCAGGATACAGGAAGAAAGTTTCCTATCCAGGGTTTACTATTGGAAACGCGGTTGGAAATAAAGTGAGCACTGGGGACGAGGTTGGGGCAGACCATTATGAAGGACATTCAAACGCATTGCCGACGATGCCTGACGCTCTCACAAAGATGCTTTGTGTTTGTTAAGTTCAGAATAAAACCAGTAGTTAACGTGATACGCGGTCACAAAACGCCATTATTGTTCGTGCATGAAGTCATTTAGGATGCGATTTTGGTAGGATTTTTTAGTCTTGATGTGGATTGATTTTTTGCAGGCACCTTCAAGTTGAAAAAGGTGGACCTTCGGAAAGAGAACTTCGACCCAACAAAAGTGGGCGACGACAAACTGTTCTACATGAACGGCAAGGAGTTTGCCCCGCTCACGCAGAGCGTTTATGATGATATCATTGCTGGGAAAGTCCGACTCTAAGGATTGCACTGAGAAAGTAGTGTAGGCATCTGTGAACTGTCACCACGAAGTGAGCAGAAAGTCAGAAATTGCTAGTTTGCTGTACATTTGCCAATATTTGAAGAGGTGGTTGGTTTTTTAATTTTTTTATTTTACAGATGAACCTCAGTCTGTAAGTCCTGTTCTGCCTTTCCCCAATTGCTATTGTTCTGTCAAACATCTTTAAAAACAATTTTCCATTCTGTTTTGATATTTGGCCGTTCATTCACTGTAATACAACAGTGGGATTTTAAATGCCATTTTCTCAAATGTTTAACAACTTCAATATAATTGCCGGTCTATATTACCGTTACTGAACCCGTTACCCCCAAATTTCATGTAAGTACAGTTAGAAAGCTCTTGTTCAGCAGAATCCAGAGAAATAAAAATATCTAAATTCTTTAAAAGTCCGGCTTTAATTTGCTCATTTTGTAATGAAAGGTCACATTTGATGATAAAAGTATGCTTGTACATTTGCGTACAAACTGTCTGGAATAAATGTGTAATGCTCTAGAAACAGTTGACCAGGAAGTACACCATCACGTATAGTATCGGAAATATCCAAGTTGTTTAATATAAATAAATTTGGTTTTTATCGGGGTCATGTGACCTAAGTAAAAAGTGGCAACAAAGTGTTCAGCAAATGTAAATGTGTTATTTATAAACTACATGGAAAGATATGCCTAATAAAAATTTACCCAATTAATTAATAAAAAAGGGTATAAGCTAATACAAGCAAGGAAGGTATTTTTTAATTTCCTTAAAGGTACAAAAGATCATTTGCTTTTCATGCATTTTATTTGTTTCCAATAATAACACCTCTCAAAATCCAAAGAAGAATGTTCAAAACCTAAACTTTTTAAAGTTTCAGCGTAGTGGATATTACACTTTTCAAGAAACAGTAAAAAACCATGCACAACCTTTTGATCAGGAAACGTGATTTTCTCATAACTCTCTATTCCAAACATCAGTCAATTGAAAGATTGTTGAAAATCACCTGTCGTTTTAGATTTCTTGTAAATGACAGCAAGCAAGAGGGAAAATGTCACTGGGTGTTTAGTACCAGTACGATGTTTTATAACAATTTAGTAGGTTACGTCTGGGGCAAATCATGCTATACAGGTATGCCTTTCAACTCTTGTAGAATAGACCATTATGTTGAGGCCATTACGATTTTTCCCATTCAAATCGGCGTAACAAAGCGAGGCTGGAAGGAAAAATAGTCTTGTTCCTTTTTGCACAAAAAACATTATCATTCAGTACTGTTATTGGAGACAGGGAACATGACTGAAATGGTGGCAGCATGATACAGGTCTATAGCTTTGATGCTGAGTGCACGGATTATTCAGTTTTGACAGGCAAGCCATGTGTATATTTGGATTTTTTCTCTTCAAATTTTTGGCATTTTGTAAGAATTGTCCCCGCAATCAAAAGTGTACAAGCTTTGGAATGTGCCTAACAAAACAATAAAAGATGTGCTGTGTTCTAGGAACGTATAAATGTTTTTAAGTGGGGGATTTGATTAAAGGTCTGTAGAATTTTTGCTGTAGCGTATTTAGTGTATTTCTTAATTAGCAGGGATCCCCCCCCCTCCCATTCAGCTGCTGAATAATGTTATGTTACTGGTAAAATGGGGCCAAAAATAAATGGAATGCTAAACTTTCTCAACAAAAAAAATCAAATTGCCTTAGAGTGTAGGAGAATTGTAGATTTCAAAACAAATTGCGGAGGGGGAAGGAGCATCCCCCACCCCCTACTAGTTCCTTGGGCACTCCTTCCCTCAACCCCCCTCCTCATATCAACCCCCCCCCCCCATTTCCTGAAAGCTAGATCCGCCCCTGTTCATAATGTGCAGCATGGAATCCTGCATTTTTTCTTTCAATGATAGTAAGAGTGTGAAAAAAATTGCTAGTACGTGTACATGTATTTTGATCTTTCTTCTGAGCAACTATTTTATTATTTACAATAAACTGCAGTAGTGTTTATCCTTTGTTTTGCTTTTAGAATAAACTATGTACATTTAATTTGTATCTTTTTATATAAATTTGTCTTTATTCTTGCATTTTTTCTTCAAAGTGCAAAGTGAAAAACATTGCATGTATATTTTGATTTTTCTTCTGAGTTTTATCAGTTAAATAAACTGCAACATTTCCTATGCACAAATGTTTATACTGGTCGTTGCTTTCTGAATAGACTCTGTACAGATAATTAAGTTTTGTTTTTATAGAACATGTCTGTTCCTCCAGAAAGGTAGCTTTTGAAGACTTTCCATTTGAATTGGTAAGATGTTTGAAATTTCACATTTAACAAAAAAACACACAACAAAACAAGAACTGTCCGAGTCATTCTCCCCCCCCCTTTCTCCCCCCCCCCCCCCCTTTATCCTTTGGTTGAACCTGACATTTCTTGGGAACTTTTTGGGCGATATCAAAATTATGTATTTTTCTCATTTGGTCAAAAGAGGGCGCACATTCAGTGTCAACATTCGCAGCGGCGGGGTTGCACTATGGGTTGCACTCCTTATCGACCAAACACGTGGACGGAGTACATAGAACGACATAATGTGCTTGGCCGCATCTATCTCTTCCTCCTTGACCTTGTTGAAAGCACTGGAGTCTGGATTTGCCAAAATGTCAACTAGGGCACTGTGTGCCGCTGCGGTAAACATGATGGATTCAAGGAACGGAACGCGCCAACGTGGCCGCCATCACGGTAGCTGATGGTCTATCCTATAGCATAGGGCCTACTGACTACCGGCTGGCTAATCCTCAGCATGGACTGCACGTGAGTTCAAATGAAATAAGCCTTTTTAAATTCGAATTGGCTCAGATACATGTGTATTATCTCCAAGTGTTTTCAGACATAGGCCTGAACCAACCTCGTCCCCAGGGTGTTGAGCACGTACGCGCCCACCACTACCTGCTCTCTTACTATTGGAAACGAGGTTGGAAATAAAGTAAGCACTGGGGACGAGGTTGGGCCTGAACTTATCTAGGTTCACATGTTCATTTTGTGCACCAATGTTAGACCAGGGTGACCGTAAGGTCATGGCCAAATTCTGTTAAATGCACTTCAAAAATCTTTCAGATTTATCAAAAATCTGCAAAATTCCCATGAACTACTCGAAATACACTATAAACACTTAAAATCACATGTAGATGTTGTAATATTGCCTTAATTAAAGTTCAAATTACATTATAAACAATCTATAGTCATATAAAGGTGTTATGAAATTGCATGTCCCGACGAAATCCGATTCTCAGTGAACCTCAGCTCATAGACAAGGCAACCTGTCCTATTTTGCAAGGGTTTGTTTGAAAAAGATTGAAGTTTTTTTTTCAAATTTGCTATGGTTTTCTGTCAAATAACCATTTTTGCAGAAATCTGCCAAAAAATCCATTCTGTCAAATTTTCTGTCCAACTCGTTTTTTTTACAAAAACTCTGTCAAAGTTAGCCGAAAATCAGCTAAAACGGTCACTATGACGCAGACCGGCCGGAGCCGTTCTGGTTGTTATTATACCATGAATAGGGAACTGCATATGCTCATGTTTACAAAGTCACTGATACATGTAATGAATTCCTGGGGTTTAGTTTGGGGGAAAAGTGGAAAGTAACCGGTATTTCTTTTTAGGACATTAAAAAAAAAATACTGAGCTGAAAACAGAAACAGGAAGAGCGATCGAATGGCCACTTAACTTGGAGTGGTCTTCTCGGCAGTTTCGGCTGAGGACACCTAAATCATGGCATCATTTTACTCCTTAAATGCTTACTATTTGACTAGACTAACAAGATATTGCGTCTTCACTTGGTGGTTCTTAATTTGTATTCTTTTTAACAACAAACTTTCCAAAAAGTGTTCATTGTTATAGCGCCCTCTATTATTAGTGCTGGAAACGACCATATTTTTGCAGACGGCCAAGTCCGGTCCAGACCCTGAATACTCTAGAACTTTATAGAAACTCGACATCAATTTGATTGCGAACCAATTTGTGCCTACGAACTCTAGTGTCAATGCACTTGCATGCGCAGTTAGACTGGACTGACATTCAGTTGAATATATGATCGTTTTCCCACGGTTTGGGCGTCGATCGTAAAACAGTCTTTTTCCCAAGGCCACATGGATTGGCATGGATTGGCATTGCACAAAAGGGCCTTGCCTAACATCCGATATGCTCCTTTGTGAGTGTGGGAAATGTTCAGAAATGTTGCCCAAGAATGGCATTGTAGAAGTGGCGCAGTCAACTGTTTCATTAATTGTCTATAAAGCTAGTGTGATTTACAGGGCGGTGGGTACGAGCGTGACGTACATTCATCGTAGCCACGATAAGCTACCCACAATGCTTTGCATTTCATTATTCATTATTTGCTTTGCATTTCCTTCATATTTTGGGAGTGAAAGAGAGTCAACACTGGCACTGCAGGCGTCTACATACGCCGACTAGCTAGTAGTGAATGTTAAACCGGTCGCTAGCGAAAGGGTTAAACTGATGAATCTGTAGGCCGGCCTACTTGCCAAAAGTAAATTAGAAATGTAGGCCTACTTCAGTTACATTTGTTCATAATTATTTGCCCAATCCAATAAAAAAGATAGCTCATAAGTAAATTAAAGTCGACACTGCATTTCAAAACATTAGGGGAAGAAATCTAAATTAACGTGCGCACAACTTTTGACGCTTGACAACTTGTTGCTATGTACATGTACATAGTGTTAGTTACGGGCTCATGAAATGAATGGCTTTGAAGAACGTATCAGACACGGAGCACGACTGTAACTGATTCAAGAATTGAAGTTTTCATCGGTTTTAATCAACTGAATGTTCAATACAATTACTAGAGCGCAATGCTTGACATGACCCTATTAAATCCAGAAAAAAAGGGGATTAATTTTCTCCGTTACTCGCAACCGGGTGAAAAAGCAGTTTACTAATCCCATTTTCACAATCATATCCTTGAATAAATACGACTCCCACAAGGACATCGTAGCGGATGTTTTCCGCATTTGTATACCTTAAAGTCAAGGTGTTTTAGCAGTGCGTTCGTTATCGTTATCGATCTGGGTTGGAGTAGTACCACGGGAAGGTCTTGAAAGAACTGATCATGAACTGGAAATAGGGAAAACCAATTTCAAAAAATATATATTTATTTAACCATTAATTTGAAGCGTTTCGTTCCGTTTTTGTTATAGGGGTGTTTTGTTTTTGTATTTTTGTGGTTTTTTGGGGTAGATTTTCGTGGTTGTATTGTGTACGTGGTTTTTTTTTAAACTCTGGTTACTAAAATGTTATAGGTTAGCAAAGTTCCAATCATAGAACAGTATAAACTCTAGTCAGTTATTGCAAACAACCCATCAATCGTGAAAAAAGGCTTTGAGCTCTCTTGAAAGAAGTTGTTAAAAATTGTTTAATTAATATTAATGTTGCCTGAATACTCCACCCATGGCTTCACCACAGGTCTCTCACTCACCTTTGTACATGAAATTGCTCGGCAGTGAATCACATATTTCTATAACACGGTCATGCTTACTGGTTTACAACTAGTTAACCACCATTATCCACCATTAACGTCTTGTAGCCTTACTACATCCGAATAATTTCACAAAAATTTTTTTTTAAAGGGAAGTACAGGACCAAAAACCCAGGCCAAAACGATCACCCATTAACTGTCACTGCTTTCTGTATTCTCACAGAAAACTGAAGCCAAAAAAAAACCGGTTTCAGTTTGAAGACGAGTTTAGCTTATGCTGGTATCGTGTATGACTACCTATCTAGACCCCTTGGTTTGAGACCAGCTTTTACTTGCCTGAGTCTTATTTTCGCAAAAATATAGTGTAGTGCGCCTTCTTTAATCGATACAGGTGTTCCTAAAATGCTCATTTTGTTGTCGATCTCGTGACGCTAAATTAGAGCCTATTGCTGTGGATTTTTTTTACGTAGGCCTACCATTTTCATTTGTACTACTTTTTTTCAGAATAGGTCTACAACTCTTGTATTCCTTTATAATCGAATCACAAATCATGCATTCAAGTTCCATTCGTAAACCGACGTGAGAATTTGCCCAAGTTGGGGCTTTTGACGTTTTTGTTGAAATGGCCCCGATATGGAGAGAAGTGAAAGTTTTGTTTATTCATAAAAACTCAGGAAAACTTTCTGGAAAACTCAGGAAAACTTTCTGATCATTTGTGTAGAACAAAGAACTGCTCTAGGCCTGATGTACATGCTGTACACTATGAAAAGGTTGGATAAAACACTGTTTGGCAATGTAATTTACCCAGCATTTGTATGAAATTCCCTCAAATTGGGTTGAATTGGGTAAAAACTGTCAAACTATTGCGAAAGATTCGCCCAAGATAATTCGACCAGCATTGGTCGAATTATCAACCCATCTTGCCTAACTTTTTGGAACTCCTTGCCTAGTGCATGTTTCCGTCCATTCTGTGATCTAGCCTGTTTTAAGAGGAATATCAATTCCTACCTCCAGCTTTCTTGTTTTGGTTTGGGTTTTTTTCGTCATACTTTTCTTCTTTCTATTCCTTTTCCGAGAATGGCTTTTACAGCCTTGCTTTGTGCGATTTTGCATTAAAAAATGCATTACTAATACACAGGCTAACACTCGTCACAGCTTGCGTGCAACCGCGAAAAATGCGAACCAACATGTAGATTAAAGGTGTCAGCTAGTACCAACAACTGCGGAAAGCATGATTTCATGGCTCGTTGGTCTTTTTGTTGTGTTCTTGTCATTGCTTAGCGCTTTTTCCGATCCAGTTCGCGCGGAAAGAATACCTGAAAACCAAAAACTCAACCAACCGTCACGCGTCGGCACGCGTCATTCGATACAGGTGCAAAGTTAGTTTATGTTTTGTATTGTCGATAGACATATGCGTCGCGAGGGTGGACGGCCTCCCAGGAAAAGCAAAAAAAAAAAAAAAAAAAAAAAAAAAAGGGGGAGAACAAATATTGATGTTATTTTGATGGATGCATGTCCCCCTGCCCACCCTCGAAAAAAAACCCGATAAATTGAGAATATGCTGGAAAAGTACAGGCATTTTGGGGAAAAAGGTGCTTTTCCCCCCTCCAGAAAAATCCTGGCGACGCCCATGTCGATGGAGAGATTGAATAACTTTGCATGCGCTCATTCTACATCTTCGCTCGTACCCCCGCC